CGTAGTAAAAGCTCTTACAGAGCTTATGTTTGTTGTTGACAATTGAACACGACGTTAAATAAAGAGTATTTAGTATTATTATATTATTTATTATAGAGTTTAGACTTAATGACAAAGTAATAAGTAGAAAGACTTACAAGATTGTCCTTTCTTTGGTCCATCTGTGAACAAAGACAAGAGAAATTTAAGGAAGTAACAAAACTGAAATATTTGTTCTGCACCTTTTGGTTACTTCTAGCTATATATTAATTTGAGGTTCTTATATACTGCTTTATCACAACCTAGTTCATAGGTTGTCTCAAAGCAGTTTATAAATTATTATCCATGGTTAATTATAGGGCCTTTGCAACCAGCCAATATCTTTCTCAACTCCCTGGGGGAGCATGCAGCTGGTGCTGCCATTTTGGCACTCACAGCTAGCATTCAATAATTCTAGCACTGCCCAATCATGCACTCATTTACAGCTGAATAGACTGAAATAAGCTGAGTAAAGAATCTTGCTCAAAGATACAACACAGTGCTGTGACTTAATTGACTCAAACCGGCAACCCTTCGGTCATGAGCCCGGTGCCCTACCACTAAACTACCATGCCTCCAAATTTTATCATTGCAAACTGTCAGATCAGGTTGGTCTGGTGGTGCAGTGGATAGCGCACTCGTCTTTCACCTTTTTAAGTTGAAATATAACTACCTTTAGTGCAAAATGTCTTTGTCTTTTGACTTGTAACCAACTGAACATCAGAACAGAGAAACCAGATACATATTTAACAAAAATATCTCTAGCTACTATACATATTGTCTGTATTTCTGGTGATTCTTTTGTGCTATATACAAATGATCGTATAATATATAAGATTTTTGGGATATATCCCTTTTTGTTAAACAACTCTCTATCTAAGGAAATTCTTAACACCTTTGACAAGTTACATTTCTGTTCTAAATATTGTATATTTGAAAAAGACAAATAAGATGTGTAAAAAATTACACAAATTTATCAATACACTACTCCAGTAGATATAATATAAGAGAAATACTGTTTGTCAGTTTCGTTTGAAGACTAGACTTTAAAACATTGTCACAATCAAACAATATTGGTTCACATTATTGTAACAGTTATACATCATAGGCTTGAACCCTTTCACCTCTATGTAACTTTCATAAACTCTACCATGCATTGATCTGGATGAGTTCATTATGGTCTACAGTGGTGAAAGGGATAAGACCAAGAAGTTCTTACTACAAAATATTAACCATTGCATGGCATTGCCACTACAATATATATAACCCTACCAAATTCAGTTGGCATTCATATAGGCTATGAATACCAGGGACCGATTTTTGACGTCATCATTATTATGACGTCATAATTGTTACTTTTGATACCACTGACCCTCTCCGGGCGATGGCTGTTCTATTCATTGAACAAACATATGTACATTATTTGAACTAAATGCTGTATAATAAGTTTTTATGAGATGAGATGAACAGATTCCAAAAATGGTAAATATAGGTATTGAACTGCTTTCAGTTGGCATTCATAGGCAATATGAATGCTGCCTATGAATGCCAACTGGACAAAGATAAATCCATCATGAATCGCTAGCTAGCATACATCATGTTGGATTTGCCTTTGTCCAGTTGGCATTCATATTACCTAAGCAGTTCAATGCTTAAAGAAAGAGGAAAATGCAATAGTTGTGTTGTTTTACTCCTCCCATCCCTTCCCTAACTTTTTTGTGGGGAGTATAAAAATTCCTATAAAACTTATATAATTATGGTGAGTGTATTACCTGTGGTATACTGAAGATTAGTGTCGACAGGGAAGACAACCTCCAGGCTAAGATCATCTGCTATCATGCAAGGGACTCGTGTTGAGGAGTATAAAAATATACTAAAAGCAAAACAAAACATTTATTAAACCAGACAAGTTAAATTGAAAGCTACATTTCTTGTACTCATTATTTCTTCCGTTTTCTTAGCTCTTCATTGACGTACAATAAACTGACAAATACTTTTGTATATAATGATGTAACACATTGCAAGCATCTTCATAGGTTGATGTATAATTGACCTACATCAAATGGTAAAGAAGAAATGCAAATGCAAAAAAATAATTCCTTAATTAAGGTTAGAGGTCAAAATTGGGAAAAAATATTAAAGGACTGTAACTCTGCATATAGCAGGGTAAAGACTTGATATTCTACCATCCCAAGAGGTACTCACAAACATCATTGGCAACTTAAGGGGTGACAGGGCATTTTAAGATAGTAACTGGGAAACAGATGCACGTTAAGGGACATAACTCTGTCTATAAGTAAAAACAAGACCCAATTTCAATATGAGGCAGCATGCCCTCCCAAGAGGCACTCACATAAAAAAAATCTGACAATAACATGTGATGACAGTATGTGATATATCTCAAAGTTATGCAAAGATGGACAGACATGCAAATGGATTGAGTGAAAACCTATAGCACTGCCCGTAGTATCAGTTATAGGGATGAATAAACAGGATAAAACCTAATTACTACACACCAATTATTGTTTTGTTATCGTTTTTTGTTGCTTAAGACCTTTGCATTACCTTCCAGGTTGTAAATAATGTCACTCTATTTTGACAGAGCAAGTGCTATATTAGAAATCCACACACACAAAATATTATACAAACCTATTCAATTAATTATTGATAAAGGATCAATAACTGTATTGATTAAATAATGGTTACCTTATTTAGCTAGTTAAATGAATTTTATTCATATGTCTATAGATACTTACGCATGATCTCCTTTTCTTTCTATCAGGCAAATATAACGGTCTAATTTGCCTTCTGAATTTCCAAGTAACATCTTCCCTCGTAGGCAGTGATCCAGTTAAGGTATTAAAATGGAAATGTAAGTGTGCATGCATGCAGCATATAATAGATATACATATCAATTAAAGTGAAATGGATTTATTTTTATTTTCTTATTAGCAATGTTAAAACTATATAATTATTCAAGTTTCAGATCGGGCACTAGTAAGAACTATAAACCCCACTACAATTGTTTTAGTCAAGAGTTCTGACTTATGTAATTTAACACATCTGCATTATATATAATTAACATTACTTGGGCATGTTATGTACATGCATGTATGAATTATATAAATATGATCAAGTTAGTTGATAATCAATGTATGGTCATATTAAATAGGGATAATTTAAGCTCTGAGTGTGTAAATAACACAATGACTATCACAACATAAAACTTTCTAAAATCTGCCACAAGGGATACGTTTTTTACGTATCTAGCCCGAGTGTCAAAAGTCACACCGAAATTAAAATCTTTTCCTGACATTTGTTGTGTAAATCTTCAAAAGGATATAAATACACATTTTTCATTCGAGTCCAGTTTCTTCTGAACAAGAGATAAAGCTGTATCTGATGACATTGTTTTTTTGTTTTTAAATCCTCTTCTTAGTTTTCAATTCTTATCTAAGGTTGTTGAAAGGGACATGACACAGAATCGAACAGAACACGCTGCTTGACTGACCATGAATAAAGCTAGCTACATGTCATTACAACCGAGTTTCTCTCCCGCCCACTTTAGCGCATAAAGAAACAGCTGTCACAACAGCAACACACTTCTAAGACTCAGCTCCTGTTGACGTGACCGTGATGAGAAAATCCTTTTTTCTGCTATCTGATAAACTATATATAGACATTTAAATATTTCGAAAACATGTAGATTTTTGTTATTACGTGTGGACACAGCATACTATAAATCCTTCGATCGATAGATTTGAGACGTGAGATTAAAACGAAACACCCAGCGAGTGTATCGTTATGTTGATGTTGTGATAGACAAACTACCCCTAACTCATTTGTTTAAACCAGGCTCGAAATTTTAACTGGCATATAGTTAAAGGAAATCGTGTGACATAAAGTCTGTATCTGGCTACACTCTTGCCTTGGTATGCACTATGCAGTTTGTGAAATATGTCTCTCCTCTGCAACCATGAAAACCGTCTGCACCAAAACGGAAACAGGAAGCGGATTCTTTCGTTGAAAGCGGACTTTTTGTTTTCGAATATTACTATGTCAATTCCTTAATATCTCATGTTTGGTGTTTTAATTTAAAGTTTAACGCTATTTTGAATGAGTTGTATTACTAAACTTATTTATTCGGTTAATTAAAAAAAGGTCCAGCCGAAATACGAAAATACGAAAACAAAAATATTAGCTCCGTTATTATTGTCAAATGCGTCCAAGGCGACAGACTCTCGCGGATTTACAGATGACATGTGCCGGGATATTTGTTCTCTCCTACAGGATATTTTGATAAGACGGTAAGGAATACAAACCTCATGATATTGATAAAGTTTTACAAGATGAGTGCCATCGTGACATTAAAAGATATGAAAGTTGAAAAACATTTAATTTGAAAACTTCAAGACAAAGGCATTTGGCTGTTATCCAAAGGATAAGCCTACCACTACCAGAACAGCAGCACAATAGCATGCTAGTCTACCAACAGAGACAAAGGGAAACTTGAAACTTTGTATACTGATCCGTATACATTATTGATACTTTACAGGACAAATTCGGTGATATTCCTTCACTTACTTATAAAAAAAATGTTTGTCTGGAGCATTTAAAGAAAACTGGACATAAATAACACATCGTCACATGTACACACAAATACTATTCTGATTATATTGAAGTTTTGATTAATATCGTCAAGATCTTATAATTCTTTTTTTGTTAAATATTGTTATCGTCAGTGCAAAAGTAAGGTTTAATGAGAAAGAAGTCAGGTTGATGGAGCTCCTGCACCCTAAAGAAGAAAAAGAAGATCGAGGTTCACTCATTCTACTCCTAAGGCTGCAGAATGAAATTGTGTTCAGCCAAATAGGCAAAGAGCCATGCTTGGATCCAGTAAAGTGTTAGGGCTCTAAGCCCCTGCCTTAGAAACTTCTGAATTTTCTTTATAAACTTATTGCTGTATTTTTCCCATTCCCCCCACCCCAATCCGGGTGTTAATAATTAACCTGTCCAACTTATAAAAATCATGGTAGAAAATTTAGGATAAGTTTTCACCTAAATGTCTTAGAATTTATCATGATAAGACTGTGACCAAAATATTCATTACACAAAGTTTTACATTTATGTTGTGACATATCTTGTACTCTATTATAATCACTAGTTATTTTTTTAAAAAGGATTATTTCTTGTTAAAAAGTGACAAAAATTAATGTACACAAACCGAAATACTGTATTTGCCATAATTAGCACCCAGGGTGCTTACCTATTGGCTGAAGGTCTGGGTTGGGGGAAGGGGGCGATTTTTAAGATAACATAGGTTATGGCAGTTGCTTGTGTCAAGGCAACATAACTGTCTGACATAATCCAAGTGAAAATTTCAAAACTACTCTCTATCCCTTTTAAAAAAAAACGTTTGACTGGAGAACAGTCTTGTTAGCGAGACAGTAATTTCATGCAGATGTTAATTGTACATACTGTAGTAAGTATGTTTTGTCAATGAGAAAGAGCCAGATGGAGGGTGTTTTGGAAAGGGGCGCTTATTATAACAGCATTTCAGTAGGACATTGCCAAAAAGGGGAGGGGTGTTAATTACAGCGATTACAGTAATGATACTGTATGTATCTATAAGGTATATTGTTATAATTCTGGTATAGATCTAATATAATATTTTCATCTTATCTTCCAGAAAGATCCTCAGTCCAGAAATCTAGGGTGAACAATAGCACAGGGTGTGCTCCCTACAAGGCTGTACCATCATTTCGTTGCCATAAATTTGTATCCAGCTTTACATAACTATGGCAAGAGAAACGGCAAACTCTCGGGAACAGGCAAAACACTACTTGTCAGCACACAAAATCCCACAGATGTTTGAAAGCCTTCTGAGCTGCCTCATGTTGGAGAGACCCGACGACCCAGTCATTTATATTGAGAAAAAGATGGCCGAGATTAAGGAAGTTGGACTCGAAAATGTCAACTGGGAAACATTTGTATACCATCTCCATCCCTACAGGGACATTGTAAGGCGTAGGCATGTTCATGATGGAAGTAAATTTGATAAGGAACGTGAGATTGAAGAAACGTCAAAATTGGAAATAGAAAGATCAAAAGCCGTTAGCCGAGGCAGTGACTACAAGCCTGAAGTTTTCCAGCTCACAGAGGCGGCTCAATAACCAAATGTACCAATTAGTCATATCCTATTGGCTTTTATCTGTAAAGTATGAGGAAACAAGATTGTTTTTTATTATATATATATAAAAAAAGTATTCATGTTTATTTAATAGTCCGTTTTCAACTCAGGCTATCAACACAATCCGTATATTTTATCATAACCTAAAATGTATGTGAAGAATGGTTTTGCTATTATTTAAGAGTGCATGATTTAATTTCTAGTACACACAAGGATGTATATTGGTAAACCAGTTTGACAGTGCGGATCCATAGTAAGAGAAATCTGGTAATTTATAAAGACGTCTGGTTTTGTTTTTATATCCACACTGGTTGAGAACTTTTTTTCCAGATAAAATATCTTATGTCCATATTGTTTACTGTTTATACTGAGGTACCAGCATAGCTGCTATATGATATGGTCTTGCGTTCTGACTGCTAGCTGTTAATTGTGATATTGCGAGTCAAAATTGAGAAAACGTGCTATTTTTCTCAAACAATGTGATATCTGTAATATTTCTTGGCGTCATTTGCAAAATACAGAAGATCTAGAGTCGAGATTGGTTTTGCTGTGTCTTTTCTTTTACTTTTGTAGCAAGTATTCATTATCACAACAACTTTACACAAATTGCTGAACCATCTTGCTGCGTTATCATTACTTGTTTTTCAGTCATGTAATATGTAAAAAAAACATCTCTTTACTAAAAAAAAGACCACCTTTTAACTCATTCACCCCTGAAATTTCATTATGAACTTTTACAACCTTTGAACTGGAAGAGTCCAAATGTGTCTTCAGGGGTGAATGAGTTAAGCATTTAAATCATATTGGATATATGTTTAGTGAGAGATTTCAACTTTTTGTAGCCTAGAAATTATACTATAGTCAATAGGTTGGTTGGTTGGTTGACAGGTTTATCGCCTACATGACTCCATCCATGCAGGTTTCGTCTCACTGACGGAGGTCGGTGTTCTGTCGGCTTATAGTCAATATTTTCAGTGGGACATTTATACTGCTATTAGCTTAGAAAATAACATCACAGTCAAAAATTCAGTGGGGCATTTCTTAATAGAAATAGAACTTCAAACTTTACGAATTGGCGAAGAACGCCAAAAGAGTTCACAATTGTCTAAATATGCATTTATTGGGTAGTTTACAAATATGAAGGAAATTCAGTATTAAGTATATCGGTACATTATGAATGTAGATACATGTAGGTAGGTTATTATTATATAATTGTAGATGGGTACGGATCGCATATAAGTATATTATTATATAAGTAGTAACTGTTTATATTAGAATCTGTAAAATATTATTCAAAATTTTGTGATATTGAGTAATAATTAAGAAGAAAACGCAGATTATTGGCACTGATTTAAATTTATTAGTCATAAATTATGAATGAATGGTAAAGGGTTTAAATTATTGCCAAATCTATGATGGAAAACATCTGTTCTTTTTCTAAATTAATTTCAGACATAATGGAGATAGCAGAATGTTTAATTGATTGATTTTTATCTTCATTCATGATGGCAATCTGAAATCAATTATCTTAACAAGTTGGCCAATTATCGGGATAAAACTAAGAAATGATTTAGCTATATGTAGTAATAACATTAGTTTAACGTAGCTTGTAGACCCAACATTATGATTTTAGCATATTATTTGTATGAAAGCATTTGATACACAAGATTATATGGAATGGGATGTTAAGATTTGATCAGTAAAACAGAATGTCACTTAGTGATTGGAGCGATGTTGGTGTCAATCATTATTTTTTTTATCTATTTGACAATCTTTGTATGATATCTTAAGAAATAAACTAGTCTTTCATTATTGAATTCGGAATTACATGAATTAAATTTGAAATCTTGAATTCAATAGGTATGAGAAAGCAGAGATTCTTGCCAAGGTTGTTGTACACTAAATCTTATAATTAGGGTAATTGTGATCTCTGGGACGTATGGCTTTTTAGGGGAAACAATATGTTTAATATATTTAACTTAGAACCATCTTTTTTTTTTTGGCAGTTGACATATAAATATATTCAGAATTTTGAGCTTTGATGAGCCCCAAGTTGATTGTACAAACAGGTTTGCACTTAGTTTTTCTGTTTTTGAATTTATTTTAAAGTGTCAAACAATTCATGGACTAAAATTCAGAAGTTTATGATTTATCTCTTTTGCATTCGGTTAAAATGTCCCATCTCAACAGAAAATGTTATTGTGTGTCGCTTGCGATCGGCAATTTCAGGATTATCTCCCCTTATCAATAACTGCCTGTCGTTGAACCGTCTGTGGCTGGTAAACATGTTAGTTATGCTATGATTTGGCAACGACAAGTTTATCAAATGTCAGTGTATTGTTAATAATAATTCAGATTTCATAAAAGGAATTCCTAAAATCATTGAATTTTACAATAATATTGAACGAATGAGCCTGGATTTTAAATTCCTATCTTGCATTGAGTTTGTGAAATACACTCATAATTTTCAAAAATATCAAATCATGTATTGTTCATATTTAATTCAGTTTAGAAAGTTTTATACTTTTCTTTCTTACCTTTCAGAATTCAATTTTTGAATGGATTTTTTAAAAGTCAATGTATGTACATACTGAACTTTTTACCGAGGAGGGTTTTAGTTGTATATATTGGTTAATAAACTGATAATGATTGGAACAATAAATGCCAAAAAGTATACTGGAGGCTTCAGCTTCAACTGGAGGATGCTTCAAATAAGTGTGATATCATTTTTTTAGTATACATGATGTATATATGTGTTATGAATTGTTAACACTTTAGGGAACCATTAGTTCACATTATTGATGACAATAACACATTCAGTGAACTATAAATAGATTTTGTTGTAAAAGAGGATCCTTAATTTATGGACATGCAGTTTTTATTACAATTTATTTTTCATTTAAGCATGGGTTTTTTTTAATTGATTTTTTTTCCGACTTGGATAAATGTGTTGAGCTGTTGGATAGAGTTTTACCTCAAAATGTGTGTAATTGTTCGCCAATTTGCTTTGTAAAAATAGGATATGTTGTTTTCAATATGACTATCAAACCATCATGGATTGGTTTCTAAATATACACTTTGATAAAAAAAAATTAAATCATTTTTAAAATGATAAAAAGTGGTGTTAATTTTGTATCTGTCAATGTTTATTTTCATGTTGCTTTCCTTGTGATCTTCTAGACCTTAGCTTTTATAATATTTTTTTTACGAACTTTTGACCTCTCTGTGATAAACCAAGGGGAGATAATTCTTCACTGTGATAAAACCAAAGGAAATATGTTTTTCTTTTGTGATAAATCAAGGGAGGTAATTCTATACTGTATCAAATCAGGGGAGATAATTAATCACACTGCATAAAGTGCTTGTGAGTGTTTTTGACGTGCACAGAATTCTTCTTTTTCTACAAGAGTTTATTGTTTATTCAACATTGCCACTAGGTTTTAATAATACAGAGTGTGCAATATCCATCACCCATGCACATCATAAGATTTGCCTTTCAGTCATTTATGATCAGGTGATTTTAGAAATTTTTATTCATCCCCTGAATTCTCTATCAGAATCAACATTGAAGCAGTCAGAAACATCTTTTTATTCTATGTCTCTTTTTCTTTTGCAATATTTGTTTTTGATTTATGCATCAATGATGAGCCTGTATTTGTATACGTGTTTACTTCATATATTTTTCTTAATTCTAAGTTTAAACCAGTGAATCATGTTTCTTGATTTATAAAATAAATATTTTTGAAAATGAAAGTTTTATTTGATTATTGCTCCATTAAACATAGCTTCAGATATTGTCAGTTTTATATGTAAACACGGATTTGTGATAACAAATTACACAACGTAACAGATTGTTAGAGGAGATTCCTTAAGGCTGTATGCTACCCTATTTGATAGGTCCATGAGAATGCATGTATTTAGAAGTGTTGGGTAATTATGAATAAGATAATGTAAATTAAAAAGTTGTACAAGGGAGATAACTCTAGCAAAAGTTGTAGCTAATGTAGCATACATCCTTAAATCAATTTGCAAAAATTTCAAAGATGCTGGAGTAAAAAAAACTATTTGCATCTTTCTAGTTATTCCAAACAATGCTTCCAAAAATTATGATGAATGATAAATTTTGATAGAATCATGGTCAGTGCTTCAAAGGTCAAGTTCAAGAAAATCCAAGAATTACAAAATTTAGATGAATTAACGTTTTTGTCATGACAAACGTCATGAGCAAGTGGTTTCTATATCTGTGATACCCAGATACATGTATATTACACAATATCTGTACCTGTTTACGTGACATTATCCGACGCTATATCAAAGTAAAAGCATTTCTCTTCCTGTTTCCTCATTCATAATGATAAAGGACAATGTTAAGATCAGTAGTGATAGTATCCATGTGAAGTCAAAACAAGAGGCCCAATGAGCCTGCTTTTCTCGCCTGGTATTTATCTCACACCTGTAACTTTAACAGCTGACCAATCAAACAACTTTAAATGGACTTGATTATACTACAGGTTGAATATCAATTTGTTACAACAGTTGATAATTCAGATGAAGTCATTCAAAGGTTTTAAAAACAAATGACCTCTATGACCTTGAAAGTAGGTCAAGTTCATTTATCCCTGCATGCTACTGGCCAAATAGCATCACATTAGGTCTTTTGATGATTCAGAAGTTCTTAAAACATTTAACCCCTGTGACTTTAAATATCAGTGAAGGACTTTCATTTGAACAAACCTCAAACCTTCATCCCAGCATGCTACCTGCCAAATATCATCACCTTAGGCCTTTTGGATATTCAGAAATAGTCATTTAATATTTTTAGCTCACCTGGCCCTAAGGGCCAAGTGAGCTAATTATGCTGTGGTGCAGCGTCTGTTGTCAACTTTTTACTTTAAACAACTTCTTCTGAATAACCAAGAGGTCCAGGCTGATGATATTTGGCTAGTAGCATGCTGGGATGAAGGGCTCCAAAGTTTGTTCAAATGAATGACCTTTGCCCATTTTCAAGATCACAGGGGGGTCAAATATGTTAAAACCTTTAAACAACTTCTTCTAAATAACTAAGAGGCCTAGGGTGTTGATATTTGGCCAGTAGCATATGCTTGGATAAAGGGCTACCAAGTTTGTTCAAATGAATGACCATCGCCTATATTCAAGGTCACAGGGGTCAAATAGGATGAAATCTTTAAAAACTCCTTATGAATAACCAAAAAGCTTCAGGGTGATGATATTTGGCCAGTAGAATGCGTGGATGAAGGGCTACGAAGTTTGTTCAAATGAATGACATACACCAATATTCAAGGTCACAGGGGTAGATTGTCTTAAAAACCCTTAAACAACTTCTTCTGAATAAACAAAAGGACCAGGTTGATGATATTTGGCCAGTAGCATGCAGGAATGAAGGGCTACAAAGTTTGTTCAAATAAATGACCTTTGCCCGTATTCATGGTCACAGGGGTCAAATATGTTGAAATCTTTAAACGACTTCTTCTGAATAACTTAAGCATCTAAGTCAAAACACTAATATTTTGCCTGTATTTTCACTGAACAAGCTTTATAGACCTTCATCCTGGCATGCTGCTGGTGAAATATTATTACCTTTGACCTTTATGTTATTCAGAAGAAATTGTTTCAAACATTTTTTTGAACATTTGATCCTTGTGACCTCGATAGTAGGTCAAAGTGCTTCGTTTTAACAAACTGATAAAAATTTCATACCAGCATGCTTTTGGCCAAATATCATCACCTTGGGACTTTCGGTTATTTAGAAGAATTTAGTCGTTTAAAGATTTTAACACATACATGTGACCTTTGACCTTGAAAGTGGGTCAAAGTCATTCATTTGCACAAACTTGGTAGCCCTTCATGCAAGCAAGCTATTGGACAAATTTCATTTTTTCAATAGGATTTAATAGGATATTAGAGGACACAGGCATTGCTGCCTTTATATCCACATCAATATAATTTGAAATGCATTTGAAATCTGATCACCCTGGACATGTTGATGGTTGAGAAGGAGTTGTTTAAATTAAAAGTTAATGCCACAGAATAAGCTCACTTTGGACCAAATAAGCTAAAAAAAAAACACAAAGAAAGATTGCATTTGTGAAATTTTTTAATTTCATCATCATTAATTTATATTTGAGATTTTGTAATACTTCTGGTGTATGCTCAGCAGTAAAATTCAACTAAAACATCATCTCAGGATTCTTTTGAAAGACCATCTCCATCAAGTAATAAATCTGCATGTTTTATAAAATGTGTGGCATGCACAAATTGCATAATATTGCAGTTGTTTTTCTGGTAATGTCAAAATAATTATGTGCAGCCATATCATAGAAAATATATCTTTTGAAATATATTTTTCAAACAATGACAAATTTATTACATGGATTGTACAAGTTTTTTGAATAATGATATATCTTATACATTATGTTGTACGTTAAAATTGTAGAATGTAATACTTGAAATTTATTCAGCAGTAAATTTGACTAAAACATCATCTCGGGCCCTTGTAATGACTATCTTAATTGTGTTATGTAAAATTTTGTAACATCTACACAGCTTATTTGACAGTGGTACAACAAAAACTATTTTATATATTTCAAATACTGATGATAAATTCAGCAGTACTGTTTGGCCTAGTACGCCAGCAATCAATGGACTAAGAAATCTGGTTTAAAAAGTAAACAGTAAATTTCAATACTACATGACATTCAGCAGCAATTGTTTGGGAATGTACAAATTCACGCTTTTTATAATCATAGGTTTTAATTATTTAAACACATCACATCAATTCATAGTAAAAAGTTACATAATTCATGATTTACAACATTTAAGAAAGCTTGAAATGAATTTAATTTTTCAACCTGTAAAGGTTTCAATTCGCATACACCGTTGAGAAGAACCATATGAAAATGCATATCTTCATTTTACATGAGATTTATGAAATAAGTTTTTCATTTTAGAGGGCTTATGCTGTTCGAAAAAAAAGGGCAAGTGCCATCAATTTCATATTGAAATTCATGATTTTTTTTATCACAGTACCAAGAAAGATACATGCAATAAAAACAAAAATCCCATGAAATATAGCGCACCAGGCAGGCACTTTTGTAATATTGCAATACAAGAACTTTTGACTTTAATTGTATGAAGCAGTCCTATGAATGGTGCCATCACGAATGTAAACTACCGAAATGAAAATATCACAACTTTAGATGTTATATCATGGAGAAACTGAATCAGATTTATTTTCAGACCGAAGGTTCTGTTCCAGGTCCATTTCGCTAGCAGAGATCAGTCGTGTGCACACGTATTCAGAGAAAAGTACATACAAGTAAATGTGGATGATGCAAATTTAATTTTCATCTGAAGATGAAAGAAAATCTGAATTGAGTTTTTAAACTGTGAAGGAATTGACTTTATGGTATAAATTGATGTACAATTTTTGTCCTGTTGTAATGTATATTACACTGTGGTATCAGAGATTGGATTTGGATAGAAAGATCAATATAAGATGTTATTGCTGTGTGTTAATGAAAGTGTGTCAGAGCTACAATTTTATTCAACAGACTTAAACAAATTGCGATTCAGAATGAAAGCAAATCACTTCAAACAATTAAATCAACTCCTATTCAAACAATTAACTACCACACAAATCATGAAATTGTTTTATCGATTGTTTGCATGTGATTGAAAGTGAAAATGTTAAAAAAAAATGTTCAAATATTTCTATCATAAGGTCCTTTCTCATTAAAAAAAAAAAACGAAATAAAAAAAATATATTGAACATTCCATTTTTCACAACACATTTACTGTCAATAGTAAATCGGATGTTCATTTAAAATCAAACATCACAGTCTTAGATTGTCACCAGCTATTAGAAAGATGCAAAAAATATCTTTAAAAAAACACCTCAAATGATGAATAAAAAATATAAATCTTTACTTGGTATTTCAATTTATGGATATTGCAAACTTCTGCCTGTTTTGAAATACATATATTGCTTATGGTTTAAATTCCAAACTCTTTGTGTACATATAAGCAATTGTGAAGTGCATACCAAGAAAAAAAAAGAACATTTAGATATTCAATTGGTTTTGTAAACTGGTGACTTGCAAAAATAAAACCAAGCGCAGCAGCTGTATATGACATCAACCATCCTGACAGCGTCAACCACATCAAGAAAAATTTACTTCATGCAGATTTGGAAATTCCGAAAAACTGTTCAAAGACTTTGACATCTGTTTCTGAGATTTCACGAACTAAAATGAGTAGTATGTATACAACTAAAATAGTACATCATGTTGATAAACATTTCTTTAACAAGTTTACGATCAAACTAAACACTTCAAAAATCTTTGAACTCAGAAAAATTATTTATTGAAATTCGGCTTCTTTTTCTGAACAGGTACGTAATACATGCTGAAATGATTCGAAATAGGAACAATGGATATATCTAATACTATAAAAGTTGAAATGTTCGTGTGTGGGAAATCGTCATGTTTTTCGCATTGAGTAAAATAAGCATGAAAATATCCACATGCGAATATTGATTTATAGATTATAAAGATCACAGATTAATAGAATACATAGATTGCAGAACTATTGTTAGCGCAAAAATTTCCACAATGGTATTATACAAAATTCTGTAACAAGTAACAAAACATGGAAAGACATTTTAATACTTTGGTTTACAAAAGCAATGTGTACATTGAAGTAAAATTAAGATTTGAAGACTGAAGAGAACGATGCAACAAAACAAATTAAAAGTCTGAATATCTCCAAAAAAGGATGTAATTTTTCTGTCAAATTTTTAAAATGACTTGGAACTGACAGAAAATTGTTGAGAAAAAAAAATCAGCCTTTTAAAAACTTAATTGTCTTAGACTAACAAGACAGCACTGCTTGTAAGTATTTATTTATCTGAGAAGTATAACAATTTAAAGTTTGTCTGCCCCTAATACTTATAAAGCACTGAGGAGACAAGACATTATCACAGACAGCAGAAATATATACAATGTACATGTAAAAAGTCATATATTTAAAAAAATGTAAATATAATTTGTAAAATTAAAACTCTCTTAAAACAATTATATCCTTCTGATACAAAACATATACATCTTAAACATTAGCAACAATTATTGACGATCTTTAACAATCACACAAATTGTTTGTACAAGTCTTATATCAAATACACTACAATACATATGGAAGAAATTACAACAAATTGAATGTGTTTATATATGGATAGTTTGTAGAAAAAGTTTCATAACATTGGCATTTAGAAGTCGACTTAAATATTGTGGCTTAAAATACATTAATATCAAACTTTTGCAAAAAAAGTTTAAAACTGATATACATTCATGTCTGTGATTTTTGCATTAAATGCAGGTTTTATAAAATATTGTGTGTTATTTGACATTGCCTGTATACCTTTATAAAATGTAAATACAATATTGATAAAACAATATTTTACACAGGTCTGGAAAAAGTCGAAAATTAAATTTTGTAAAAATTGATAGATCTCTAATATAAATTTGATAGAGGAAATTTCTGTGAAAATAAGTCCCGCCATTGTTAAGCTAAATGATTTTTGAATCAATCGTTTAGATGGAATTTGTTTTTAAAAAAAAAAGACAACATTAATTATCTTTACTATTCAACAGACAAAATTCTACGTATCAAAATTGTAGACCTATCGACCATATTTTAGGCCACATATTTTGTTTACAGTGTAGCACATGTATTTATTTACATAGTACTGACATTTCAAGCAAGTTTTAAACCAGGAATACAAACACCAAACATTTGTTGCCACATTTATTTTCTTAGGGCAACTGATCTGTTCATGCTTACATGTCTAACATGCTTAGTACAATGTATATATACCCTGGTATTCCGCTTGGTGTATCAATTTTTCCTATCACATTTAAAATCAAATCTAAATATATTTTACAATATTTACAACAACATTTAGCTTTTGATTACCTAACAGTTTTCTTTAAAGAGAATTCGGGCAATAGTATGAAAAAATATATCAAAATTAATGATATATAATTCTGTACAAAAATAATTACTGCATTGTATTTCTGACATAGTTGATGCTTATGACTAGCAGGCTAATAACGAAATCTGCTAAATAATTATTAAAGTCTGAGAAAAGAAATTCTAAGAACACTCAAGCAAATGAAAATGCAAGTTTAAGCCAATAATACTAATCGCAGCTTCCTGTCAAACATTCGAGGGAGACTGATCATGAATATTGTAGGTATGCTCTGATAAAGTCATTGTAATTGACAGTCCCTTCTAAGCTCTTGTCGTAATACGACACCAGGTGATAGAATTCTTCCTCCGAGAGATTCATGTTAAATTGTCGCAAAACTCTACGGAAGTCCACAGCTTCTACGTTTCCGGAATTTCCAGGATCTATAGAACGGAAATTGCGTCTCATTTCTTTCCAATTCTGCATCACACAATCCCGAACCCTGACCATTGCCTCGTAAAACTGGTTAGATGTTGGGCCGGTTTCAGTCTGGAAACAAAAAGACCATAATCGAAAATAATTAAGTGTAAATATAAAATGGAATATACAACAATTCAGACTGTTTCACATATAGATACATAACGATGAAAAAAAACATATCAATAGAAAAAATAAAAAAAATAACAAGTGTTAGCTTTTGCTTTTGAAAATATTTTTTCCATAGATTCCCCAGTCATTAAGTTTTCTTTAAATATAAAACATTTTTAGTATAAATGAGATAAACATCCAGTGCATTATGCAAAAACATATAGATTTTTTGAAATTTGCTTTTAATATGTATTATGATCTTTTCAGGACAAAAAATAACGTTCAGTTCATACATGTATTTACATATATATATATATATATATATATATTTTTTTTTAAATATTTCTGTATTTTTTTATGCACCTAAAACAAACAAAAATTCATGCCTTAGGATGAATTTTGATATTTCACTTACTTTTTGTATTAAACCGTGATTTTTTTTGTTATTTACATTCGTTTTTTAATTGAAATTGCACAATACCGAAAACGTATCAGTACTCACCGTCACTCGAGTCTGTGGTATCTGTTTCCGTGACATAGATGACCCGACTTGCTCTCCGGGTTTGAGGTTGATGATGAAATGTCTAAGGAAGTCCACATAGGAGAAAGTCCCATCTTCCTGGATATCGTACTTTGTTAGCAGATCGCTAAGGTCATGCTGAGGAATCTGGACTCCAAACTTGTCAAAGATTTCTGCAAGTTTGAAAAATTTCAGAAATGATATTTATTTTTACATTATATTATTTAAAATTTGTTTGTATATATACATGCGTATATATGCGTATATATACGCATTTTATTTTTTAATTCTGCTTTCTGCTAAGTCTGACATGATTCAGTTTGATAAAATGTCACTGTAAAATTGCAGTGATCATCTTTGTGATGTCTTTCATACGTGAACATTTATTATAAACAAGGCCTAGAAACTAAAATGATTCATGTGACAGTATTTCTTCAAAGGAAAGGTTGAACCAAAATATATGGAGTAACATTAATTTTAATTTCATTTGTATTTTTTCCTATAAATTTGTAAGTTTCATTAACACTTTTTGATGCCATTGATTTTCTTATCTTTATTTTTTGAATCTCAAGGCCTGATATTCTTTTAAAAATTTCAACACTAAATATTTACCCTCATATGTGGCATTGCCACTATATATAACTCCTACCAAATTCAGTTGGCATTCATATAGGCTATGAATGCCATGGACTGATTGCTGACGTCATCATTATTATGACATCATAATTGTTACATTGGATACCACTGACCCGCTTAAACGAACACAGTTATTTATTAACTTTGTCTGCGATTTCATGTGCTTTACACATTTTCGATCTCACATTGTAAGAATTGTAGTTCACATTTGTTAATTCTGGGGAAAAAATAATTACAAAAATATTTTCCAGACCATGTAGTTTTCCTTATGGTATTTAACACTATGAACTGATATGTAATTTCCCCCAGACTGCCTCTTGTTTTACCCAGTATATCGTTGTTGGGGATGGTGCCGGTGTTGTTACGATCCTGATTCCGACACAACCGCTGGACCTCCTTCCAGTGGCGGAAGATGACGTCCTTGAGCTGCTGCTCCCCTGACTCCGCATTGATCATGGGCGTGGCCATGCGAGATGGTCCTCGGGACATTCTAGTGCCTGTCTTCCTCATATCAAGCTATTAAACAATATGATTTAATTCTTTCACAAACAGAAAATCCTAAACAGTTAACGTTTTTTCATTATGCACATGTTAGTACATGTAATGCAAGTTTAACTGCGGGAACTGTAGCTTCTAGGCCCGATTTTTATTTTTTATTTTTTATTGTATAACAATAAGAAGATACGGTTCCCGCAGCTAATGAAAGTTCAGGTATACATATACAGGTTTGTCTTCGGAACATTAAAATCATTCTAGAATCAACCTATTTATGAGATTTCCATTTGGATTTATTACGAACTTAATTTACCCAGTACAGTATGCTGGGAAATTTTCGCCAGTCAAATGCCTATAAAATCAATTTTTGTCTTTTGTTACCTTCGCCCTTCACATTTAATTACTTTGTATATTATGCTGTTTTTTAAGATTTGCTGTAAAGATAAATTTTCCTTCATTTCGTAGGGCGAAAAAGACCAAAATTAAACTGCAGCGAAAAATTCCGGGTATTCAGTAATTCACAATAATCCCCTTTCTGTTACCTGTATGTGATACTTTCCCATTCCAAGAGGTATTCACATTACAAAATTTAGTAATTGTAGATGACACTGGTGTATATGCGATTTGCCTAAGACAATGTGATTGCACTGATCAGGACAATAGGGTGCTCTCTTTCCATCAGTTCAGCAGTTTTTTTGTGACAAGAATTGACAGAAAGAGTGCAACCTATAGTCCCCTATGGTACAGGTGGTACTGGTGAAGGGCTTATAAACTAGTTAAAAGGACTCTTCAAGGATTCCAGGTGAATTAGATTTCTTGAAACATTTTCACAAAGATTTTGTCTTCAGTTGAATTTCTCAACAGGAACAGCTTCACTCATTAAAGTTACAGAAAAAATCTTAACTTACAATAAGTAGTGTTTATAAAACAGCAGTCAGCTGTCTGACTCCAAATTCCTTGACCCTTTCACCCCTAGGTAACTTTAGTAGACTCTACCATACATTCATCTGGATGATTCCATTATGGTCTACAGTGGTGAAAGGGTTAATTATTTCAAATTAGTCCTCACCTGAGTCATAGAGCGTGACATAGCCCTGGACTGTGGGCGTCGTCCCATTAAGGTGGAGGCGGGGCGCTGGGGGAGGGGCTGTAGCTTGTCCATTTCCTCTGGGCCGGTAGAGAACTGCTTCATGAACTGTTTGTAGTCAATATTCCCGAACTCATTGGTCGGGATGTAGGCCATCAGGTTGTCAAACTTCAACAGAAAAAGAAAGCGAAACTATAAAGTCAGAAAATGAGAAAAAACTTACACAACTCCAACTGCAATCTTGCCACAGCTGAAAATGAACTTTCTCAAATGGATCAATTTCAAATCAAACATAAACATTGAAATATTCAATCTCAGGTAAGCAAGACAAACTGTTATCAACGGTCTGTGTTAGTAACACTGTAGTAATTTAAACCAAAATGCCAACCCTGTTTTTATGTTAATGTTTTACGATAAATTCTGATGATACCATACATGCAGTATTTCTGAGACAAAATCTTATACAGACACCCCTAATGCTCCCTATCCAATCTCCATCAAAACATATTAGAAACATCAAAAGCATTGCAAACAACCAATGGTCCCCTACCCCAAAACAAACTTTGGTATAAAACTAAAAAAACTAAAAAAATAGTAAGGTACAACACCAAATTTCAGCATGCTACCCTCCTCCATCCCAAGAAGTACTCACATGCAAAATTTGGTAGCTGTAGGTGGCCCCGGACAATGTGATGAATGGTAAACAAAGGGCCATAACTCTGTATATATTGACATAACATTCTGTTACCCAAAGAGATAAACATTTAAAATGGTAGTTGTAGGTGATATGAGATATGTTCCAGACAAAGTGACACTAGGCCTGACTAACTACTGTATACTGAGCAATGTTCACTGCAGTTTAATTCTCGCCTTTTTCGCCCATCGTTATGAGAGCAAATTTATAATTACGGCAAACATCGAAATTAAATCAAAAGGGCTAATTAATTATAGGGCGAAAAAAGATTTTATCGTCGAAGGGCGAAAAATTTGACCAGGCAAAAATTTCCCTGTTTACAGTATTCCGTCTTTTCGTATTGCAGAGTTATCTGCTCTTGTGAGCAGCAATTGATTGATTACGTCATTTTCTCAAAAATGTATGACGTTACTCCCACAAACAAATGAGCAGATAACTCTGCAATACGAAAAGATGGAATAATATATTTTCTTGTAGTTCTATGGTATTGGTTTGGAACTAATATAATCATTTTCTCTGAGCCATCCTTCATTATACCCCTTGTAGACATATACCTACTTCTCCCTTCCAACCCTGAATTCCCACAAAAACGAATTGACGTTTCTCCTACTCCTAAAGCTTTAAATGTTGTACCTGCTCCTCGGTGATCCTAAAGGCCGTCTTATTGATGACTTCTTTAAAGTCTTCCTTGGTGACGACCCCGATTCCAGCGTAGTCGAGGTCGCTAAAGGCTCTAGCCAGTGTGTTAAAATGGCCAGCCACAGTTTCCTTCAAGCGAGTCTGTATTTCTTCCATAGAGTTGAGACTAGGTGTCTGGGCGTTGATGGTCTTTGTTAGATTGGTGAGCCATCTCTCAGCATCCTGGGAGGAAATATAAATATACGATAGGATAATTATAAAAACTTCTTAACTCTATACATGTATATATAATTCCCTCCTGTATTGAGAGATTGTCAGACAATCCAACTGTAATTATCCTGTAATAAGTGTTAAATAACCCTACAGGGCCAACGTCGAATATCTGACTTAAAATAGTGGGTTAGATTTATTACAGGGTAATGAAATATCATTTATTTTGTAAAAATTTTTGCATTTTTACTGAACTGGAATAGATATGGGTGGGCTTATTGCCAATAGTTAAATGAGTAATGGAGTAGAATATGCTTTGTGGAAATTAGAACAAATGTTTGCCGTCATGATAATATCACTCACATTGCGGTTGGCGAAAAAGGGGATTCAGTTTTATGAAAATTTCCCTGTATACACTTTCATTTAAATATCATAGATTAATGTTTTTGACACAATTTTGATGTTAGAGAGTACACATAAATTTTGCATATTATCAACATTGAAATTTTCTCCTATCATTTCACAGGATGATGACTTGGTCACTTTTAAAATCATCCTCTGCATAAAAAAATTATACTAATTACTGATTTGTATTAAGGTGGCTTTAAGCCAATTGCAAATTCACCTCCACTATAAGCAAACTCTTTACAAGCACTTGAACTAAGTTAAAAAAAAAGACAGATTGCATTCCAGGTAAGGGAGACTACTCTCCCTTTGACTGACCTCGGAGCCGCTGAGGGTGTTATTATCCAGGAACATGAGATAGTTGACCTGGTCCTCCGTGATCTGTAGTCGACTCTTCAGGTATTTCCACTGAGCATCCGTCAGCTTGAACATAAAGATGTCCAGTGTTCTCCGGAAGTCCGCAAGGGGTATCAGTTGTGTGCTATGTTTATCAAACGCTGCAAATGCCTGAAATGAACATGAAAATGCATAAAAAAAAAATGCCATTATATAACCCTCATGTTCAACAGTGACTTGACTATGATATTTCTTTTCCCATTCATTTTCAATTCTGTCTGTAAATGAATTTTTTTATGGACACTCCCACAGAAAAAAAAATCCCTCCACATGTGATGTACTGGGTATCCAGACTTAAAATTCCTGCTGCGAAATAACCTTTTCTTACACTAGGGTTGAGACAAGGGGATTACACAGTCATAATGAATTACAAACACAAGGTCATGTCCACAATGTATTGATTGAACATTAACAATGCATATGTGACAACAGGGTAAAAGTTAAGATGATCCTCTGGCCTCCTCTCCCCAGGGGTGAAATTTGCAGATCTCAATGCCCAGCAGAAGATTCTTAAGTTGCCACAAACATTTAGCAAGAAAGCCTCATGTTCGGCAACTGAAGAGTCTTCCCCTTCGGGTTGAAAGCCCTTATTCCCCATCCCATCTCACCCTAAGGGAGTTAATTACCGGAACATATTCTAATAATCCCCCCCCCCCTCAAACTTTTAAAATTTTCATCCCCACCCAATTTTAAAAAAAACCCACAAACAAACAAGAGTACCGCGGGGCAGAACAATATACGCCCGTCGAATGCCATATAGTGTTATAAACTTTCTTACATTGAAATAAGATCTGCATCATTCTAAGAGTGGTTAGCTGACATGCTATAAAAAACGTAGGAGAAAATCTCAGGACCAAAAAATCAAATACTGAAATAATCAAAAGGCAATAACTTTTGAAAATACTGTTGAACCAAAATTCTTCTCAAGGAAACACAACAACATATTATGATTATTTAGCCTACTAAGTTTCAAAGAAATCCCTCAAAAAATGTAGGAGGAGATCTCCGGACAAAAAACCAAATACTGAAATGAACAAAGGGCAAGAACTTTTGCAAAAATTGTCGAATCAAAATTCTTTTAAGGGAGACACAACTTCATATCATGATCATAATGTATATGAAGTTTCAAAGAGATCAGTCGAAAAATGTAGGAGGAGATTGCCAGACAAACAAAAGTTTATGCCGACCGGACGGACGGACAACCCCATACCATAATACTTCCGTCAAATTTGACAGGCGTATAAAAAGAAAACATCAACAAAATGCCAACAAGAGGGGTCACAAACCCATTCTGCTTACCCTGCTAAGAAGGTCATAATTTTTGGACACCATCTCCCTGAGACGTCCTTCAGCTTCCTGGGGCGTGATACCCATATATTGCGAGACTTGGAACTCGGGTGTTCTGTTACCGTAAGCAGACTTTCGCCCATCCTCGAATGCCCTCAGGAAGGCGTCGTAGTTCAGACGACTTCTGTTCGTGGGTAAACCAATCCTACAGGAAAATATCTAGAATTAGCTTTGGCCTAGTAAAGCATAAATATGAGCATCTGGTATAAATGTCTTGGAATTTTTGTTTGCACCATGACAACTTATATATATAGATTATGAAATAACAAATACGTGAGACTGACTGCTAGGTCTTTCAGCCTTCTTGCACTTCTGAAGGTGGATTCCATAAATAAACATATCAAAATCTTGATCATAAGCCCGATTTAAAAATATACCTTGTATTCCTTGCAGTCAATTTACTCTCAAAACTAAACTCATTCACCCCTGAAGACGCATTTGAACTCTTCCAATTCAAAAGTTGGAACAGTTAATTATGCAATTTCAGGGGTGAATGAGTTAAGCCACCTATGTATTTGTCATGTTCGCACATACCAGGTACCTTGTATATGACATTAGGGTATATTCTGTTTCTAAAAAATTCAACGAAACCATTCACCCTTTCACCACTGTAGACCATAATGGACTCATCCAGACGAATGTATGGTAAAGTCTACTCAAATTACCTAGGGGTGAAAGGGTTAATAACTATTTTTTTTAACTGAAGGATATCTATAAATTGTGCATGTTTAACTGTTCTCAGAGTTCATACTATAGAGTACAGGTGAACTGAAAACACATGATTTTTTTCACAGAAAACAAGAATAAATTAAAAGCTATTAACCTGTCAAGAAGGAGGAAAAACTCTTCATCATTCATAAAGAAGTTTAAGTCTGTGAGAACTTTCTGGACGTCTTTGACGGAAAGCGAACCTTTCTTTTCTGTGTCATACTGCATGAAGGCAGCATAGAAATCCTTGTAGTGGTCCCTGATCTTATCTCTGTAAATTAACAACAAAACTTTAAGCATAAACTTTGTAAATATAAAACAATGGAACTATATTAGTATATCAAAACTGTGAATATCAATTATTTTCTGGAAACATTCATTCACATTTTTATAAGATAATTACAACTGGCATTATATTTAAAGATCTATTGTGTATCAATTAATTTTGTCAGTATGGCAGTTTGCATAGTTGTATTCAGAAATTAAAGCTTTAACTTTCCAAAATTGAATCACTTAAAAAGTAAAATTCTGAGTATATTTAAAACTAATTTATTGATTTCAATAAAGGGTTAGGCTTTTATTACTTATTTGTATTTTATGTTTCAATTATCAATTAATTCAACTTTTTCATACATAAAGATCAAGCATAACACTATTTATCAACCTCGATCTTCAACAGTTGTACACAGTACGGGGGGGTTAAGTTTTCTTCCAATGTTTTTCAAAGTGTGTATATATTTTACATTTCATCTTTCTCTGACAAATGTGCAAACATTTGCAAGGGTACCTGAATTTATGGATCTTACTGCCTCCTTGTTAATCAACAACTGTTTTTTTTTAGATGCTGGTAGTCCATTGATATCAATAAAAAAATATTTTACTATTTAAGGCATTTTATGTGCAGTTCTTAAAGCGCATACCTCAGCTGTCGCTCCACCTCCTCCGCTGACATAAACATCACACGCTCCGCCTGGTGTTGCGTGATCCTCTGGTGTTTGCCCAGCTGTTGCTTGTTGTGATCAATAATGTATTGTTTACTGTCATTTATGATTTTACTGCTGGTACCGATGATATCCGTGGGTGTGAACTCTGAGGTGCCCAACTTCGCCAGGAAGTCTTTGTGTGAGAGGAAACCTTTTCCAGCACTATCATACCTGATATAATAAAAAATAATTTATTCACATAACTATTTAAAAAAGATATACACACTATACCTAAATTAAAATAAAAAAATAAAAAACATTTTATTTTTTTATTTTTTTTAAAAATAAGAATTAAACTTAGGTGTTTGCATGAGTACGTTATAAGATATTTTGTAATACAAAAGTTGAACCCCTCTACACAATCGTTTGTTTTCCTTTAAATTCAAGATACTAAAATCTAAAGGAAATATTGTGATTACAATAAGCAGTGTTATAAGTGTGTTAGATGTTTCATCAAATGCTATTAAATCGGATCCACTTTTTTTAAAGTTTTCCCTTTCCTACGGTATCATCAGCGTAAAAGTAACCAGCTTCATCCCAAAAACCGCAGATATAACATGATAACACTCAGAGAATGTGTTCGGACAATCAAGTTTATATCAAAAATATGTTTCGGTCTGACTTTTAAAAAATGTGCTTAAAAGTTGTTTCAGAATGAAATCTAGAGGAAAGATTGTTATAATAGCACAAAACGAGTTCAGACAATCAAGCGTAACCTTAAAAATCTATCAAAAAATGTTTCCGAAAAAGATTGTACTTTCACTTTATACATACATTGCCCACAGACTCTTGAATTCCTCCGGTGACATGGGTAGGACAAACCTAAACAGTAAGTCTCTCAGGTCTCGTTTTGTAATGATTCCTTTTCCTCGCGAATCAATACTGATAAATGCCTGAAAAACAGCACAAAAATTTGTGATTAGTCAGACACCTTTGATCAAATCAGCTACATCGATGGATTTTTTTATTAGAGCAAGCTCTGCTTCCTTAATACTGGAAAAAGACATCTATACAATTATATCTGTTCAGTATGTGTGGATTTTTTTTTATACAAGACAGGTGCATTTATATGTTTATATTGCCTGCAACTACAATACAGAATATCGTAATTCATGTGATGTACTTTGGAACGATGAATTGAATTTTCAAAAATATGAAATTTAAAATTATATTGACAAAACCTTATTTAAGCCGAGCATCTGTACCTGGGTATATACTGATAAGATTCAACTGATTTCTCAANCCCACCTTCCATAATAATCCCTATAGATTGATGAAGTGACACAAGGTGTTTAAATTGGCATAATAAACCTTCATACCAACTTTAGCAAACAAAGCTGACAAAACCTTAATTTCGACCAATCAGAAGACAGATTTATGTTACAGCACCACCGTTATAATGATCAGGGTGATAAAGGGAGGTAATAGGTACTGACCCCTGCTATGTCCTTCCATTGCTGGTGGACCTTCCGTTTCAGTTCTCCGTGGACCTCCGTGGCGGTCAACTCGGAGGTCGGCTGTGTATCATTATACCTAGAATCAAAGTCGGGACATAATTGATTAATAGCTTACTTGACCTCTAGAGGGTTGTGAAAATAAATTGATTTCCTTACTAAATTAATAGATTAAAAATTGTTAAAAGAATTAGTACTAATTTCATAAAGTATTTTGTCAAGTCAATTTTTTTCCCCATTCATTTTCATATAAAATTATGAAAATACTTTCCAATACATTGCATCTGTTTTTATTTTCTGAGTTATATATATATATATATATATATATAGTTATTTAGCCAAATTCTATTTTTATGATTATTCATTTACAAAATTGTATATATAGTTTTGAAAAAGATCTAAATATTGATCTTTTATATACTTTTGGTAATTTTTTCTAATAGTACATAAATGTGTCATTTTATCTTAAAGTAAAGATTTGTTAATATGTTTTAAATATCTTTTATTGGTGATCTTGATATTGTTTTGTAAATCCATAAGTTTTTTAAGACTCGTATATGGTATTACAGCCCAAATAATACACTGAAACTAAAATAAGGCACACATATCTTGTTATACTAGATACCAGTAGATATATTCAAGAAAAAATATCTGGAATATTTAGTTTTTGAATTTTAATTGCTAGAATAGCAAAACAAGCCATGGAAAATCTGCTGGATTAGCCCTTTCACCACTGTAGACCAAAATGGACTCATCCAGATCAATGCATGGTAGAGTCTACTAAAGTTACATAGGGGTGAAAGGGTTAAGTACACAAACAAAAACATATACTTCTCACTTTTTTTTTTTTTTTTTTAAATAACCAAACTTTTAAGTACCTGGTAAGTACACTTTAGCACTTGAAATGTGAAAATGTCACCATGTAATTGCATCAGTTCTTTAAACAATAACTTGCCAACTCATCAAATCATACAGAAGCAGTAATATTTTTTTTTATTAATTCTACTGACCTATGAACCGAGTTAAGCCACTTGTGACCTTCAGCGGTGTCCCTGATCTCGAACCTCCGTAGGAAGTCTTCGTACGTTATCCGTGACTTGGTGTCTATGCCCATTCGTTTACACAGTACTTCATACTCATTGTCCGACATTATACACATAAACGAATCCAAAAGTCTACGGAAATTACTTTTTGTTAGAATTCCATTGTGATCATCATCAAATTTATAAAAAGCCGCACGTAAATTCTGAAAAAAACAAATAAAAAAATATTAAATAAGAAATTTGAAACAAAGAAAATATCTCACATAAATTGTTTGCTAATCAATGATATAATATTTAATAATATTTTTGGGTATGATCATTTCTAATAATATTTTTGATTACATTTCTGAAAAATTATGAATACTGTTATGCCTGGAAACTTCCACTCAGTGAAATATTCGCTCTTTACCAGTAAATCCTATTTTCGTCAAGTATCAATTTCGCCTTTCACATACACTTACTAACAATGATATTCTGTAAGTACTCTAGGCATTAGCTGATTTGATAAATTCAAACCTTTTTATGAAAGGCAAAATAGACGAAAGTTAAACTTGGGCGAAACCAATATATAAAAGAAATTTACTTTATATAAGGAAATTTCTGCCCAGACGAATTTTCGCCCTTTGACAGTAAAACCCATTTTCGCCCAGTATTAAATTTGCCTTTCACATTTAATTACTATATATATTATGTTGTTTACATATCATACTTGCCAACAATTTGAAAGTTCCATTTGGGAGGAGATTCTGCATGGTCAAAATTAAAACATAAATATTATGTGTGTATCACCCCCTAGAGACAAAATAACCCTTGAGAATGACATATTTTGAGTTGTTCTTTCAGATGAAATCAAAAGGTCTTAGAATATAGGAATAGTAAATTTAAGGGTCCAAAATCGGGAGTCTCCATCCTAAGTAGGAAGAGTTGGCAAATGTGACGCATGTTCGCTGTGAGGATAAATTAACCCTCATAACAGAGGGCGAAAAAGGCGAAAATAAAACTGCAGCATATTCAGTTATCCCGTTTTTAAGTCTGATTCTCATTTTTTTTTATTTTTTTTTTATAATGACAACTTACAGCGAAATTCTCCCGAAGCTTGCCAAGAAGCCTTTTCTCAACCTCATCAGCTGACATCCCATACTCGTCTCCCCTGATGGGGTTGACATGGTGATTTCCAGAACGCTGGACATCATCACCTGGTCCATGGTTCCGCGGGTCCTCAAACGCCTGGACAAAGTCACTGTACATCATGGACCCATTCCGGAACCCGATCTGGGAAACAAGATCCTGGAAATGGTCGTCCGCCATTGGCATTCCCATGCCCGCCAGTACCTGTTACAAAAGGGGAAAATGGGATGAAGACTTTTGTATCACTCGGCTTCTTCATTAGGCATTCAATAGGCTCATCCAATATCTACAGAACCTTAATCAAGATTCCACTTCATTTTAAAACAATAAATGAAATTCATAAGAAATTCTAGCCATTAGTTGGAAAGAAAACTTTAAGCTGAGTTTCTTTAATCTATTATGAATAAATAGAACATAACTTGAGACCTTGATAGACAATGAATTATTTGTTTCATGGTATTTTCAGTATAAAATATATCTACAAAACCGTATCGTATTTCTGCTTCATTTCTATTAAAAAAAAATCCACAAGAAAATCTAGCAGTCAGTTGGAAAGAAAACTTTAAGCTGAGTTTCATAAATCTCTTACGAATAGAAAATAACTTGAGAACCTGACAGACAATAAATTGCCTGTTTTGCAGGTTGTTGATAGTATTTTCAGTTCTTACAATGACACACCATTGTCGTCATAGTTCCATGATTGCCACATGAAGTTGGGAGGTTTATATCATTATACTTTTGGTAGCAAATTGCCAAGCTGATATATATTTTCCTAGATAAAACAAATCTGTCAAAATTAGACAATCAATGCTCTCTTTTATTTTCTTCCTCATAGCTATGTTACTTGAAGTTAGTTTCCAGTACAGGACCTCTCTCTATAGGTCCTCTTCACTTGACTCGACATTGTATCGCACCGAACTTTGAGTTCCCTTTCAATCGGTGTTGTAAAGTTAGATTTATGATTTTCTTTAAAAAGTTAAAGGCAAAGTTGAACTGAAAAACCTGCCAGTGGTTCCTAATGGATGACACTTTTAGTCATAAATGTGGGTGGATCATCAACTCTTAAAATGACAAGTTGGTACCCCATTGATATGTTTTCCCAACATAAGTTATTACTTGGCTGAATGTGTTCATTTAGTTAACCTTCAACAGTGACCTACCTGGTTGGTGCTATTAGTCCAGCTTGACANCTTGAATTTTTTTCAAAAAAAAAAAAAAAAAAAAAGAAGAAGAAAAGAAATCACTCAAAAAGTACCTGTGCACTATACACGAGTGCGCACAATACACAAATATTTACAGAAACTGATTTGTGATCATTGTGACCATGTGTATCTTACCTCTCTGAAATTGCGTTTGTTCACCTTGCCCTTGCCACTCTTATCAAAGGAGAGGAAGGCCTGGCGGATCTGCATCTTGTGTTGGGACATCCGATCCTTTAGACGAGCCATCACTTCATCCGCCGTCATGTTGTCCGTTTTGTGTTTTGCCCTCCGTATGTTTCGAATTTGTCTACATGTGTAGAAAAAGCATAATGACCAAAATGTATTCACAAGAAAATGAAGTAGATATCTGTCTAGTTTTCTGAACAATGATAAATAGCACTGGCTAAGAGGAAAATCCTGGTTGAATCAGTTACAAAAGGCTTAAATTGTCCATTGAGCCTCAAAAATCTAGTTCAGTATACTGTAGAGGTCTTTAGTTTCAATGGGGGTCTAATTTTCTTGACATTGACATTAACAGTTATATGTAAAAATTGAATCACACAAAAATTATCAGAAATTCATTATGACTGACCTCACCAAAACACAGCTAACATAATAAACAATAGAGTATACTGGTTTTAATGAACACAAATCACTGCAACAATTATTACAATCATTTAAGTGTGGAAGCTCAATGGCATGGAAATTAGCAAGGTCAGAGTTCACATTAGACCAACCGCTATGATGCAAAGTTTTTGCGACAAAAAATATCCTGCAATTATTCACTCTGATTACTTTTTCACCAAATTTTTAACACACACAAACAAAGAACATTACAGTACTTGATTACTCTAGTCAAATATTTACTAGGTGTAAAAGATGTGCATTGATTAGGTTGCCTTACAAGCATCAGCTGTAGGGAATTTCCCTTTAGCTCAGCGGTAGAGCATTGGGCTGGAGAGCCAAGGGTCATGGGCTCGAACCCCAGCAACAGCACTATCTTTATCACTATTCCTCGTCCTACTACACCAGGTAATAAAATCTCTTAGACACTACAATGAGATTGCATCCGTTGTAAAATACTCATATTACCGTACTCACCTATCTAGCTGGTCTCTACACCGGAAGTTTTCCCGGACGTGACTTTCGTCGTGTATTTGTGTACTGAGTCCGAGAAGATCTCCCGGCGTTACGTCAACGTGGAGTTTCTCCAGGAATTCTACGTAGTTCACTTTACTGTTCCCACAATCCTCACATCTCTGTAGCATACTGAAAATAAACAGTAACGAGTTCTGATCAGTTACATCAAAAAATGTAAAGATGTTCCATTCACATCTCATAATCAGTTGAGGGTAACCTTTTTTTTATATGTGCAAACTTTTGTAATGTCCATCAGTTACTGTTAAAGTATGATCAGACCAAATTTCTGCAAAATTACTGATTCATTAGTCTGTCAGATTCTAAATTAGATCAATTCATGATATTTCTTTGTTCTATTAAACCCCTCCCCCCATTATAATTACCATATAATCTAAACCCATTTTTTTCTTGGGCCAGCTGTGCTAAGACACCAAGCAAGCTGAACTGTTTTTTTTTTAAGATCAACTGATCCACAAAGACTCGCAAAAATTGACATGCAGTTCCCGAAGAGCTGTCAGAGTCTAGATTAAAATAATTCATTGTATTTCTTAATTAGTTCCAGTAATTTTACTCCCATACTGATCTGTACAACTATTTTTCTGCCGCCTGTGCCCAAAATGAGATTTTCAAGACAACTGGTCCTAACAGTCAAGAATTATTACCATTTTTCAAGACCAAAATCTAACTAGAAACCAATATTCTATCAGCAGGACAGGCAAACACCTCTAAAAATTAATATGAAAATCTAATAAGGGACTTCGAAGTCCATGATTTTTTTTTACAATAAATGTCCACAGTTTTATATGTTTAATACTTACTGACTAAAATGCTGGTCAGAGATGGGTAATACATAATCGTCAATGACCTTTTTCATTTGTTGTTGGGTAATATAACCTTTATCTTTATGATCAAAATCCACGATAGCACCAGAAACTGATTTCCAATTCTCTGTGATCTTTTCACGTAAGATTTCTTCCACCTGGAAAAAGGCACAATATTCATTTATTCATTATACCAATATACATATATATATATACCTTAGTATACCAATATAACAGTCTTTTATTCTGCAGTAAGCCAACATGTGACCTCTGACTAAAAGTTTGGGGTGGGCTTATTACAGAGCAATTTTATTTATTTGAATTTCTACTACACTGCAATATATATGGGTGGGCTTATTACCAGGCATGGGCTTATTACTAGGCATGGGCTTATTACCAGGCATGGGCTTATTACTAGCTATGGGCTTATTACCAGACATATATGTTCTACTGAACTGCAATAGATATGTGTGGGCTTATTACCAGGCATGGGCTTATCACCAGACATATATGTTCTACTGAACTACAATAGATATGGGTGGGCTTATTTCCAGACATTAATGTTCTACTGAACTACAATAGGTATGGGTGGGCTTATTTCCAGACATTAATGTTCTACTGAACTGCAATAGGTATGGGTGGGCTTATTACCAGGCATGGACTTATTTCCAGACATTAATGTTCTACTGAACTGCAATAGATATGGGTGGGCTTATTACCAGACTTGGGCTTATTACCACACTTATACGTTCTACTGAACTGCAATAGATATGTGTGGGCTTATTACCAGGCATGGACTTATTTCCAGACATTAATGTTATACTGAACTACAATAGGTATGGGTGGGCTTATTGCCAGGCATGGGCTTATTTCCAGACACTAATGTTCTACGGAACTGCAATAGATATGGGTGGGCTTATTACCAGACTTGGGCTTATTACCAGACTTATATGTTCTACTGAACTGCAATAGATATAGGTGGGCTTATTAAAAGACAATTTATATGTTTCTACTCAATTCTGAACAATAAATTTCTTTAGCGTAACATGTCACCTAAAGTGATTTTCACATTCTATAGTTTTAGAAATAGAATCTTGAAGCTGCAAGTGTGATATTGAATTAATAACATCAATGAGAAACTTAAATGTAAGGTAAAACAATAAAATCTTGATTAAAAATGTCAGAAAGAGTGACTAATAATACACCAGACATTCAGTTGTGACTTGTTAAATCATCAATCACTCAATCCCATTCTCCCATTATTTTCTGAATGTTTCTTAGAACAAATTTAAGCTTTTCTGTTCAATCTTGTCACCGAATATATTGTCAATTTAGAGTTTATATATCAAACTTACTGTTTCCCATGCCATGATAGCAGGTTTGGGATTTTCATTAAATCTATGTACAGAGTTAAGCCACTTGTGTCCCTCCGCCTGTAAAATAAAAATAAAATAAATTTATTAAAGTTCATCAAAATTTTAGAAATATATAGAACAGTGAGTGGCAACCATAGGAAAATCAATAGTAAATCAATCAAAGGCTGTCATAACAAAATAAACAATACCTATATAACTATTTATCTTGATTAGAGAGCCAACACCAAATGTCTCCAATACCATGAGATAAACCTGCACCAATCCGCACACCAGGATTTAGCTGATGTCAACTCCAACCTCATAGTCCACTTATATTTTTTAAGGGCAGGTAATTTTCTACTTAATTCCTCAGAACAATTGTTTTCCTCAATCATTTGCTAATATTCGTGTTTTTTTTTTTTTACATCCTATTAACAGCGTTGGTCATTTAAGGACGTGCCAGGTTTTCGTGGCATTTGCTAATAAGAAAATTTAGTTTTGAAATTTTAAATTATCAATATAAAAAAATATATTTTATATTGATATAAAAAAAATAATTCTCAGATGAGCATGAGATCTAGAACATTTGAATTTAATTTGTAAAGATATTTTTTTATCACAGGGAATAACCATTTTTTTTTTTTAGTACTAGTTGGCAAATTTTAAATAAACATTCTACTAGCCTCAACAAAGGTTGAAACCTAAAACCAGAAAATATCATTTTTTTTACGAGCCAAGTCACAGAATATACTTGCTCCAACATCAATCAATTGCAAATGTACACCCTAACTATCTCTATAAGGCACCCCTAGCCTTACTTGGTTGCTATTTAGATGTTCTTCACTCATTCACCCCTGAAGTTTCATATTGAACTATTCCAACCTTTGAGTTCAAATGTGTCTTCGGGGGTGAATGAGTTAAAACAAATCATACAGAAATGACACTTTGACTTATCTAATGTTTAGGGAAGGAAAGATATACCTACCAGCGATTCAGTTTCCTCAAACAGCCCCAGGAACTGATGGTAGGAAATATTGTTCGTATGTTCAGGGTCCAGCTTCAGCATCAACTGTTTGAACTGCTGGTCGTCCAGGCGGAACGTGAACTTTTCAATTATGTTTCTTAATTCTTTCCTTGTCACTCGCCCTTTACGACTCTGAATATGAAGAGAGAACATTTTGATAAATGTTTTCATTAGAAACAGCTTGGAACATAATGAAGCAAAATTTTCTACTATAACTTAATTAATCAACGTTGGCTTTGATTGATAAAAACTGCAGATTAATTATTTGACAACCTTCTTGGGTAACTTGGATATTTGTTAGAGTTAGATATTTCAATGTTACCAAACACATTGAGATATCTTAAAATTTACAATACAGGATACAAAAACAAAAAAAATGAAAAAACAAAAATTTGACACAAGTTCATTGGCACTGGTAATATAATTATATAAAAATTAAAAATATGAACTCAACAATTTCTTTTTTAATTTAAAATCATCAAAACCTTGTTGGCTGACATTTTGAAATGTGAATTTTTTACAATAAAAATTAAAACATGAAATCATTAAATGTGAATTTTTGTTAAATTTAAAAAAAAAAGAAGTTATAAGCAATTATGGAATAAAGTTGTTGTGAAGACTGAAGACTGCTTTACTTTTAATTTTAATTTAAATTTTTAAGTTTTGGTTCTCACCATAATTTTTCACCCTCCGATAAAATTTCTATATCCCCTATTCCTACAAGATCATATGATAGGCTTGTTTAAAAAACAAATCTGTGTGATGGCATCATTTTTTTATTTTAACACTCGTCAATTCTCTGAGTGCAGTGTCTCAATTTACGAAAACATCACAGATGCAAAATTTGAGTGAATGAGTCTGATGGTTAACAAATGCATCGAAAAATCAAGACTAGAATGTAGATCTGGGCCCACTTGTATAAAACATCACAACTCTTGAGATTTCCTCAAGTCCAAGATTTCCCATAGACAATACATTGCTTGAGATTTTCCTTAACTTTGAAATGTTTTATACAAGTGGGCCCAGGTTATGTTTGGAGCTTGCTACAGATTTTAGTGAAGAAGGATGTTACAATAATCCAACTTACGATATCAAACTGTAGGAACGCTTGCTTGATAGAGTGGTAGTGATTGTGTACATGTTTATACAACAGTCGCCATATATCTTCCACCTCGAACTTCTGCATCTCTTCGCGTATGGGAAAAAATCTGTAAAAAATCAAGAAATGTTTTTTGAATATCTCAAAATTTTAAGTTTCCTTTGTGGACGAGAAAATAACGTATATAACATCAATAACTGTTAATTCAACTGCGGTATTGACAACAACATATTCTGTCTTTTGTTTTTGCAGAGTTATCTGCTCTTGTGAGCAGGTATCGATTGTTATGTCATTTAGTTTGTGAGAGTAACGTCATACATTTTTGAGAAAATGACATAATTTTCTCACACAAACTAATGACGTAGCAATCTATACCTGCTCTCAAGAGCAGATAACTCTGCAATACGAAAAGACGGAATATAAACACAGTGATAATACTGGTAAGTCTCAAAAACATTTCTTTCAAAATAAAAAATTGTGTTTGTCCTTTTTGAAAAACTTCATAAAATGTATAACAGATTTACTTGAAATAACTGGCCTTTTTTTTTAGAAAACTTTTGACAAAGATGCATAGGTTTCAACCCCTGAAACCTCCAATGAGGGAGATCTCCCTCATTCCACATTTCCAATGAGGGAGAAAGTATGTGAAACTGCTTTGCTCAATTTATCTTTCCCTTTTTATGTATCAAAATAACTCCAAAAAGCATTCATTTGATTCAGACACACCACCTGTTATGGTCATTACACACACCCTGCAGTAACTAGGAGATCATTTGACCACAGGATATAGATTTTGAACTTGTGTGAGTTTGGACTAGAATAACAGAGAGAGTTTCGAGGGAGATTGGTAATTTTTTGTCAAATCAGGGAGGCTCCCTCCTAATGAGAGAGGTTTGACAGCTATGACGATGGATTAACCATTAATTAATGCAAATCTTTTAAATATGACCTTATTTGGGGTTTGTCGCTGATACTAAATTTTCACTTAACCCTTTGAGCCCTATGTAACTTTAGTAAACCTACCATGCATTGATCTGGATGTGTTCATTATGGTGTACAGTGGTGAAAGGGTTAAAGGATTTGTTTTAAAGAATTACGACAAAAATTGGTGTACTTACTTGTGACCAGGTTTTATGGGTAGGGTTTGACCATTTCCTGGTGCTTGAGCGTCCTGGAACTTCTCCAAAAATGCCTCCCACGATATCTTTCCGGTGCCCCGGACATTACATCTGTAGTAACAATAGATAGGCATTATTTTTAGCTATAGATTATTATTTTTAGCTATAGATTATTAATTTAAAGATATTGTTCTAAAATATCTTAATTTTTCATTGTTTTTTAAAATATCTTAATTTTTCTTCGTTTTTTAAAAATATATATATTTTTTCTAAATACTTTAAAAATATACAAAACCAAAAAATGCCTGAAACTTTCACAGGTATGGATAGCAAGGACATAGTGATACTTAAAATAAAATATTAAGCACATTGTATTTTCAGTACGAACCACCTTCAGTAAAATTTTGGAAATGAAATTATTTCATATTTTTACTATAAACATAAAAGAAAATCACTAATATCATAATTCTGGTAAATATCTTTGGTAATATTCCTTAAATAAAATTGTTAACTTCCCCCCACCCCCACCCCCATTTTTATTATGATTGACAGCTAACCTTTCCATGAGCTGTTTAAAGAGTGGGTCTGACATTGGAAGGGTGAACTGAATGAGGATGGACTTAAGATCATCCAACTGTATAAACCCGTCCAGGTTACGATCAAATGAAATAAACATCTTCTTCAGGTTCAGGTAGTTCCGTCTCATCTGTAAAATGTTTTTAAAAAATCATTCAATAATGATATTTTTTATAAGATTTTATCATTGATTGAAACCAAATCTTAATACAGTTTTGCCATCTCACTTACTGGTACATCTATATTGACATTAAATACAATACAATAAAACCTGTATTATGAGACCACCTATGGGAAGTCCAATAAGTGGTCTCTTAATACAGGCAGTCTCTTAATACAGGTGATCTATTAACACATGTGGTCTCTTAATACAGGTGGTCTCTTAACACAGATGGTCTCTTAATACAGGTGATCTCTTAATACAGGTGGTCTCTTAACACAGGTGGTCTATAAATACTGGTGATCTCTTAACACAGGTGATCTCTTTATACAGGTGGTCACTTAACACAAGTGGTCTCTTAATACAGGTGGTTGCATGAGCAGGTTTGACTGTATAAGCATTTAAATCACTGAATAGGTACCTACCCTCAGTCTGAATTCTGCCTCGATCTGGTCGAAGCCCATTTTCTGTATAGCCTGTTCATCCTCTTTCCTTTGTTTCAGGACCACGCCCCCCATGGCTGGAGGGACAGGTTTCTGGGGCCATAGCAAGGCTGGTGAAAAAAAATGATATTGATTCATAAATTATACAAGTTTGTATTGATTTTGAGATGAAACATATGCCTTATGGTCAGGATGTGGAGTGTTTTCAATCTGTACGGAAATTTCAAAAATAATTTAGAATATCACTGTGAATGTTACGTACAGGTTGCAATAGGTTTCTTTATAATAAAATGTGAATTTTCCAAAGAAAATAATAAGAAGAAAATGTGAGAATTTTTATTCTATTGTTGATTAATGACAAAAATGTTTGTTTTTTGTAAACAAAACATAATTTTGATATTTCATGAAAAAGTGAAAATTCTGGATTCACAACTAAAATACAAATACAAATACCTAGAAATTAACATATTGTAAATAATTTATATAATATAGAAATCTAGATATATAGGACATAAATAAATAAATTTTATAAACAACAATATTGATCGCAAAGAAGTTCATAAAAATAATAACAGTAACCATAATTCAGATAAATTGCCTGAAGATACATGTATTTCAATTTTTACCTCAACACCGACAAATTAAATATTATATGTACTCATAACACTGCAATAGATGTTTTTTTTCTATATAATGACTAGCCAATAGTTCCAAAACAGTTTATCAGAGAAAACTTTACAATGTGAACATTGTTTGTATTTTTAAGGAAACGTCAATAAATGTTCTGATATGTAACAGAACTGGTTTGCGTAGATTGAATGAGAAACATATCGATAATAAATATTTAAAGGCAAAAGAAAAATAAAAAGTTTTGAATGAACAATATGATTAAAGAAATTATTTCAAAGCTAGAGTTATCCAACACTGTGGTGTCAATACAAGAAAAATAAATACAAGCTTAGGAATAAACAGTCAACATGCAAAGCTCATAAATAACAGTCAACAAACAAGGAAAGCACAACATCACAACATGAAGCAATATACTATTTCTAGGATTTTTCTTCAAATCAATTTTCACTCTGATGGATGAATAAAAATATTACAAAGAAGCCATGCAAATTTGATGCAGACATTACACTAACATATAACATAAAAGCTCAATTTTTTTCTTTTTTCTTTTTAGATTTTGTTTTTATTACCCAGTACATGTAATAGAATCATTCAATACTCAATACAGTATTAGATCGATCCTAAATTCATGATGGTAAAAAAAATTATACTATATTCATAACAGTAATAGATACTAATGTGCTAGAAAATAGAAACTAGTCCATGTTTTGAAAAATAAATCTTCAAAATTTACATAAAATACTGAACAGAAATGTTAACTTTTTAAAATATGATTTCGTGTTTTTGTAAAAAAAATCATGTTTTTAATCACATATTTTTAAAAAAAATACGTTTTCTTCTATCACAAAAATGTGAACAAAAAAGAGAGGAAAATTTGAATTTTATGAACCACACAGAGAAAAAAAAATGCAAATATATACAACATTATACATGTGTTCAGCCATTTTTAATTATTGTGAATCAATGTTCTTCTAAATTCAAATTGCTTGATATTGTACATGCATACTTGTGCAATAAGATAAAATGTTCAGGTTATACCTCATTCTCGAGTAAAAAGTTATTTGATGTTTTATCAAATATTTTCATTCTGAAACTGAATTGTGATTTACAAAACCAATTAATCTTAATATTAAGTTCATCAATGTTCATCATTAGGTTTGAATAATAAATAAATAAATTCTTTTGAATATTCGTAGAATATTGGAAATTTAAAGAAAAAAGGGAAAGCAAAACGGTTAACAGCTAGGTACACAAGATCTCTTCCATTGTATTAGTGTTTCAAAATTGGGATATTTGGCAGGAATTTAATACTGAGGAAAAGGATGTTATTTTAATCAAGGCAAAAATTCTAGCATTGCAATTTTACTGCAAAATATTTTATGTATTACCTCCCTTGGCCCCATCCTGTGGTGGTGGTCGGGACTGGTGAGCCACGCTGACTCCCATACGCTCCAGAAACTGTTTGTAATTACACTGTCCTGTGTGATGGAAATCGTACCGCATCCAAAGCCTATGAAAATAAAATTGTTTAAAATTCAATCGTTAGGGGTTATTACATGGCTGTTTTCATATCAGACCCCAGATTGGCCCGAGCTACCTATATCAGGTCCAAGGACAGATGCGGGCTGAGTATCGATAGGATATTACACGGGCGGGCAATATCGACAATTGGAATGATACAGTATCACATCTGCAATTTGGTCGATATTTCAAGCAAGTTTATGATAATATACCGGTATGAACCTGCCAATAAAACACCATAAAATTCAAATATAGTGATCTACTGATAATTTTCTTTGGAAAGATAACATATCGTTAAGCTAGAAAATTCCCTGATTATAATTTTGAGCATTTTTACGCTGGAACTTGTATACAAAAGTGAAAGGAATCTCCATACAACTGCTAAATGAGCTGAAAATTGTGTACTATTCTGACTTATGTTAAATATAGGCTTCAAGTAAAGAGCAAGTTAGCATAGAGTAGATTTATTTTTTTCTCCAAAGAGTTTTTTTCTCCAAAGACCTAAGGGTGAAAAAGACATAACACTTTTAATAATATGGTTCAGAAAAATCACATATTCAGGGTAACTTGCAAGTTAGCATTGACTAGATTTTTTTTCAAAGACCGAAGTGTGAAAAAAAACCATAAGATTATTCAGGATAACTTTTCATGATGCATACAGGTAAATTTATTGTACCTGTAAACCATACATAAGATTTTCTGGTCTGTTTCATGACGCACACAAAAGTTACTGGCACCGGTAAATGAACCTTATGTGCTATGGAATTGGGTACCTTATTCAGACAAGCCATATATGTAGAATTGACTTTCTAAAGTAAAATGTAACTTGACTCCTAGACTTACTTGTCAAATTGTGAATCCGAGAGCTTGAAGCAGTAGTTGTCCAAGACTCGACGTAGTTCGTGACGCTGGACTTTCCCGTCCCTGTTGTAGTCAAACAGTTGTAGAGCCTTGACGACCGCCTTCATATTGTTTGCAATCTGTAACAAAGAAAAAAAAGATTCTTTAAAATCCTTGACTAAAGGAAGATTTCTTCAGATTTCACAATGAGAATTCAAGATATTTACCAATGTGGAATTCAAGATATTTACCAATGTAATTTTACAGAAGAGTTTTTTTCTATTGTCTTTATCAAAATGTTCACTCCCAACTGTATGCTACCTGAGGTTTGCTATAAATATTGTTAGTTAGATATTTCTAAACATTTTTCTTAGGGTTGGTAAGAATGAATGGTAGAAAGGGTTCCTGATATGTCACTGGTCATTTGTCGGTTGAAGGTTTTCTTAGGGTTGGTAAGAATGGATGGTAGAAAGGGTTCCTGATATGTCACTGGTCATTTGTCGGTTGAAGGTAACAGAGTACATGTACATACCGTACTAGTCATAGAAACATCACACATAAACATGTACACTTAACTGGTTGTGCTATATGAACCTTTTCACAATAAGGCCTTTAAAAGTGTGTCTGAAGATGTTAGACAAAATTACATTCATTTTTGTATTGTACTCTGACAGTAAATGCTTGGAACCAATTACTCTTTCTTTTGTTGATTTTATGAAAAAATCAAACTTTTCTGATTTGGATAGAACCACATTACTCTTGTAATACTTAATACCTGGGAATTTGATTTATGACCTTGAGAAGTAGAGGTCAAGGTTATGCCCAGCTCTGGTATACAGTACTTACCCGGTCTTTCAGCATTTTCTCTATCATATCTATGTTGATTTCCCGGGCAGACGTCGGTGGCATAAACCTGGAAAAAATAAAAAAAATAAAAATGTGTTTCTAGAGTTTAATAACTAAGGAACTGTTAATAGAATTGTGTTTCTATGGTAAAACATATAACATACTCAGGAACATTCTTGTGAAAACTTTTATGGCAAGAATTGAAAAAAGTAAAACTATGTTCAATGGGATCAGTATGAACCCTAATTGGGAAGCATGCTTTTGAATGCTCAGTGTATTATGGGATGAAAGGGAATCTCATATCATATCTTTGCATAATAACTTTATCAATAAGGAAAATAAGAAAAAATAAAAAAATAAAAAAAAATAAAGTACAATTTTTGAAACAAATTCAAATTTAAAACAAATTTTAAGATGTGATTTGTGATATTCGTTATTTTTTCTTTTTGACTTAAAATAATGTAAAAACCTGTATATTACAATAAGCCTTTAATATGAATGTGAAAAGTTAACAAAGACGGTCTAGAACACTCCATAATTACTTTGAAATTCAACTATTCTGATGTAAAATTTTAAATGCAAAAATCATTTTTCATAAAATATTGAACTCAAAACTGATCCACACCCATATATATTATCAATATATCATTGAAAAAAAAAGTCCCATGCATTATAAATTTACCTCATAGGGCCATTGACACGTTTTTCTGGACTGGAGATTCTGGCATCTTGACCGTAGAACTTGTCCAAGAAGTCCGAGTATTTGACAGTTCCATTAGGATTTTTATCAACCTAAAGTAACAGTGCATCAATTTTTTCAAGAAACTGAATTCCAGTGAATTCTTTGTAATGAATTTTAAAGCATCCTTTTAATTAATGAACAATCTTTGAATTTGTTAAATTTTTAATCTGGTAAGTGTTTAAGTATAAAATTTGAAGGGTATACATGAAAGAAATTACCTAGAAAATCATACATACTTAACATATTTAGTCTCAAACCAATTTTTTTAATTTTAGGTATTTAACCTTCTCATTGTCATGATTTTACTTTATTTCAAACTGGAAAATAAATTTTAAAATAACTGATAATACCTGGGAATTTGAATTATGACCTTGAGAAGTAGAGGTCAAGGTTATGCCCATAGGTATTTTGATCCAATTTTAAAATAACTGCAATTTGTTAACCTATTTTTTTTTTAATTTGTAAAAAAAAATACCTTAAATATTTAACTATGCATATTATTATTTTATAAGTCATTTTATTATTTGAAAAAGAAAATAAAAAAGAAATATATAGATGTTTGTGAAGGATAACAGGGTGTATGGTATAAAGATTTTTTTTTGAAATTGTGTTTTGTAAAGAATGACTAAGTATCCAGAAATTGAACAAAGTTATAAATAATAGGTTCTAAAGTGAATAAATCTACTTTTTGACATCAAATGTGAATATACAGCATAATATTGTGTGGGTTTCATATAATAATTTCTACAGTGTGTTGTTTAATAAAACAAACAAAAAGAAAATATGAAAATAATATTTCCCGAGAGTTATTGTTTTTAATAACATTTCACCAGTTCAATTATTTTCTTTTTTTTCTATTTTTAAAATATATATTATTATTTTTTTAATTGTTTTTTTTTAAATCTTCAAATATTATTTATACATTGCAATAGTATCTTTAAAAAGGTAAAAAAAAACCCAACAGAACAGACATGTATTTTAATATTTATTATTTTGTTAGCTTGTTTAAACAAAACCTAACTCTTATAAAATACTGCTTCCAATTAAAAATTTCAGCTAATTGAAAATTATTTTAAAAGGTAGCTTAAAATAATTAAGATAGTATTTAAAAAGTTATTTGAGTGAAAAAATAGATGTATTTATGCATTAGATTTTTTTATAAATATTTCAAATATTTAATTTATATCAATTCCAGATACAACGTATTATAGGAATAAGACAACAAGATGTGTCTTAGTATAAAAACATTGCACCAAATATTTTTAGAATGTTAAGCAAATTTTTTTTTAATACTTTCTACCTCAACATGGCTAACAAAAAGGAAATATCATTTTAAAATTTGATCACTAATAAATCAATGCTTCAACTTCATTATTATTTTTATATTCATATCATATTTATTTAATATTCATGTTCTAACAACTGCGAAAAAAACATGGGTTAAATTTTATTTTATTTTTTTTATTTTTTTTATTATCAAAGTTTTTTGAAAAGATGTATAAATTCTAGTGTCTAAGATACAATTCACAAGGTTGCAATTTTTAATAGAATACTACATTATTTTTTAAAAGGAATACTGATTTTGACTGAGTATCAAACGCAGGAAATCATGAAACAAACAACGACCATACATGTTCAATATCAAAACATTGCAGAGCAGTAGTCACCAATCTGGGGAGAATCCATTTACCACAGGAAATAAGAAGGGAGGGGTCATTATCTTTAGGGTGTGTGCTTCTGCAACTGAAAATATTGCATAGAGGACTGAAAATTGGATAGAGGATTGGGAAGAAATCTACTAGAAAGTGACACACAGCGCTTGGTGGTTCCTTAATATAGTTTTCAGAAGCAATGTTTCATTCAATATAATAGAAAAACTTTAAAAGTGATTTCAATCGTATCTCGATAACCATTTGATATAATTGCGTAAATATTTAATTGTACCCCATTAAAACATTCAGAGGCAAACATGCACAGAGGAAAATTAAATACCCTCATGAACTTGCAACGAGAGCGTTAAAAATTAGGCTACTCTCAAAACCTGGATATATAGTAAACATTTAAGCATTGAAACATCAAATTGCAAAAAAAAAAATTAGTTACAGTGTAAAAAGGCGAAAAACTAAATAATATACAAGCAATATGAATTATTAAAGCAGTAGATAATACATTACATAAAAAATCCAAGAAAACAATGAAAAAAATTAAATGATATATTTTTAAAAAGCTCAACAAAATTCTCACCAACGCATTGTATATAGGAAGAGCAATATTGGTTTTAGGGTGCAATATTAAGTAAGCTGTACGCACTGAACCGGAAAAGGCTGTTGTTGTTGTCTGACATTACGATGACAGGTACGCAAAGCCAACACATTTTACAGATACAGTTATAGTTAGTTTTTTTGTTTTTAATTTTTCATAAACTGTCACCTTTGTCAGTTGTCCCCGCCATTTCACACAGCTATTTTAAAATCTAGGTTCAACATAATCGTCATTCAGAGATGTAATGAAAGCTTCCTGTTTTACTCCAATGCCAACTGACCAGAATTGTATTTACAAAATATTGGAATTTATTTTCATTTTTCTTTTTTATACATTAGTCCGTTAAATAGCTATTTCACACTTTAATTTTAACTTTTTTGTGCTTAACCTCTAGAATAATTCACTTTGAATGTGGAATTCTGACATTTGTGATCAAAGCTTAACATGAGTTTGAGTAAAAAATAAATTTTGTGAGAATTATATTAAGCAATCTACGGTATACAAATTTACTGTAAGGTTGTATATATGTATTTATTTTTTAATTCTAAAGGAATAAATTGAAATACAGTACATACCCCCGTGGTATATATACATTTCTTTTCAAATGAAATTAATAAAAGAAATAAAAGAAAGAACTTCATTTCCATAAAGTTTGTGCTAAAATTTACGGTGTGAGTATTTATCAAAAAAGAAAATCTATATTTTTTTGTGTATTTTTTTTACAGTAAAAAAAAAGAGAAAAAATCATTTCATATCTACGAAATTTGTATTGAAATTAATGTGCTTGTGTTTAAAAACAAAAAATCAATTTGTATCATATTGTTTTCTTCAGTTACATCTCTGACGTTCCGTATTACATTTGCCCTGTCATAGCCTATAGTCAGGAAGGGTGAGTTATTTTTAGACAGACAGACACTACAGATGCCATCGTAGCACGGGATAAAATTGCACGCCACCACACGCCATGACGACATGAACACCACCATAGATCACAGGGAAAGCGCCATGTCATTCATGATACCTTTGCCAAAACTGCTTCAAACTGCTCTGTGGTGAGACGACAACAAAACGACTCGAGAACGCGGCGAAACTCGCCCTTAGTAACGCTCTGATTTTGTTCAATATCGTAAGTATGAAAGCCCTGGAATTAAACAATGAGTAAAAAGGATTAGTACCACAGCCCTATTAGCTTCTAACCTATTCTATCTGGAAATGGCGGCTTTTGCCTTCTTACCTTCCATCTGATCAATCTGGGTTTTTTTCTCTCAGTATTATTGTAAGTAAATGCAGAAAGTTTTTCTTATACCTAGCTCAACCTGATTACTTATCTCTTTATAGCTTATTATTCTTGCATTATTAAACGCAAAATTACTATATACTCTACAGCAACTTATTCTTGCAGATTTATAAAATTCGCAAAATTCTAACTAGAATATTTGGACAAAATTTTACATTCATTTATCCCTGATTTATATATTACATGTTTTTAAAAAGCTAGATTTATTTTAATTTTTAACCTATTTTTATATCAATTTTGTAAATTAACTTACTTGGTTCATACGTATAAATATGTGTTTAAACATTTTTTTTTTAAACTCGGAAGTACAAAATATTGTTGAATTGCTAATTATTGTGCACTTTCAAATTTTTATAAAATTAAATCCCTCTAAAAAATTGACAAATACACTATTCCGTATTGCAGAGTTATCTTCTCTTGGGAGCAGGTATTGATTGTTACGTCACTTGTTTGTGAGAGTAACGTCATCAATTTTTGAGAAAACGACATGATTTTCTCACACAAACCAATGACGTAACAATTAATACCTGCTCCCAAGAGAGGATAACTCTGCAATACGCAAAGACGGAATAGGTGATAAAAAAAATTAGGCTTCTAAAATAAAAAATAAATATGAAAGGAATAAGTTTTTTTTTTTTTTACTTTGTCTTTGTATCTATTTATCATCAGAGAAGCCCGACACTATGAGGACGGTAAATACAAATTGATGAAATGATTGCAGTAGCCAGACTCTAGACCTACAGCTGATTATCTGAGTTGAGCATCAAACAGCTTAGCAGCCGCATACAGTATCAAAATTAAGAGCAACTAGCTAAAGATATTGTATCAATGCAACTTTTTGCTAGATTCGTATATAACAGTGTAAAAATAATTATATCACAATTGCACTGATTTATAATTATTTTTATGAATTTATAAGTATGACATAAGTAAAGACTAAATTTTGACTGTATCTTGGGATGGAATTTTTTCATTAAAAAAATACGATTTTTTTTATACACATTTTTTTCCCAAAATTATATACGAGTACATGTATTTATAAATTACTTGATTTGTTTTTATTCTTATGAATTAAACATATTTTCTATTTCCACCTGGAATTCCTCATTTATTTATCTTTTTTTTTTAAATTTTATTTTCATAGTATTCGATTGTTTAAAATGATATATCTCCAATTTCATAATATGAAAAAAAGAAAGGAACTTAGATTAATTTAATAAAATTAAAACCACCAGAAAAAAAAAAGCATTGATAATCAAACTAATTGCTCTAATTTATTAAGACATATCATGCACAATTTTATCAAAGCATCTACATGGAGGTACACAGAGAAATACTAGTATAAGGCCACATTTAAAAAGTATCTGTTTCCAATCTCCCAACTCCACTTTGATATAAAGGTTAAGTGGGTGGGAATTTTCTTTTCTTTTTTTTCTTTCCTTTTTTTCTTTTTTTTTGGGGTTGGGGTAGGAGGGATATTAATTCAAATATGTATTTGTCTTTCTTTTTTGATTATTTTTAATACATTTATTACTCATCAGTTACTTGATATGGATGACAATAATTACTACATCAATAACAAAATTACTATTAAAATCTTTAAACAACTGTTAAAGATTATGGAAAAAAGTAAAAGGCTAATGGAAAAGAATTTTCTTTTCTTTTTTCATTTTGTACATCAATAAAATAATAATAAACAAAATTAGGCTACTTTAAGTGGCTTCAGGTAGGGAAACAGGAAACAAAGAACGTTTTTATTATAGCCTAATATTATATTGAATATTGATATGGTATATAGGATACATTATCTATCTAGAAGTAATATCTGGTTATATATTTTATACATTAATACATAATTCAGCTCTGGTTTGGCCTCGTTTGCATAATATGAGATATATAATTTTAGTATAATTTTTTATGATAACTATATACATGTTATTTATAAGAATATCATTGGAGAAGAAAATTATCATCAATAGCCATGATTCAAACCACTTAAAATGACACAGATTTAATATAAAAAAAAGAATTTTCATAAAGAATTTTAATTTGAATCTTGGTCATTGAAATGTTAAAAGAATTAAGGTATAAATGAATTTTCTTTCTTTTATACTGGCCTTATGAAATTATCCTATACATATTTCTTGTTCAGGTAATACAATACTAAATCATTTTATTACAAATACTAAATATGCATCCAACCACATATCAATAATAATTAATCAATAAATTGAGCATTTGAAATGTTTCATAGAAGTGAATTTGTAAATAGCATGCATATACAAGATTTTAATGAAAACAAATAATTACATTTAGTTTTTTTATTCAATGAAATCTTGCATCAATATGAAACTGTGCCGAGTAATCATTCAATTTAAATCCAAAACTACTACCACAAAGCCAAAACCTTTAAGAAAATCATTTCTACCGATACCCACAAAACACTACTTAACTACACCTTCAGATGCAATCATGCATGAATTTTAAAAGAACTTGAAGGAAAGCTTTAAAAATATTTACGTACCCATGCAGAGTTGAAAGCGATTAATTAAAGAGTTGAGTGTATACAATAAAAAATGACATACCTGTATAATGTTCTGGTCGTTGGCTCTCACCTTCTCCCTTAACAGAGCCTCAACTTCAATACTTGACATGCTACCATTTGGAGAAATAACTCCCATGTCTGAGGCTACAGGAGACCCTGCTAAAAACAAAAACATGATTTTTATAAATAACTTTCAAACAAGAATATTCTACAGTTTAAAATCTTCTGGTAATTAGAATCAGGCCAAAGAGACGATTGTGCTTCTCATTTTGGCTCTCAAAAAAATTAAGTCAGTAGGTAGGAATGCAAACGTTCTTAAGTTTACATGACAGCTCACCTCTATTAAGAGACCATCTCTAACAATATGAAAACTCCATTCAAAATATTTTCAAGTTAACTAAACCTGTATAAAGAGACCACCTGTCATAAGGGACCACCTTATGGATCTTCTGAAAGTGATCTCTGTATACAGGTTTGATAGTGCTAATCTAAAATTAGCCAAAATGAGTTCAGGGTGTAGGTAGGACTTGAACTAGGGTAGGTAATGAAAGATTGAATAGGGATTTATGTGCAGTTATATTTTAATCTTTCTTTCTTATTTTCTTTTAGGTTTAAATTTTAATTAATTCTAGACAACTTCATAGTAGGAATGTGTAAGAACATGGATACTTCAGTAAGCATTCCTTTACATTCCTTAAAACACAAGCTTATACAGATAAGAAAAGAAAGGATAGATTGGATGGTTGTATGGTGCAGTGGACGGCACACTCGCCTTACACCAAAAACGGCCAGGGTTCAATTCCCAAATTGGAAAAGGTATGGGGTCACCTGCCCAAAGCAGTGGGTTTTCTTCAGGTACTCAGGTTTCCTCCCACATTAAGAACTCTATTAAGAGTGATTAAAATATGATGATATAACTTATTCGAAATTTTTGTAAAATAAATAAAGTTTGATTGAAGGTTAAAAAGCAAAACATGTAGAAAGAGTGATCTATTGTTATAAATGAAAAGAAAGAAAGAAGAAAAGAATAGAAGAAAGTAATCAGCAAATGCTGTCTTTAAAACTAATGAGGTAATACATTTTGTCATTAAAACAGTTTATCACATAATATACTGTGTTATCCAGTGAATATACCCATGTCATATTTTTTGCGTATTAACCCATGTAATATGACCTTTCAGCCCTGTGATTGGTTGTAAGTTTCAATTGTTTCAATTGTGATGTCACGCCTGGGACAAGTACATGACGTCACAGACTTATGCACTAGAGTCAAAAGGGCGGCTTTTTACATTTCAAGGTTGCTTCAAAATTGTCGTTTTACACGAATAAATGCCACAAATCTTGATTATGTTGATAAAAAGGATCTTACACTCGTTTTCAATCCATATGAAATTTATAAAACTTGTCACAAATTTTTCATTTTAGCTCGCCACAGGCTCGCTAAATTGATAAATTCCTAGACTCGTTTCACAAATCTCATATGAAATGGAAACTCATGTAAGATCCTATATATTTTTAGCCAAATCTAATATTTTTGGAAAATACAGCAGCACAAAGACCAACATTTATAGCTTATTCATAGCAATATATACATGTACATTGATATCATTATAACTTATTTCCAAGCTTATCAAATTTTGATATGAGACCAGAGTTTCCAGCCTTGCTATGACAATTCTACACAGCTATATAACTTAGGTTAGGGATAAAATACTCACCATGAGAAGATGAAGAGCCGACATGTTTGAGTCTGGACTGGTCACGCAGTCTTGTGCTTGGTCTGGCGGTGAACTGCACGCCTGTGCTCGCTGGCAGCAGGCTAGGCATTGTGGTCGCCATGTTGACCTATGTAGTAAAGGATTTTTTGTTAAAGAACATGTAAAAAAAAAAATTATTATAAAATCTGTGAAGTCTTGACTTCCTTCAAAATAATTTATCTGTATCACACACTGGGATGTCCTACTGTTGCACTGGCCTATTGTAAAAATAACATGATAATGGTGAACCCTTTCATTACGAGTATCTACTGTCCAATCCCTTCAATTTTAAGTCCATTGTACCTTGGTCAAAGAAATTTCCTTCATTCAGTTTGGATAATTATAATTCTGAGGGCATGACAGGGGCTTAGCTAGCCCTTGTTTGGGGTGGATTCATTTAGGAGCGGGTCCAGGGCAGGACTTTGACAGGAGGACAAGGGGGTACAAAAAGCAGTGCTTTTGTTTTGTTGTATTTTTCTGTTTGAAAATTTGTTGGATTCACCTGCGTACCAGCATATAGGCAGCTACATACCTACATGACACTGCTCACTAGGACATGGTGTAGATCCCCAACCACATGGTCTGTATATATACCCGGGTATGTCCGTAGGATACGAATTACTTAAAATATTACATGGGGCAAAGAAGTAATTCCAACAGTGTGGACAAGTTTAGGTTGTCAAATTTTCGGAGCGATCCCCTCCTTTTTCAAGACACAGTGAAACAGAACAGTTACATGTACATATACATCATATTACAAGAAGATAGAATTGATATACTTTAATTGAAATATTGCTATTATATAAAACCAATAGTCCCCTCGGCTAAAGACAGCCGGAGGCAGCAATTAAGCTGAGAGCATCGCGGACAAGGAACGCTGATGTAGAGGACCTATTCTATATACCCGGGTATGTATACATAAGACAAAAAATACTATTTTGGGTGGTCGTGTGGCACATTGGATAACACACTCGCTTTTCACCAAGGCAGCCGGGGTTCAATTCCCCGATCGGACGTGAAAAGGTATGGCTGCACCTACCCAGCCACGTGGTTTTCTCCGAATACTCCGGTTTCCTCTCACATCAAGACCCCCAGCGTGCTAACATTCGAGCCAACAAGAGTGATTAATATAAATTGTATTGACTTGTTTCTTAATTGTGTAAAATAAAGAAAGTTTATACATATATTATATTTCTATATATACAGACCATGTGGTTGGGGATCTACACCATGTCCTAGTGAGTAGTGTCATACAGGTATGTAGCTGCCGATACGCTGGTATGCAGGTGAATTCACCAAATTTTCAAACAGAAAAATACAACTGTAGATGTTGACCATCTGTGCCAAAATCCTGTTCCTCTAAGTGACATTTTATGTCATATACAAATGTATTTCGATACAATGCACAAAGGGAGTAACAAAAGGAATATTACACTGTTACTCTGTGTTTCTTGTTTGCATTTTTTGTTGATGATGTAACAAAATTAATTAAACCAAAAATTAATTAATTGAAATATTTGAAATTAATTGTGATCTCATTTAAGATGGAACTATTTTGTTTATGCTGATTAGAAATTGTATGTATAAAGCCAATGGTATATTGTTGTCTGAAAATTAAACAATATGTAAAAACAATACTCAAGAAATAAATATATATAGATAATTAAATTTATATAAATGAAATGTTATGCTTGTCCATGTAGGGAGATATCATTAATTTAATATGCTACACTGTGATGACACAAATTTAATAAATTTGATGCGGACATTTTGTTACGTATCATCACAACCCAAAGAATTTCCCAATGGGGACTTCAGACTAGTTCCACAGGTCGATTTCCACAAGGACTAGAACAGCGGGTGGTTATTGTGAATCACCTAACCTAACTGATCCTTTGGACAAATATTTGATAGATTAATTATAAGATAAGAATATTCTTTTTGGTAAACTGCACAGATAGACTCAATTGTCAAAATTTTCCTAAAACTTTACTGCATCTTCATGGCAGTGATTAATTTAAGTCTCCTACAGTCAGTTACTTTTTATGTTTTATGTTAGAAATCTTAAAGAAATCTTGAACTACTTGAGTTAAGTTGACAAAGGACTAGAACTTAGAAGTTCACATACCAAGCAAACATAGTTAGTTTCTAACCCTCACCTGACTGATCTAAAATTCCTTCTAGCATGCCGCTAGAATAAAGGGCAACCATGATCATAACATACAATTAAAATCTGTCATATGTAAAGGATGGTTGCCAAGTTGTCAAACTGTCAGTGTAACATGGGAATACATTGTATTCTGTAAGCACCCTTTTGGTGTTGACTTAGCTAGAAGTAATTACAGGTTTAATTTTCACCGTTCATAGTCATAATCTGATGCCATTGAAATTTTAACTGAATACAATAAAGGGCCAAATCCTTAAAGCAAACAAGATTGTTGACATAAAGTGGGTTATTCAAGTATTCAAAAGCAACATTTGGCACACTTCATTGGACAGTCTTTGTCGGTGTGCAATATTTATGTAGTCATATACGTATTACACACATGTATGTACGTCTAATGATCAGTTTGCACATTACATGTTGATAATTTGATCACTTTAACCATTTTTTTTTTAACTTAATTTATTTTCCAATCAGTTCTGAGTCTCATTATGCATTGAATTTATTGATTATCCTAGATATATTTAAAGGTATATATCTTCCAAGTGAAACAGAATATATATTCATTAACCTGGATTTAAAAAAACTCTCATAGCGACAAGAAGAATCAGGCAAAATGTTTCACTGCCAAATTGAAGATGCAATGCAATACATATTGAAATGTTTCATTTTAATAAATTTTGAGATGATCAAATAAAAGCACCTCACTAGTTTCTAATAAACGTAGTAAATTATCAAAGACTTTCAATTTATGCACAGTTATTTTGGGCAGCACGTATCCCTGGATAGAACACTTTAATTACCTTTGTTGTTATCCCGGACTCTTATCGTGTTAGTCCTATTGGTGTCATAAACATATCCATACACCGTTTTTCTCCCACCACCTGTCGTTGTCACCACCGCGGCTTCCGTTGTCAGGAAGTTCTCTGGCGCCGCCTGTCGGTGAGAAATGGAACGATATTCTTTCGGAATCTCGCATTCGGTTTCTTATTAATAACTTCAGAAATTTTACCGGCATAACGTAAACAATGGCTGAAACTTTCTGTTTGTCCGATTTTGATGCTTATGGGTTTGATATGGATCATACGCTTGCTAAATACAAGCTTGTCAACTTAATGCAGGTACATCAAATGCAATGTTCCATATATTTGTTCGTCTTTGCCAGTGCTAAATTTACCCTCAGAGATGAGACCAGCACTTCACTAGGAAGAAGTCTGTTGAACGATGACGTCTGCACGTGGCCAAACAAGGCAAAGGCCTATGGAAGGCTTTTACAACCGACTATATAACAAATAAAAACGGAGGTAGCATTATATAAAACATAACAAGCATGCAAATCTATGACACTGTTAAACACACATTGATAAACATATAAATAGTGTGGTTCCAAAATGAAAATTTCAAGAGAATAACTTTTGGCACATACATTCGGGTTAAATTTTTTGGCAAACAGTCAAAACAAGTTGCCCCATCCTTGATGATCATGATTAATTATAAATTCCTAGATAACTTAAAACATTTTGGAAAGCCACACTTATCACACAATGCCTTCATCAAATTACATAATGACAGCACATATAAATAAATGCAAGCATATATATAAATAGCACAAATTGCATAGAAAATTTACAAACCAGATTTTAATTGAAATTGCAAGAAATAAAACGATGAATTATAAGCAGCACATATAAAGGCGTTTTAAAGTTAATGCGAATAAAGCAAAAAGATGAGGCATCGCAACAATCTCTATCGAGATTTCCAATAATGGAAGAATACTTTGAATGAATTTACACAAAATAAAAGCGAAGCAATACAAATAGCACATAAAGATTATATACACATACACTTACAAATTTGCAAGCATAATGACAAACTAAAAGCGTTTTTGAGACGCATGTCATCTGATGAACATGTGTACAAATGATAAGTATAAGTCTTCGTGATCGGCTGAAAGTTCCCACTTTTAAGCCACAAATGCAGTTGTATTGAAGTGTGCTTTTCGTATGAACAGGTTGGGGAAAAACCACAACTTGCGTATAATCAGGGACGTATAATGGAGTTCTATATACGGTCCCTGGTATAATACGCAAACTCGCCTATTATACGCCAGTTGGAGTATGGATTTGTTACTAAAAATAACCCAAATCGCTTTAACAGTAACTTTTGCAAGATGTTATTGAAAATCGCATTAATTTACGACAAGGTAAAGTAAATTATATTTTGCTAAAAGATGTTTACTGAAAGAAACTTGATGTAACTTTACTGGAAGTATTGCATCTATTTTTGGTACTTTCCCACATGCAAATAAAGTTTATTTTTGCATTTGTATTATGATTCATGACTGAATAAATGCGATTTGGGCAAACAATTTGAATAAGTTATGATTCAAGTGATTTTTGCTATTTTTAGTAACAAATCCATATCCCTATTGGAGTATAATAGGCGAGTTTGCATATTATACGCAAGTTAGTGGTTTTCCTCAACCTGATGAAGTACAGGGGTGGGGGTAGGATGATGAAGAACCACCACCGATACCCCTCCAAGGCTGCAACTCCCAACAAAAAAAATTCCCGTCATTCGTAACATATGGTGGTTGAAAGTTTAAACTACACAAACAATCTCACACACACACAAACGTACGTATAACACCCTTATTTTTTCAAATCCAGGTTAATGAATATATATTCTGTTTCACTTGGAAGATTGTATACCTTTAAATATATCTAGGGTAATCAATAAATTCAATGCATAATGAGACTCAGAACTGTGATTGGAAAATAAATTAAATTTAAAAAAAGAATGGTTAAAGTGATCAAATTATCAACATGTAATGTGCAAACTGATCATTAGACATACATACATGTACATGTGGGTAATACGTTGCATCTGGGGTACCTCAAGGAACCGTCCTTGGACCCATTTTATTCCTATGCCATATCAACGAGCTACCTGATTTTGTTGGAACCCCGACCCGCCTGTTCGCAGATGACTGCCTACTGTATCGCACCATAGCGCCTTTCCAAGACCATCTTATTCTCCAACAAGGCCTGGAGAATCTAGCACACTGGGCTGAAACGTGGGGTATGAAGTTCAACACCAAGAAGTGCTACATCCTAAGCATGCGTGGAAAGGGCAGCCATTTCTATACACTGGAGAATGCTATATCCTTCAGAGAGTACCCCAGAACCAATACCTGGGTGTGACAATATCTGAAGACCTTAAATGGGGTCCCCTTATCAGTAACGTGGCGAAGAAAGCAAATTCCTCACTTGGCTTTCTCAGACGGAACATTCAAAGCTGCCCAACAGCTAGTAAATGCACCACCTACATCTCCATGGTACGCCCCATTATGGAATGTGGGACCCACACCAGAAGGGAGATGTCAGCAAACTTGAACCCATCCAACACCGTGCTGCAAGATTTGTGTCGGGGGAACTATACCGCAACAGAATCGGGACGTGTGACACAAATACTCAAAGATCTCAACTTACCACCCCTTGAGAAGAGGCGGCAGCACATCAGGCTTACCTATCTATCTGTACAAAGTCGTTGAGGGGTCAGTGCCAGCACTACCCCCATCTCAGTACTTGAAACCGAGGAGACAAGGCCATAACATCAGAGCTACAAACTATAAAGACTTCAGTACAATCAACATCGTCGACAGGTCTGTGTGTAACAACAGGAGAGGATTCCAACCACCACCATATAAAACAGACCAATACAGAGAATCCTTCTTTATACGTACTGTAATAGACTGGAACCATCTACCAGACACCATAATCAAATGAAGTAGTGTTGAGGACTTTAATACAGCCCTCGAATCGCGTGACTAAGAACTATCAGCACTCTCTCTCTTGCTCGCTGTAACACACCAGTTTTGGTAGTCCGAATTATTCTGACGTTTTATCGACTTTTTTCATATCGGTCTGTCGTCGATTAACCGATTAACCGCCGATTACTCGACGACAGACCGATATGAAAAGTCAATAAAATGTCAGAATAATTCGGACTACAGTTTTGGTTACTTTACAGATACAGAACACAAATTAATCATGCATACATACACTGTATACATACCTGTATACATACCTGTATACATACCTGTATACATACACTGTATACATACCTGTATACATACACTGTATACATACCTGTATACATACACTGTATACATACCTGTATACATACACTGTATACATACACTGTATACATACCTGTATACATACACTGTATACATACCTGTATACATACCTGTATACATACCTGTATACATACACTGTATACATACCTGTATACATACACTGTATACATACCTGTATACATACACTGTATACATACCTGTATTATACAAACTGCTCCAATTGTCAGAAGTACATGTCTTTTACAGTCTTATCTTTCTTTTCAGCTGAGCTATGAGGCAATATGTGACTGTTTGATTCAGAAGTCTGGTTACAGTCCAAAACTAAAAGATGATATTCACCTACACAAGGATTTCATGTACGTACAACCATGCTTCAAGTTGTAGAACTAATTCCATTCATATTTAAGTTCTACAGGTACACACTGAACTTGCTGGTGTATTTGGTTTTGTGGGTTTGTGTTTTACGTCCTATTAGCAGCTATGGTCATTTAAGGATGTGCCAGGTTTTGGTGGTGGAGGAAAGCCGGAGTTCCCTGAGAAAAACTACAAACCTGGCTACAGCCCTTCGTATAAGGTCTTGAACCCGCTACCACTTAACCACTTGGCCACCGTGCAGCTCCTACTTGCTGGTGTAATTTGTAAATTTAAATGTAAAAAAAAAAATGTCATTTTTTCAGGGCCCCCCGTTTTTTCAGTGTTTGTTTTTTTACATTTACTTGCTGGTGTACTTTGTAAATTTAAAGATAAAAAAAAAAAATCGTCATTTATTCAGTGCTTTTGTTTACATTTCCTTGCTGGTGTAATTTGTAAATGTCAACAAAAGTACTGAAAAAGTGATGAAAAAAACAATTCTGCTTAATGCATGAATTTTCGGACAGAATTTTCCCTGAAAAATGTATTGTCCATATAGTACCCAGTGCGGTTTTGGCCATAATTTATGGGTACCTGTAACTTATTTACATGCACTGGTAACCTACGTGTACGTTGTGAAACGGACCAAAATATTATGTATTGTACCCTGAGCTTTAGACCCCAGGTATGTTTTAGATTCCACAAGATGAGCTTTGACTCTTTGTTAAAAAAGGAAATGTCTTTATTTGACAAACATTCTGGTCCCTTCAGATTTCAGGGAAAGGGTTATTTGACTTCTGATATTGCTTATCATATAAATGTCAGGGTCAACTGAAAGTCCTCTGGTATACTGGTATATCCCAGCAATAAAAAGAAAACAATCTCCTCTTTATTGTGTCATGGGATAGAAGACATAGCTAGTTGGTGATAGAATTCATGATTTAAGATTTTGGAAAGTGACACACCCTTTTTGTTTCACATACTGTACATGTATTGTACCTGATATTTGTGTTACCTCTGTCAACAATTATATACATGTAAACATTCTTTTTCAGATGTAAGGGCTTGTTTTTTGATGCTGCGCGAGGAAATATACTAAAACTGTCACATGATGGAAAGATCCTAAGGTATTGTGTTTCAATAAGTGTTGTGACCTGTTGCTGCATAATGAATCTGCTGAAACTAACAATGTAATAATTAACATAAGTAGTTGATCCCAATCTTTAACATCCACTTTAGATTTTCATTTCCAAAGTTAATCATTTTACATAATTTTACATATATTTCAACCAGAAACTTGGGTGATGGCCAAAAGCTTAAAAAAAACAGACAAAAAAAGATAAATAATAAAAACAAAATTCTTAACTTAAATTTTCAAAGTATATTACAGAAAACATATTTTGTATTGCCTTTCTTCAGTACCAGTTTTAACCTACTAATAGACTAAATCCTTGTGTGATATGTAGAGCGAGTCATGGGACACGGATGATGTCGGAAGATGAAATGATATCTGTGTATGGTACAGATCTCCATTGGGAACACTTTCATGAAGCCCAGCGGGACGTGAAATGTACAGGAGGTTTGTATTATTGGCTGGGTATCTAATGTTATCTCGGTTCTCAGGTCTGAGACCTATATTTTGGTTTGGTTGTTCATGTTTTACATCTTATTTAAAATAACCGCGATGGTCATTTAATGACGTGCTAGGTTTTGGTGGTGGAGGAAAACAGGAGTGCCCAGAGAAAACCACCGACCTACGGCCAGTACCTGGCAACTGCCCCACGTAGGCCTCGAACCCGTGACCCAGTGGTGGAGGGTTAGTGACCACAGGTGTTCAGTCACTCGGTAACCGTGGCCCATTTGGGGTCTACATGCATCAATTTTAAATGTGCGAGATTAATCTATTTTACAAAAATACAAAAAAAAATGTGACCACAATACAAATATTGAAAACATTCTGGTTTCTGGTTCCCTTTCAAAATTGCAGTCACCTCAGAAAAAGTGAAATCTTAGTCATGAAGATGCTTCATTCTGTCATATTCTGCTCTAGAGACGTGTAAACATCTAGATGAGGGAGATCACAATATCCTGCATTGCAGACAATTGATGTAGATAATGAATTGCTAACTTTTGCTGCTCGGTACATCTAGAGGAAAATTTTCACATTTTTTGTTTCTATGAATAAAGCTGTTTTTTTTTGTTTTTTGTTTTCTTTTAACAGCTGGATTTAAATTTCGGTTCTTTGAGAATTACTTTGACATACCTGGAGCAGTCATATGTGCACATATCGTGGATACACTGGATGAGGAGGTTGGTGTTTTTCCGTCCTGTTTGTAATGTTTGTATGTAAAGTTAGAGCTGAAATGCTTATTAATTCAACACTTGATAGATAAATAATTATATTTATAAATATATAGATAAATAGAAAAAATGAAATAAACGAAATATGAATTATTGGCTTGTTCTCGGGTTTATCACTTTTATTTTATTTTCAAGGTGAAGGTCACCCTTACTTTCTTTGTCAGATATTACTTTAGCGACTTTATTTCTGAAACTTCATACGAACTTCAAACAACTGTCAAATATGAAAATAAGCCAGATAAATTTGTGTTTGAGGACGCCAATATCAAGGTCACTGTCAATATTTAAAGCAAATCTTTTAAGTAACTCTCGCGACTTCATTTCTAAATATATTTTGCACTTTATGGAATGTTTAAGCATGAAAATAACTCCAATAGCACGGTTTCACGGAACACCAAGGTTAAGTCAACTGTCAAGGTCACCACTACTATTTATAGAAAATCTTTTTCATCACTTTAGCAACTTCCTTTACTGGATTCACCTTTTATTAATCATTTTCAGGAAGGTAAACCTCTTGAGCAATACACATTTTGGGAAGATGTCCTGGTTGCCATGCACACCAATTTTATCCCATCTGCCTTTACAGGTAAGACTTACAGGGACATCACGTGAAGAACCATATCTTTTTTAATGAATGTATGTATTGTATGCACTTCCACTTATGTTACCTCGCTATCCCCATACTCTTAGTCCGTTCCAAATGTACAGTTTGACCACTTGAATTGTTCGGGAAAGCCCTGCTAAAAATAGCTCCGAAAACGTCACCTGACTAGGCAAGTAAACACAAGTGGTCTGAGCGAGATGAAACGGTTTCCAAAGAGGCCCCCAGAGAGGGGCCGTCAGGCAACTGCAACTGCTTACCGCACTATGAGACCAAGTAATATGATTTCTAAGTCCATATTCAAACTTATTGAACAGTAACTATTCATCATCATAAGTTAATTGCACACTTTCCAATATTCAGAATTTAAATTTATTTAACTTTAAACAAATTTGCTGCCAATAAAATTGAACAAGGCATGGGGCACAAGTTTTTACAATTTATCACAGCCTTCTCCCGTCATACATTTACAATTAAATGTCAACAATAATAAAAGGCATAAACATAAAGTAGATGTATATAAATATATATTGAATTTAGTACCGGAATGTGACCGGTACAGATGGTATGGGGCTTAACACCTTCCCTCAACCATGGGACAAACCTTTCTGTAAAAATGAATATTCACGAGACGAATATCCCTTTTCAAATGTTTTCATAAAGTGCATATATGCAAAGACAAACTACACGCGTATAAAAAAGAGAAACGTTTGAGATTTTTTTTATTACATTGTACAACTCAATGTCTTTGGCCATTTTTTTTTCTAGACCATGCATATACATTTATGTATACTCTCTTTCCCACTTTCACTGTCTCCATACGCTAACACTTAGTAAGTCATATTATCCAATCCCATCACACACACTAAACTGTATGGCAATACCACTACGTGTATATGTAGAATATGTGTCAAATATGGAACGTGTTGAGATACTTGATAATTATATTTTTTCAATACTTTACATAGATTAAAGCATTCTTGTAAATGGACCCTTTTATGTTGAGACAACTTTTCTTTAATCATTTCATTTTTGTCCGAAACAGAAGCCGTAGTTATCGGCAGCATGCGTCATTTTTACAACGTAAACAAACGTTTTTTCCCCTGTTTTCAATACGTATTCCAATTCTATCTGAAGCCGAAAATTAATTCTTTATAGAGAAGTTTTTCATACTGGTCCGTCATTTGGACATTTTTAATCTAGCTGCGATAACGGAGCTTTATGTCGAAGAGCGATTTTTATATATTGCGTCGTCGCGCCAGAGGAGGCCGGGTATTCATATTAGTACTAATTTAAATCTTGCATGTAAAAACAAAAAAAATCATTTAATTCAGCAATATAATTAAATCATACCATTTTACTGAACCCGGTAATATTAAAAATTATGTAAATCTAATAGCGCACGTATCTCATTTGACCCGAGTACTGACAGAGGAGAGAACAGAATACGCCATTACAACAATTATCCCTTTGAGGGCCTCATGGCAAAATCAAACTAACCAGTCACTTATCCCGTCCTTTTGCATAAACCACTGTATAATTATAGAAACACAAATTACACAGGGTAAACTCTCTCCGATACATGCCCTTTAAGATATTAAACTAAGTTCATCTGCGTTCAAACTCGGACAAAGATACTAGTGAGGTTAATAGTTTTAGATATTTATTCATAACATAAACAGTGCTAGTATTTCTGTTGATTCCATTTCAGCTTAACCGGCTATCTGGAAGAATACATGTACAGTACTAACTGCTAGGGCAGTTATTTTATCCTTTGAATACTTCCCACCTGCAATAAGGATTCCGTAACGTACTCCTTGCGCTATCTTTTGACCATTTGCCAACTTTTCGCTTCATAGCTGACACGGTACAACACTTTTATTTCGCTTACTTCACATGGCCGGTCATTTTGTTTACAAAGAAATGGTGTGCTATGCGCATGCGCTAGTAAAGGGAAATCCCTGAACAAAACGTTGGTCAGACAGGTAGAAATACCGATGATTATCTTAGATTTAATCATTTTTATGAATCTACTTCAGCCAAATACGATCGTTATTTTCCATAAGGAGTCTCACTTGATATGTTTATGTAGTATTTGAAAAAAAGACACAAAAAAAGTTACTTCATTGTGATGCCCCTTTAAGTGAATGTCTAACAATGTTGTAACTTCTTTATTAGACAATATTAGATATTTTATGTGACATAATTTAAGTAAAATGATGTAAAATTAAGTATTTAAATTAGAATATATAAAATACAAGTGTATTTAAAATCGAATAAAAATAAATTAAATTAAAATAATTTAAAGTAATTAAATTTAAAATTAATAAAATATATAAAATATAAGTTCATTTGTATTTAAATTGAAATTCGGTCAAATTAAGTGAAGTAATGTGACAAATTTAAGTAAAACGTATAGGTAATGTTTAAATATCATCCTACAGTATGTAGAAATTTCATGTTTTGCACATCAAACGAAAAAATGGGTCATGGAAATCACACCTGCAGGAGTAGAGTGGAATTTTTGTGTTTGATGGCACTTTGCTGAATATACAAGCAGATTTTGTTGCACTACAACGGGCCAATTTCCATCTAAAACTCTTACCTTATTTCCCCTCTTCCTTTGAACACATTGACTAAGCTAATTATATCACCATATGTCTCAAACCTGATCCAACAATTTCGGGTTATGACAATTTGTTTTCAGTCCATCTGAAGCCATATAACATGAACAACCATTCTGAGATTAAAAAAAAAAAAATTACCTTTCAGGAAATGCTGGATGGTTTTTCCCTAAATTGAAGGCAAACGCGAAAAACTATTTGCAGGAGTGTAGCCAAGGTGTCAAACAATGGCTCAAAGATCTCCGACAGAAAAATAAAATTGTTTTTTTAATGACTTCTTCGGGATATGACTTTGCAAGTCTGGTGATGAATGTGATACTTGGGTGAGTCAGTGTCTTTTAGAAGCTTTTACTATAATTGGGTGAGTCAGTGTCTTTTAGAAGCTTTTACTATAATTGTCAAAGTACGGAATCAAGGACATGCTCCGGCGAGTGGTGGAGGATGTAAAATTTTGGTAAAAAATTATCCTATATTTTAACATTGAACTGTGTTGATGTGACACAGCTTTGCAGGCAAACATCATAATGAGCACACACTTCTTATTTGTTTACCTGATGGCTGTGTCATTCATATCGACTGTAAATGCCCTATCAGCACAGTTCAATGCTTTTATTTACCATTTTGTAATATTTTGATATCGTAGAAATTAAAAGATTCTTTTTATCAATTTGAGGATAGAGTTCAAATTAGTGTATGATGTGTATGCATGTTGAGTAAATAGAACTACAAACATCTTCCATGGAGGGTCAGTGGTATCCGACGTAACAATGATGACATCATAATAATGATGACGTCAACATGTGGGCCATGGCATTTACAGTCTAATGAATGCCACCCAAATTCATATTGAACTATTCCAACCTTTCAATTGGAAGAGTTCAAATGCGCCTTCAAGGGTGAATGAGTTAACCTTAATTGTTTTCTTCCTATTTTTTCAGTGCAGATTGGCAGTCCTTTTTCGACATCTGTCTTTTCAATGCAAGAAAACCTGCGTTTTTTATGAACAAAACCTCATTTTTGAAAATAGGTAAGAAATTTATGTTCTTTAAAAGATGAATACACGTTTAACTTGCCATTAATTGAAAATACAATGTCCTTCATATTCAATGAAAGTCAAATCTGGTGTTAAAGTTATTGACATTAAAAATAACAAGTGCCAATAAAATTTGATGTTCAAAGCACAGTCGTTTACATTAGATCAAGGTCATTACAGGAGGTCAAGGTCACCCGTACCACCAGTCAAGTATGAATCGTTTACATTTAATGACATTTATTTTCCGCAGTATTTCTTGAAGAGTCATGTCTCGAATTCAGACGTCTATTTATTTTGTTCCCCTATCGTGGTCACCCCCAGTTTTCAAGCTAAGGGTTGTTACTTTCACCTTCAGCTTTGGGTTTGTATTCACAAGAATGTCAAAAATAAGATATTTTGTTCAAAGGATCATTCAGGGTTTCTTAAAATAGATTGTGCAATTCCATTAGATTTGTATGAAACTAACCATAGCCTACATGTAGTATGATACATACTTACCAACTGTTTGACATTTCCATGCGGGGAGATTCGGTATCCTCAAAATTAAAATTTAGATAAAATATGTGTACCGTAAAAACCTATGTAATTTGGGCAGGTACTTTTTGAGGCTGAAAATCCTCAAAAAAGCTTCTACTCGAATATTTTGCGCACCAATTTTTTTTGGAAAAAAAACGGTGCTCAATAATACTTTTCACACAAACTCAGGTAACAACACAGTATGTATCAATTGTATCTTTTATTGATGTTTGACATAAATAAATGTGTTGATCGTCGTTTGTCTTTGAGTTCCGTGTACCAAGTGAGATTATCTCGTGTCCAAGATGGCGGTCTGCCAGAATCGTCGATCTTTTCATGAAACAAAAATTGAAATTGCTTACACCTATATATGTTGCGCACCCCCCACTTTGGGCATTAAATTTCTCAAAAAAAAGTGCGCAAATTACATGGGTTTTTACGGTATATACAATGTAACCCCCCCGCCCCCTAAAGGGAAAATAATGCACTAAAATGACATATTCTGAGTTGTTCTTTCAGATGAAATCATTACATCTAAAAATATAGGAATTGTTTTTTTTAGCAAACTCACTTGTTGAAAATACTAAATTTAAGGTTCCAAAATCGGTAGTCTCCCTCCTAAATAGGGAGAGTTGGCAAGTATGGACTTATATACATATGAGAAAATGGTATTTCTATTGTCAAAAATATTAAAATTGAATAAGGTGCTCTCCCGGCCTACTTACCTATGTGTTTTGTAACCAAACAGGAAACATGACCAACTTTTGTTTCACCTTAAATGCTTCTGATGACTCTGTTTATTTGTTATGTTCACATGTACAGAAGGTGGTGTTGAAGATATGCCAGTTAAGACCCTCCGAAAGAATGGCTGTTATTCACAGGGCAACCTTGAGGATCTCACAGCATTTTTATCCTCGCAGACAGACACACAACAGCCAAAGGTAGACATTCCTACTGATATTGGTAGCAGTTAGGATTTTACCGTGAAACCTAAGTTACTGATATTTGTAGCAGTTAGGATGTTACCGCGGAAACCTAAGTTACTGATATTGGTAGCAGTGAGGATGTTACCGTGAAACCTAAGTTACTGATATTTGTAGCAGTTAGGATGTTACCGCGGAAACCTAAGTTACTGATATTGGTAGCAGTTAGGATGTTACCGTGAAACCTAAGTTACTGATATTTGTAGCAGTTAGGATGTTACCGCGAAAACCTAAGCTACTGATATTGGTAGCAGTTAGGATGTTACCGTGAAACCTATGTTAACGATATTTGTAGCAGTTAGGATGTTACAGTGAAAAAACTTAGCTACTGATATTGGTAGCAGTTAGGATGTTACCGTGAAACCTAAGTTACTGACACCTGATTTACCTGATGACACATTGTTCTTTCTGACCAAACAGTCACTCTCCTTGAGTGTCAGGTTTCGTTGCTTATAACATATCTTATTGTATCTCCGATACAGAACAGCCAAAGATAAGACTTCTAATAGTAATCAAGATTGTTAATACAAAGTGTTGAATATTAATTTTGGTAATGATAAGCTACAGTTGTTGTTATTTCATTGTTGGATTTTCAAGGTGATGGATTAACTCATTAACCCCTGAAGTTTCATAATGAACTATTACAACCTTTGAATTGGAAGAGTTCAAATGTCTTCAGGGGTGAATGAGTTAACAAGTTACTCAGTCAGCAGATTTTTCAAGTAGCTGTTCATTAAAATTTGACAGGTTTGACAACCCTAAAATGTATATTTCTCAGAGAAATTGTAGTTGTGATATCTAAGTTATACTTGCTGTGGAACAGCAAAGGTAGACAACTCTAATGACATTTCATCTTTCTTTCCCGTACCAGGTTGTATACTTCGGTGACAGTCTGTGTTCAGACAGCTACCCAGCCCGAACGTACGCAGGTTGGAGTGTGGTTCTCGTTTTGGAGGAGATGGAGGCGGAGGGCTATCACCTTACTCGACACGATCTGGACTGTGATGACGAACAGCCTGCCAGTAAAGTTAGGCAGAGACAGGTACTAATTTCATTTCACCTGTTGGAAGTGAGAGGAGGGGGGGTTCTGTTGATACATTCACCAACTAATTGTCCTCCTTGTCTTTACCTAATTCCAGTCTGGGGAGAGTTACGAAAAATACAAAAGGAAGGGGTCGATTTATCAATACACTCTCAATTAACTGTTTCTTGTGATACTCTTATATTTCTGGTTTCTATAATTTTCCTAAATTCTGATTATTTTCAGTCTCAGGAAGGTTGCGAACATACAAAAAGCTACATCAAACTATTTCTTCCGATACCGCTATATTTCTGATTTCTTCCATTTTCTTAGATAATGTGTTTTTTTTGGGGGGGGCGGGTGTTCAAGATAATTACAGGAAAACTCACTGATCATACACAGGAAAATAATTGTTGAGTAATTTGCATGTGTTGGAAAGAGAGTCGAGAATACGTAACAGCTGCCTACATGTTTTAGCAGTAATCTTATATAAGTACTTTTTGTGTTTAAAATATTGTGCTAAATTATGCTGATTGAAGTTTCTGCATATTGAATCTATTGCATGTATTAGGAAATTTGTCATTTCATCAATGTGCTGTCGGTCTATAAAAATTGAATACTGTGCTAAAATGTGAGTGTACTAAAACAGAATGTTTACCATAGTTTAACCATGTTGAAGGCAAGAAAATGTTGAAAAATATAAAAATGAAATCCATCATCTTAAAGCGAGACCTTTTTCTTCTAATGGTGAATTGCAAAAGTGGAATCCTGCGAACTAATTCCAGTTACAAATTTTATGGAATTTTATAGCCAAAAAAGTGTTCAAAAGTTAAAAAGCCATGATACAGCTTGAAATTTTATTCATTCAGGTAAACATAGAAATCGATCCAGAAGAGGAGTCGTTCCTACTGTCAAAAATGTGGGGGTCATTTTTCTACCACGAGAAGGAGGATACCAAGCATGACGGCTGTATGAACACGTTCTGGGGGCGTTTAGTAAGCCAGTATAACGCCATAGCCATACCCATCATCGAATATATTGCAGGTAAATTTATAAAGGTGAAGTGATGATGAATCACTTGGGGCCCGTTCTTTGATGTGGAAAAACGTGTTTGTCTTTTTTTAGATGTTATATTTCACGAATAAAGCCCGGTGGACCTGTAAATGTTTATGCAGACCTTGAATGTCTTTTTGCCAAGGCTTGCCAGAATACAACATCAGGTCGCTAGGTTTCCTATTTCATTGACAAACAACTCTAGTCCAACTGTTTGAGATGAAATACTCTACAAAAGATGAAGTACTGCCTAATTATATGACCTTAAATATTCTCCCTGAAATGTTTTCATAATGTTTTTGGTTTTTTTCATTATTCCCTGGCCAGCAAAAGGGTACCAGGATTGAGCTGTCGATATGATTTCTCAATCTATGTTTAAACAACCTGTATTCACAAAACATATCTAACATGACCAGGGACCACCAACTTATGAAATTCTACTAGAGTAGTATATACTGGCAGAGATGGAACAGATGAGATGACTTTGGATTTGTCGCAGTTCATAACAACATGAATTTCTTATCTGTTTTTAGGTATGCCTATAAGCCATGTATACACACGGTTCGGAAGGGAGGTGGGGAGTACATCTGGGTTCCATCCAGCCAAACCCAAGCCACTGATGCCAAGCAAAACACTAGAGATATCCAGCTAGGTCTCGGTATATTGTATTTTAGGAGTTTTCCATACATTACCCCAAAACCTGCCTAGCGCCTTCAGGGAACAAATGGCTTCATCTGCATTTACCTTTAGAATAATGCTATAAAGAAAAACCATGTATTAAAGTGAAAACAATCAAAACTAAATGTTATTTCATATGAAGGTAAGACGATAAAATATTTCCATCCATTTCTTACACTTTTATTTATAATATCAATACCTTGTATATAAAAAATGTTCACTGCTTCAGAACGTTTTTTGTTTTTGTCAATATGAGGCCTGTTATAGTACACAGTTTGGGTAATTGTATATTGATTTCAGTATCAAGGAACCAACATTTTAAATATGATGTCTTAGCCGTATTTATTTTTAAAGAATCATGCTATTGTAAAAGTTTAGTAAATTTGTAAACTTTAAAGAGTTATATTTGACAACTGTCATCATGATCGATATATATATACCCGAAGTTTATATACTGTTCGGAACTCTATAAAAACAGCGGAAATGTTCTGAGCCAAAAATAAACCTTGTTTTTTAAACACCGAACCTGTTTTCTATTATCACGCAAATGTTCAATTTTCTCAAAAACTGTGTTGTACATATTTTGTTTTGAGATTTAATGTAAGAAAAGTAAAATGACTGCAGGCAGCTGTTTCGGTTTTTGAGATTTCTTGCTTAGTTATAAGATCACCTGTATTTGACAGAACTTGAGTGTGTTTGTTTTTTTGTAAAAGTTATATGCAGAGCTGTATCTGTCAGACAGTTTTAAGCAGTTTTAATTTATTTGGTGACTTGCATTTTTGTTATTTAATACTTTTGGTGCTAGTTGCAAGATAAACACATATTAAGCAATACTGGGAAAGTTTCACCCTGCCATATATTCGCCATTTGGGCATGTTATACTGAAAGACAGAGGTTGCAAGCCTAGGTGAGCCATCCAAGTCTTTCTGTCCAGAGCCCAAAATAAACTTTTTTTTTTTTTTTTAAATCTATATTCACTGAGTGTTACTGTATAGGGGGATATTTTTCGTTGCAGTTTAATTTTTCGCGTTTTTCGTCCTCCCCAATGAGGGTGAATTTATCGTTACAGAGGACATTAGTAAACAACTTTGTATACGTAGTAATTAAACGTGAATGGACAATTTGATACTGGGCAAATATGGATTTTACTGGCGAAGGGCGGAAGTTTGACTGGGCGAAAAAAAAATCTGGTATACAGTAATTCTGCCCTTCACATATATTTACTATCATGATAAATGTGCCCTCATTGTTGAGGGTAAAACGGCGAAAGTGAAACTGGAGCGAATATTTCCCGTATACAGAACATTTACTTCCTGTTTTTATCTGACGTCACAGCCAACACAATGTTTTGTGTAAACGAACATGTAACAAAGCGCATGATTAATTAAATATAAATCACTGCCTCCGGTAGGGATCGAACCCGGGACCTCTGGCTTACTAGTCTTACGCTCAACCGATCGAGCTAAAGAGAAGTTCTCTATAGCCGAGCGATATATTGCGGCTATTATTTACCAGGGTTACAAACACATCCAGAAGTAGAGCACAAGTGGATGTGTACGTCCACCCGTTAAATTACATGTTTTGCTAACTTTGATGCCAGACAAATTGTAGGCTTAGCAATGCATTTATTACATACCTACATGTGTTTTTTGTATGTGTGTTACATTCTCTGTGACATACAATGTAATAATATATCTTACGAAATGTGTGACAAAAGTTGTATTTCACGAATGGACAGCAAACCTCCATTGAACTGCCTGTGTAAACAGTATTTTTCTCTGGTTGTGTCAAATGTTCTAGAATTTCGAATTTGATTCTGTTTAAAATGATGATTATGAAACATATTTCCTTTAAATTACCTCAAATGAACTACCTGAGTTAACAGTATTTTTTCTCAGGTTTAATACTAGAATATCCAAATTGATTCTATTTGAAATGGAACTTATTACCATGAAAGTATTATGGTAGAATAATGAATTTGTTTAGTAAACAGTGTCTTGTGTGAAAACAAAATTGAGATCTTCCATTTATGAGACATTATCTGAATTGTGTTGATTTATTTAATCTTGTATTGTAATGATGATGACACCTAAAAGGTATACAAAGTAGTGCTAGTTATTTTTTGTATAGAACCTCTCGTCATACTGCCAGTTTGTCCAGCAAACTATATATACACATTTTGTTGTTTGTCCAGCAAACTATATATACATGTTTTGTCGTTTGTCCAGCAAACTATATATACACGTTTTGTCGTTTGTCCAGCAAACTATATATACACGTTTTGTCGTTTGTCCTTCAAACTATATATACACACTTTGTTGTTTGTCCAGCAAACTATATATACATGTTTTGTCGTTTGTCCTTCAAACTATATATACACGTTTTGTTGTTTGTCCAGCAAACTATATATACATGTTTTGTTGTTTGTTCAGCAAACTATATTTTCACGTTTTGTCGTTTGTCCAGCAAACTATATATACACGTTTTGTTGTTTGTCCAGCAAACTATATATACATGTTTTGTCGTTTGTCCAGCAAACTATATATACACGTTTTGTCGTTTGTCCAGCAAACTATATATACACGTTTTGTCGTTTGTCCAGCAAACTATATATACATGTTTTGTCGTTTGTCCAGCAAACTATATATACATGTTTTGTCGTTTGTCCAGCAAACTATATATACTTGTTTTGTCGTTTGTCCAGCAAACTATATTTACACGTTTTGTTTCTACACTATATACAAGTCATACAGAGATTGTTTTTAGAAGTGAGGTAGCATATGAAACAAGGGCATTATATTATATAGGTTTTACAGCAATTATTTACCTTTTGTTGTTCGCCTTTTGCCTATATATACAAGCATTATATATGCAAAGAAGTTTATCTCTTTTTTTTATCCAATAAATGAAGTTAAGAAACAAAGGAATCATGGTCTTTTTTTTGTGATGACAGCAATATTTTCTATATTGATATCTCACTTCTAACAGTCCAATAATTTATAAATTATTTGAAAGCTAATAACGAAAATGTTAGAGGTACCCTATTTTTACCAGATTGAATTTACCTTATACCAGTATATTGAATTATGTAGAAGTCTGTTAATAATTGGACATTTAATAAGTAGTTTATACCACTCCTTTCCAACTTGTCAGTGTTCATTTTGATTGTAATTGATACTTAGTAAATATCCTACATCAATGCCTTGTAAATCAATATTACCAAAACTCAAGATGGCCACCATCTGTTTCTTCTCATTGGCAGAAATGTACAGGCTGTTGCATTTAGCCGATTGATACATTCTCGTTCATGCTTTGTGGTAAATTCTACATAGTGGATACTCTATATGGCAAATAAGAACATATTATCTTGATAACCGTAATACGAGATGGTCACCATGACTTCTGACTGGCCAAGACATTCCAGCTTATGACTTTGATCTGTAGGTCCGATTTTGTTCATACTTGGTGGTAACTCCCGTGTGACGGGGCCCTTGCCGACCTGCCAGTGCTCTAGTATTTTGTACGAGTTAATGTCTTTCCTTTCTATTTAATTTCTAAGTGTTCCAGCGTCATGTTGTTCTCAATTTATATATGTTTAGTTATTCAATTTTTATACGCCCGTCAAATTTGACGGGAGTATTATTGTATGGTATCGTCGGGCCGGCGTAAACTTTTGTTTGTCTGGCAATCTCCTCCTACATTTTTCGACAGATCTCTTTGGAACTTGGTATACATTATAATCATGATATGAAGTTGTGTCTCCCTTACAAGAATTTTGATTCAACAACTTTTGCAAAAGTTCTTGCCCTTTAATTTATTCATTTCAGTATTTGATTTTTTGTCCGGAAATTTTCTCCTACATTTTTTATAGCATCTAACCACTCTTAGAATGATGCAGATCTTATTTTAATGTAAGAAAGTATATAACACTATATGGCATTCGACGGGCGTATATTGTTCTGCCCCGCGGTACTCTTGTTTCTGATGTCTTGATGCTATGAACCAGTCAATTTCTCCCATAATAATGTTTCATAACAATAAAACTTAACACAATGTTATTCGATCATACACTTGTCATTTATTTATTTTACAAACATCTTAATTTTTCTTCACTCACATGATTTATAATCAACATCACACACGCTCACCCTAACTATCACAACCCATAACAACCATCTACCATCATGTATGGCAGACAAAATCACTTCCGTCCTGATCAAGATAACATATAAGCTTTCCCAGGACAGGCTTATTTGTACAAATATTTTCTATTTAATCACCATTACTATATTACTGTGTATATTACACGTTATAGCTCAGATTTGTTATAGAGTTATCTCCCTTGAGGAGATATTCAAACTTCAGTTTTGTTACCGGGTATATATATATTAATCATAATGTTATCTCCCAGTAAAAAAATCTGAACAAAAATATGTTCATTTTAATCAGGTATCCTATCTAGGTTAACAGCCAATCAGAACGGAGAAACTGTCTGACCTCCAAATTTATTCCCTGATCCTGTTGAACTGAAAACTCAACCTGATAATCACAATTATATGCTCACAGGTCAAGTTTATCAAAATCCTTTCTTACACAATTCTAAAAACGATCAAACTGAGCTGAAATCACTAGCCCTACCCCTTCACAAAAAATGGAACATAAATCTATAAATAAACATCCTTAATAAGATTTCTTGGTTTCAGCGATTCACTATATTATATTTTTGTCTCATATCCCGCATACCTGTGAATCATTTACAAATGATAATTTCCATACTTTCAGTATTTTTGTCAGGCTGTGTATGATGCTACATGTATGTGTTCAAATGGTCTACTGGTCACACACCACACAATACCAAATTCACTGTAATTTACTAAAGGAACTTAAAGTAATTTCACAAATTATATACATCACTTTATTGATGTTGTATATAATTATTTAGCTATACACAGCTTGATGAAGTTAAACATCACATAAATCAAGAAGATTTTATGTTAAAAGATACACTATAAAATGATGTTTAAATGTAGGACCTTTTCCAGTTAAAACTATCCCAACACACATGGAAGACAAATAATGATAACTCTGTGGTAGGTGGGTGTTTTAAGGCAAATATTGCATGCCAGGTTCAACCCAATACTAGGGATAAACACTCTGGGCAAATATCAATTTGCAAAATATAAGAACGATCGCTGAACCTTCCAAAATTCTCAAAAATATCCATAACAAGAGTATTTTTGAAAGGAATCGTTATATCAGAGTTAAGGGATAAGACGCTGCAGACCAGATAAGGGATACAGGGCACTTATAAGGGACAACATACTATCTCTGTCCAATGTTATAAATATTTTTCTTTATGGTGCCTTCCATGAGGTGGGAATAATTTGAAATGGAAAAGTTCTAAGTAAAGATCATGATGATTTACATAGTGCTCAAATACAAGTAATTTACTGTTTCTGTCTTTATGAAGCAATGCAATTCAGTAAATGGCAGTTTGAAGAGTAAATGCATGACATGATCATGACAGAAGCATTTACTTTAATCAAAACAAACTTTGACAAAAATATATGTAATTAAAATGTAAGTAAATTGAATACCTGCAAAGGTACATTGTTGATATCTACTCGCAAAATATTATGTATATCAATATTTATGGACAGAATTTTTTATTTCCTTGTCTCAATGTAAATAATGATTGATATGTTAAATAATAAACTTTACAAAAAATAAGAAATCTTCTGAAATAATTTCTTCACAAACCAAATAAATATATATATTTTTTCACCCATATATTCCTATTATCCTTTATATTTTATCTTCATCTGTCATTTTCTGTTTTTAATACTTAATGCAGAGAACAACACAGTGAACAGATATAGGCATCTACTGGTAATAAACAGTAGATTCCACTTAATGTCACAGTTTGCTTAATATCACATTTCCCTCCAACAAATGATACATGACATTAAGAGAAATGCACAGTATAATACCAAATCTAGTTTTGGTGAAATATTTGGTATGAGGAATGGTCTGTACGTGATAGGCACGTAAACATTGATGTCAGATGCAATTAAATAAAACGAAAATGCATATGACGTCTGTACGTGATATAAAGCATGTAAACATTAAATAAAACGAAAATGCATGACACCACTGGTGATACGCCAGCTAACGATACCTGGAATGGCAGAAGAATTAGTTCGGGAATGAGTACAGTAACACTACTAAATCACATATACACACTACAGATGAAGAAAGAAAAAGAGAAAAAAAAGGAAAATTAAATTTTGGGGATAAATACATTTTTATCCTAAACATTTAACAGTGATTTTGATGGACATAGATAGTATTTCAAGGCATTTCAACATTTATTTAGTCAAATGTATAATCAAGTGATCTAATTAGTTGAAATGTTGATCTATTTTAAGTTCATGATTTAGGTAAACAAAAGTCCAAACAACTCCTGTACTTTTGTACCTTCACAGCTATTTGATTCTGTACCGAAATTATAAAGAAAAAACAATAATCAAAAGTTTCATCACACAAACCAGGAAAAGCTTTCCAATCCTTCGTACAAGTGCATAGATAAAGAGGTATATTGTCGTGGGAAGATTTTCCCTTGTGATACTGCCATTGTACATCATTGATAATAAATACATTCTTTGAATTTGCCACGACTGTGTCTTAATTTTACCTTTAACAAAGTCAAGAAGGCCCAGCCTGCCCCTAACATGGGACCTGGTCCTTACGATAGTTTTTTTTTTTAAATTTATACTAGATCTATGTCAGAATATATCTGCAGGCTGCTTTTAAGGCTTATTGTCAGATAAAGATACTTTATCTGTAAAATTTGTTTAAATGTTGGGGTGGGCTTATTACCAGGCATGAGCTTGTCAGTGGTAACACTTACTTATATCACTATTGTATAACCCCAATATTTTGCATAGATAGAATAACAAAGACTTCATTCATCAATAAATAACACAACAACATTGTTGACCTGGTGCACCCTATAATCTTGCCAAGTCAACGCCATATTTTTTCCGCATTTAACAAATTTGAAACTGTCGGTATGGCGTGCACAGAGAACAAATACATGCACACATTCATGAACAATGAATTACACTCAATGACCGTCCCAAATGTGATTGACCCTTTAAGACCCAATAATACTTAAATCAATTCACATTATTTGATATGTCACATTTCACAATATCCACACGATAAATTATTGTCTGAAAACCGATCACGGTTGATCCTCAGTAACTCGGATGTCACATTATCTACACAGTATTGCAGGGGGGAAAAAAGGCCCCGGTTTCACGAAAGTTCCCTAGCTTAAGTTAAAGTTAATCTATGAAGAAATTTAAGCTGAGGGAAAAATCCTAGTTAGGATAATTAGATGAACTATTTAGGATCCACTGTACATGGAGGTAAGGCAATGTATCTCATACATTCACTAAATTTTTATTTTCTTTATTCATTACAAAAAAAAATCATACTCAAGAATCAAGCATTACACCTTATGCATGATACATATAACACACATGAAACACTGCAACAAAAATGTGGGCTTATAAAGTGCAGCTCATTTGAATTACAGGTTTGTATAATATTAATACTTTATCATTATCATTACAACTAATTTTCATCAAATTAGAAAAGAATAATCTCATATTTTGACCAAATATTTAGATTATTCACTTCATTAAAACAATAACAGGACATTATATCACAAACTTTCAAATGTCAATCTGCTCCATTATTTTCAAGCAATTTGGTAACTTAGAATTTTATTTCAAACATTTTGTTAACCTTGAATCTGATATCTATTTCAAAGTAAAAATGGAAAATTTATTCAATGATGGATTGATCTACTCCACGTTTGAATTCCTGGATTCTTGAATGATACATTCCATAATCTATAATACTTGTTAGATAATAAAACAAAAGAAACCAATAATTCTAATTTAAAATTAATATAAGAATACCTGTCAAGTATTTTAGAATGAACATTCTTTAACCTGACAAGACAACTAATAGAAATACAATATCCTCGTCACTCGATCACAACGATGCTCATTCAAACACAATGCATACTTATTATACATCTCTAAGCACCAAATAATTATCATCTATTAAATGGCCAGGATTTACTAAAGGAACAGTAAACTAAAAAAAAAAATGGAACTTCACACCTATTGAAATTTCTTGGCGTCTTTTTTCTTGGCGTCTTTTTCAATGAAATAAAACAATGTGAATAACACAGTGGTAAGAATCTTCAACAAGTGCTTCAAATAAAATACTAATGTGCACCGATACTTTTGTAACCATTTCTTTTTCTTTTTTAACAATCCAATACTATGTACAGTAATCCAATAATTCTTAAACAGTTTAACTCAACAGAAAAATCAATTATATTTACATCAAATATTGGACAATCGTAACATCTTCAACAAAAAACATCTTCAACAGAAAAACAAGAAAGTACACAACACAAGCAACTTGAGGCTGTGACCTTTCTTAAATAAATTATGTACACCTCGAAAGAGGTCTCTGAACAGAGGTGGTCTCTTAATGTAAATATACAGTACACTGCTTAATGGGGATATGACAACAATGGTCTCTTTAGAGGGAGAGGATTGCTTTATAAGGGTGTGCGTGTACGTGGTCTCTCGCGGAGATTCAACTAGACATGGATCCCAGTCACAGGACAAAAATTGGACATACCATAAATACAACTATATATGTTTACATGACTGTACATGTAACATCACAAGGAAATTCTAATTTCATAGAGATATCACATTCACAAGTCTTCCAATATGGCAAACCAGACTTAATTGGGAAATACTACTTAATAGTACTTCATAAATTTATACATATTACATTACAATGAAATGAACTATAAGACGCTTTTTTAAAAATGATTTCTGATATGGAATGCATAGAGTTTTGAATTAACACACTGCATTGTCCTATAATAATGAGGTCTGTACGCTGCTGCGACACTTTACGCACAAAAAGACAAATACGTCCCCAAAATTGCTGGCAGATTCAGCGGAGACCAAGATAACAGTATAGATTATAATCCCACTGTAGTTTAATATTTACACTAGTTTTTGCTGTCTAAGCTATTTCAGAACCATCACGATTGATCAATAATGAAAATATTCATTCTATAACAACAAAATAAATCTACAATTGTGCCCATGCACAATATCGTCAAAAGATTACAGAGATTCTTTAACAGGATGAAATGAGCTGAATAAAATTCGATTTATTTTGTGACAGGATCTCTTCATTTTTAACGTTAATATTGACACCAGCAAATATATACAAATAAACATTAAATAAATAACATGATAATCTGATATTACTTTAAGTGAAGGTTTGGATGAAAAAAATATTCCCCATAGGAAAATATTTAAAATATCTATCATCAAAAATGCTTACACGCAAAAACATGTAGTTTTACATTATATGAACCAAATAAATATAGAACATATTCATTTTTGTACAGTATCCATCCACTTGTTGAGGTGGTTGGTGGATGTTGTCAGCCTCTCTAGGTTGATGGACGATGTTGTCAGCCTCTCAGGGTTGACGGACGATGTTGTCAGCCTCTCAGGGTTGACGGACGATGTTGTCAGCCTCTCGGGGTTGACGGACGATGTTGTCAGCCTCTCAGGGTTGATGGACGATGTTGTCAGCCTCTCGGGGTTGACGAACAACGTTGTCAGCCTCTCAGGGTTGACGGACGACGTTGTCAGCCTTACAAAAATCCAAAGACACAGGCGAGCATGAAGACGTGGATGAGAATGAAGTAACCCCAAATCATCGTGCGTATCCCCGGTCGTATCCTCATGGCGCGGTTCAGCTGGCGGCTGGAAAGGCATAAGTATTCCCTGTAGTAAGAGTAAATGTAGGGAAGGGTATACATACAGCGTGCACCATGCAGCTCGAGTCTTGTTAGCACAGCAAAAAGGCCTTACACTCTACAGCCGAACATTGATATAATACCCCTTTTCTTCCTTTTCTACCTTTCCTAACAGGGGCATCCCCTCGATTCATCGCCAAATCCAATTTCAACACGCAAAATTTTATGGGACAAGGGTTGTAAACTTTATTTATTTTACCACAATTATGAAACAAGTTATTTCAAATTATATTAATCACTCTTGCTGGCCAGGATGTTAGCGTGCGGAGGGTCCTTAATTTGGAATGAAAATCAGAGTAACCGGAGAAAACCAACGTAAATTTATCGACGATATTCAATTATGCTTCTTAATAGTTATAAATATTTTTTACTCTAAAGCCAGTTGTGTTTATAAACAAAATTATTATATCAAACAAAGGAAGATTATCAATATAGCAGACACAGGTAATTACCTACCAGGTACTGAGGTTGTTTATCGTATATAAATATCAAATGGTGCAAAGGGCCTGCATTTCTCACTGTCTGAGATATGTTAATTCCTTCACTCCTGATATTTCATAATGAACTATTCCAACCTTTGAATTGGAAGAGTTCAAATTGTGTCTTCAGGGGTGAATGGTTTAATTGAATGAAAAAGAAGATGATACATGTACCAGAAAGGGGAACTATTTGGAAACGTTATCAATGCTAGGGTTGTGTTTGATTAACGCCTGCTTTACAGAAAACAGACATTGATGAAGCTACAGATAAAAACATTGACATTCTACTCTCTACAACCTCAAGCAGCACACAGAAGATCTAGGGAATGTTTACCAGCAGCTATAGCCTTGACCTGAGCTAATGTGCAACCCATGGACAAAGTTAAAAGGCTGAGAAGCTAGCAGCATGCATGTGAACTTTAAGTTTTGACCCTAGTAGCATGCCAGTAAACTCTGACCTTTAACCTTTCATCAATGATCTCGGTACGTATATGACTAACTTTCACATCAAATATTCTCTTAAACCCATTTGTGCAAGCATTCTTGTTTTTGCAGCTTAAACCTCTTTTTCTTAAATAAAGTAAATCAAAACAGAAAGTGAAGAGAGCATAATTTTGAAATGAAAAATTTTCATATGTGAAATTAGTTTTGAAAGTTCATGTTTAAACTTCGAAAAGTTGAAAACAAACAAAACTTTGAAAATGTCCACCAAAAAGGCAAATTAAAAGATAAGTATGATGACAGGTAATTGCTATTTCTATCTACCATCTAAATCTTCTGCCCTGCAGTGTTCATCTTTTATCCCTCTGAGTCTGTCAGAAAACAACACTTACCGTTGTACTCGTAACCAACGCTGCACCCTGCTAAAGTAACCGGACCCATGCCGCACTGAAGCAAAGAAATCCAAACACGTCAAAACTGGAGATCAGCAAATACACTATAACAGTTTAAACCATAGCTGAGAAATGAGGTGCCCTTTGACAGTTTTTCCAAAGTCACCAGTTACCAGTTCTTCATCTGGTAGGTGAGTTTTTTTTTTATTTTTTTTATTACAAACCATAAATATTCTTACCACTTTTTTTATTATTCTTACCACTTTTTTTATTTTAAAGAAAATTGTGACATTTAAAATATCAAGATGACCTTTTCACATACATGTGAATTAATAATGATTAAGATATAACAGCTTGGTCTCACATATATCTAGTCTAACCCACTTATAATGATTTCTAAATTTTTGAGATTTTGAATATTGAGTGATTTACTCAGCATGGGACTGTGTTCCCTAATCCTGGCCAGGTCCTCGTCCTCGTCACCGATGTCCAGCTGGAACTGAAACAGACAGTGACTGTTACAAATAGTACAGTGAAAAGGATATGTAACTCTATGGCTGACATGCTGAAACAGGTATAATCATTAAGATCTATTTAGGAATAGTATCTCACAAATAGAGGCTCACACAATTTTGAAATGCTCGTTATTAGCAATCACGGAATCTAGGGGCTAAAAGAACAGACAAATACTTCTATATTCCACCAATTCAAAGTATTTGTGGTTATGCCGCTGGATTATGCCAATATTTCAACTTGCAATGAAACCTGCCTTTTCTGACAACCTACGGGGCACAACATGTAGGTGAGATTGGACAGGAATTTGGAATACCTCAGTCTTATATAATAGTTTTCATCAGAAATAGGATAACAGCATTATGATGGATTAGACAGGATGTCAGAATATTCAGTGGTCAGATTAGACAAGTTTCACCCTATAAAGAAAATTAAATCCTGAATGTCCCTTGAAACAGTACCTCCTTAGGGTCTCCAGCCTTCCGTAACAGCTCCTGGCTAGCCGCCAAAGCCTCCTCCATTTGTATCCGAGTGTCTCGCTCACCAGTCAGTGTCCTCTCCAGCCGACCGGTCAGCTCCTGATACTGGACACAGGCCAGTTCAACCTCACCAAGTCTACAACACACAAACAAACATGATATTTGTCTCCCCTTAGTACAGTTTTAAAAGTATAAACTCAAAACTCTGCAATTGAGGCAGATATAGTATTACAGTAGTATGCAGTTTCATAATCATATCTTTCAGGGAACCTCAAACCTTCAACGGAACTGTTTTTTTCGTTATTTTTAAAAATATTTTTCCAACAAAAATTTGAAGGTATCAGCAGATTTTACGCAAATAGATTTACTAGTTTCATTTCCATGCTGCTATTCAAACTGCGTTTTAATTTTAAACTGCACTTTTCCTTGTCAAAAGCATCTATAAACTAATGTTAAAGGTCAGACTTAATTGGCATGGAGCTATGGTTAAAGTTTACAAGCATGCTGCCAGATCAAGTTTTACAGATTTCCATTGTGTCTGTATGATCTAGCTAGAACCATCAGAATTCACAATACATTATTATTAATGGATAAATATATATATTGCTGTTCCTTGATCTCTAAGAGTCCAATTACCTGTTCTTTATCCTTGACAATTCACCCGCTTCAATGGTGACCATTGGTTTTTCATCATCAACAATCTTGACCTCTACAGTGTCGTTGACCTCTGATTTGACCTCGGCCTCTGGAGGCTGAGGGGTTGAAGCTTTGTGAATGGCCTCCGAAACATTCTTCTTTTCCGTCTCCATTAACTGAATTAAGACAGTTAAAGATAACAATGAAATACATCATAATACATTGAAGTAAATCTTGTAAGTAATGTATCAAATCATCATCAGCAAGACTGTGTTACATATCTTTTAGAAGCTTCTAAAATCGTTTTTAGACATTTCTAAAAATCACCAATGAATATAAAACATTTTTTAAACAATTCAAAAAACCATCAATATAAATTTTACATCACTATTAAAATCACAAAACTGAATCAAACATTTTTTAAGACACTTGTAAAAAACACCAACATCAGTTTTTTGCACTTTCAAAAAATCCTTAAGACCTTAAGGAGGTGTGCTTCCTCCCACAATTTACCTGTGCTTTTGTTTAAAAGAGTTATCTCCCTCAAATATCTATTATCAAGAATAACTTGAGTGTTACTTACACATGCAATGTTGTGTAAATTTTGAAATATCTGATCAATAAATATTTACTATTCATCAAAAAATATTTAACAGGTTTCTTGAGTGGAACATTATGTATAGAAGGTGCTTATAATCTAAGGTAGCTTATATCCTTAAATCTTTAATAACGAGGCCTTTTAAACATTCTCCATCCTCTACACCCTCCCCTATAAGGTTTTGTACTAACCTTAGCCTGTGTCACCATGTGGGCCTGGTAAAGGACACGGTATTCCTCTTGAAGTCCCTTTAGTTGTGTCTCACGCTCCCTCAGACCCTTGGACAGGTGGCCCAACTGTTTGTTTAGGTAGCCACGATCCTCCGCTAACTGGCTAACCTGTTGGTCAATAATTCAACTTGAGTTGGTAATTGAAATTATAGGCATGCGTAGAAAGTTTCATGTAAATCAGAGTATTCTACTTTTAGTCTTGTCAACCTTGCTTCACAAAACCAGGAAAATCACTATTAATTCCTTGAGGTATACTAGTAGCCTCCCATTAGTAGGAAATAAATATCTACACATTTATGATATGAAAAAAAATAATTCTGGAATTCAAAACAAACATCATGTGAAGCATGAAAATGCTGAAAAATGTCTCGATGGTTGAAAAAGAAATCTGTAGCTCACAAGAGAATCAGTTACTTTCAACAAAGGTGTACAAGACCGTGACTTTATATACTGACCTGCATAGCAAGCTGTTGACAGCGACTGTCCCTCTGTTGCAGCCGATGCACAAACTGGTTGACCTCTTTCTGAGCCTGGTTTTTCTGTGTGATGGCGATGTTGAACTGCTCCTGCAGTTTCTTGTACTCGTTCTGGAACTTGTTGGTGTTCTCCCCACTTCCCTTAGAAATGCCGAGCTGTGCTCTGATTGTGTTGTTGTCGAAGACTAAGGTTTGGTTGTCGCCTTCCAGTTTCAGGACCTCTTGGTTCAGTCCAGCGCTCTCGTCAGACAGACCCTGACACTGGCTTTCCAGCTGCTGTATGCGTTTTGTGAGACTTTCCCTCTCCCGTCCATAGTGGTCCCGCTCCTCCCGGACGTAGCTGAGGTCCTTGTCAGCCTCCGAGCTTGTTTGCAGTCGTTGGTGTAGCTCCTCGATCTGCCGAGCCATGTTACTGTTGTCGGACAAGACCTTGTTGTACTTGTCGATGTTGCTTTGGTATTCGGCCTCCAATTTATCAAACATCTGTGCTTTGGGTGTCATCTGTAGCAACTTCTCCTGCAGGCTGTTGTTTTCAGCAGCCACCTCATTTAGGTCCTCAAGTAGTGACTCCTCTCTCTCCTCCAACTCTTTGAATGCCTCCTTCAGTTTTCCCAGCTCCTCTGCACTATCCTGTGGCCTTGCAGCCATTGTTCCTTGGGAATGCTCTGCTTGCACCAGAACCTCCTGGACAACCATAGGTTCATGGATAGCTCTGGGAACCTCCTTTACCAGGCTACCCGACTGCTTCAAGTCATACAGTTCTGTGTCTAACTTCTGTTTCTCAGTCAGAGCTTTGGTGTAGTTAGCTTTCATTGCCTTGTAGTCATCTTCCATGGCATCGTACAAATCTGCTTTGAATTTTGAAGCCAGCATCTTTTGTGTAACATTATCGTTCTCAGACATGGCCTCATTTAATTCTTCCATCACCGAGTCATATTTCTCCTCCATTTCCTCTAGTCTTTGCCTAAGGTCCTCCCCGTCGGTATTGTCATGGCCGACAGACGCTAGTTCGAGAACCTGTTGCTCCAACTTGCTGCACTTCTCTTCCAAGGCTTTCACATTATCAGACTGAGATTGATCTAACTCTTCTGCACCAGAATGGGGTTTCTCTGATAATACCTTGTTATATTTGTCCTTCATAGATTTATATTCCTCCTCCATTGCGTCGTACAATTCTACTTTCAGTTTCCACTGTGCCACGTTGAGCTTCAGTTCGTCGTTTTCTGTATTGGCCTCGTTGAGATCCTCCATCAGGGAATCGTACTTCTCCTCCAGATCCTCACACTCCTCAATCTTCCTCTTCAGTTTATTGTCATAGTCTTCATCCTTGATTCGCCACTCGCTGGAGGCATTGTTCTGGTTCTCTCCCATTGATTGAGCTTGTAGAGACATCTGACTAGCCTGTTCTGACAGACTGTCTCTCTCTCTGGTCACTTTGTTCAGCTCTGCCTTGGTCAGGTCCAGCTCTGTCTGGATGCTGCTTAACTCTTCCTCTGCTGCTGTGAGCTCCTCAATTTTCCAGTTCAGGCCATCGTTCTTGTCGCTCAGAAGTTTGACTTTTTCTCTCAAGCTCATCACCTCATCCTCCGACACTCCAGAATGTTGAACCTGTTGTTGTTTTACTGATTCTATCTCTTCCTTCAGGGTCTTCTTTTCCTTCCTCTCTGCTATTAAGTCCTCCTGTAGTCCATCCATTTCTTCTGCTATTTCATCCTTTTCTGTTTCCAGTGATTTAACTTTCTCTTTCAGGCTTGGAACCTCTTCCACTTCTATTTTCAGATCTTCAATTTTCTCTTTCAGAGTTTGAATCTCTTTAACTGAACTGTCAGAGGGTTGGGCAGAATTCTGACTTTTCTCCTCGGACTGCCGTAACGCGATGGTAGCCTTTTCCTTCTCCCGAGCTAACTTTTGGTTGGTTTCTTTCATGTTCTCGAGGATTTCCTGATATGTCTTGTTCTCACTTTCCAAAGAATCACACAGTGACACGCTATCTCTTAACTGTCTCTCAGCATCGCTCGCCTTTTGCTGCGTTGTTTCGAAGTTTGATTCCATTGCTGTCAATGCAGACTGCAAAGACTCACTGTTTTTCTGTAATTCATCGCCTTCTGTCTGCAGCCTTTCATTGATGTTCTCCAATGATTTGAGTTCCGTTAGATATTTCTCTTTTTCCTTCTCTGAAGTTCTATACATTTCATCCTTCTCTGTCTGGACTGTAGCCATCTGTGTCCTGACATTGTCGAGCTCCAGCATGACAGACTGGTTTTCCTTGGTCAAAGACTCCAAAGACATGACAGTGTCTTGACTCCTAGTTCGCTCCTGTGTCAAGGACATTTGAAGGTCACTCATGGCCTTCTCCATGTTTTCCTTATCCAGCTGATGTGTCTGGTTCTTTTCCACTTCCTCATGTAAACTATGTGACAATCTAGCCAAGTCCTGCTGCAGCTTCGTCATTTCCTCATCTTTCTCCGACGACAGTTTCGATTGTGATAGTTCTTCCCTCAGTTGACTCACTTCTGTCTGCAGAGTGTCATTTTTAGTTTTGAAAGCCTTTAATTTCAGCAGCATCTTCTCGCTCTTTGATTCCATAACTTGGAGATTATTTGTTATCCTGTCATGGTTTTTCTGCAGTTCAGCATATTTCTCCTTCAAGTCCGCTAGTTCCTTAATGCCTTCGTCACCAGTGGAACTTGTCTCCAGTGGAGCCGACTGTTTTAATGGTTGTACATGCTCTTTCTCAATAGTATCCCCCCAGTCGCCCCATCCATCCTCGTTATCTGGGGAGTCACTGATTTGGACTTCAGCATTAGGATCTTTCTGGATAGTTGACAAACATGACAGTTTCTCTTGTAACTGGTTGTTCTCATCGCTGACTGACTCCAATTTTGTCAAAATTTGTGCAAATCTGCTTTGAGTTTCATCCAATTCATCAGACTTTTCTGACAATTCTTTGCCAAGTCGGTCTTTTGCTTTCCTTTGCTGCATGGCGTCCTCATTGATTTGGTTAAACTCTAGCTCCAACTTTTCATAACTTTCCTTCTGCTCCAGCAAATTGTCCTTCAGAATTTGAAGCTCTGACGAAAGTTGAGATTTCTCAAGTTCTAATTCTTGTAATGATGATCTAACTTGCTGGGATTCATTACCTAAATCTGATAACATAGAAAGTTCTTTCATCAAGGACTCCTTTTCAATGTGAAGATTATCAACTTGTTTTGACAGACTTCCCATTTCTAGCTCTACAGACTTCATTTGATTCTCTAAATGTTCCTTTTCTTTCTCCACAGATTGAAGATTTCTCAACTGAGTTTCCATTTTGGTACAATCTCCTTGTATTGCTGTCAGCTGATTGGTCAGTTGCGAGTTTTCTTCTTGAAGCAGAGACAACTGATTGGTTAACTGTAAGTTGTCCTTGTCCAAGGATGCGATTCTGTTTGTCAGGTCTGTGTGCTCAGTTTCAAGTTTTTCGGTTTGTTGTCCTAATTTTGATCTAAGTTCATCCTGTAGACAAGTGTTCTGCTGTTCCAGTACATCTTGTTGCACTGTGAACTCCTGTAGAGAAGCATTCTGTGTTTCCAGAGTGTCTTGCTGAGAAGTGATCTGCTGAGCTAACATCTGGTGCTGGGTCTGTAGTTGGACAACCTCTGCAGCCTGTGTGTCTATGACGGCCCTGATACACGCCAGAACATCCTCCATGGTAGAAGCACTGCTTGCTCTGTCTGTGACTATTGGGTGGACACTTTTAACATTAGTGTAAACAGATGTCATTGCTTGGTCCTTGTTTTCCAAATCTGTTGATAACTGCACTATTTTCTGACTCGCCATTTCCAGTTCCTGTGATATTCGGTCCAGATCCTCTTTTGTCTGTCCTTCCTCCTTAACGAATGTCTGTCTTTCCTCCTCCAATTGTCCCTTCTCCTGACCTAGTTCCACGACCCTGCTTTCCAGTGTTTTCACTGACTCACATTTCTCACGGATTTCATCTTGTAGTGACTGTAGTAGTGACTCGAGATTCGTCACATGAGAATTCTGTTCGTTCAGCTTTGCATCCCGTTCTTCCAAAAATTCCTCACAGTGTTGAAGTTTCTGTGAAATGTTTTCTATTGTTTGTTTCTGATCATTAATCATATCCTGAAGATTCTGCACAACGGTTGCTGATTGAGTGTCATTGTCATGGGCGACTTCCTGTAGCTTAGATGAGAATTCTAGCACCTGGGTCTGAAGCATTTCACAAAGGCTTTCCTTTTCCTCCAGGGCGTTGCCGTAAGTCCTCGCCATGTCCTGTACAGAAACAAGCTCTGCCTCCAAGTCTTTCCTCTTTGCCTCTGCCTGGACACACTGATCCACAGCACCATCAAGCTTCTCTTGTAGTTCTGAACACAAGCTTTCCTTTTGTTCGTATGAATTAGAATATTCACTTACTGTCCTATCCAGATCCTTTCTGCTCCGTTGTAATTGCTCATTCTCTAGAACATACTTTGAAAGTTCCTCCTGCATAGCAGTGAATTCATCTTGCATCATAACAATTTGGTCATCTTTTGTTTTCAGCTCTCTCTCCCCTGCAGCAGTCGACTCTGTAAGGCTTTGAATCTTCTCCTGTAACTGGTGGGAGAATTCTGCATGCGCCGTTAGCTGACTTTCGAGTTCACCGATACGTTCCTGATCCCCTGTATTTACAGAGCCCTCAACAACACTGGATCCCTCTTCACTTGTACCTTCAACCTGTTTACCTGCAGCTTCTAGTTTTGCTGTTAATTCGTCCTTGGCCTTGTTAGCCTGTTGGAGTTGGTACTTGAGTTTCTTGGCTGTTGCTAGGGCTTTCTTGAACTGGAGTTCCTTATCTGCTGCGGTTTTCTTCATGTCCTCCAACTCACCCTCTTTGGCAACAACCCGAGCTTGCAGGTCTTCCCACTTTTCTTCCAAGCTTGTCATTTGAGATAACTTTTCTTCCATGCTCTCCATTAGTGTCAATCTTTCTTCCATTTCCTGTAGATTACCCAAAAGCGATTCTATTTTTAGCTGCTTTTCCTGCCACTGTTGCGTTGTGTGTTCCAGCTGAAGACTCAGATTCTCTCTCTCCTTGGAGAATTCCTCCTGTAACTTTCCTAACTCTTGTTTGGAACTCTCCAGTTCGAGTCCTGTCTGTTGTAACTGTTCCTGCAGCAGTCTTTTGATTTGAGATTCACTCTCTGTCTGCTGCTGAAGAATTTCCAGATCTGACCTCAATTCTCTCTCGATGTCTCTCATTCTGTCAAGTTCCTGACTTTGAGATGTCAGATCAGTGTTGAGTCTTTCAACAGTCTGGACTAATTCTGTCTCGGTATCTGAAGCTCCAGCTTTTAAACTTTCCAAAGTTGCAGTGACAGTTTCTAGAGAACCCTTCAGACGATCAGCCTCAGTGTTCCAGTAACGACCTTCCTCTTGTGCTTGAGCCAGAGCTGTGTGTTGTTCTGCGCTGACCTTTTCTAAGTCTGTTACTTTAGATAAGTTGCTCAGTAAATCACCTTGAGATCTTTCTAGTTCTGATTGTGATTTTTCCTGCTCTGATTTTGACCTTTCCAACTCCGACCTTGACTCCTCCAACTCTTTGTGTGACCTTTCTAACTCTGACCTTGACTCCTCCAATTCTGTGTGTGACCTTTCTAACTCTGACCTTGACTCCTCCAATTCTTTGTGTGACCTTTCTAACTCTGACCTTGACTCCTTCAATCCTGTGTGTGACCTTTCTAACTCTGACCTTGACTCCTCCAATTCTGTGTGTGACCTTTCTAACTCTGACCTTGACTCCTCCAGTTCTGTGTGTGACCTTTCCAACTCTGACCGTAATTTCTGGGATTCTGAGTTTGACTTCTCCAATTCTGACCTTGATTTATCCAGATCTTCCTCCATTTTATCCATGTCTGTCTGCAGCCGGCTTGCAGCTTCTGCATATGTCTGGATCTGAACGTTCAACTCCTCCAGGTGTGAGTTCTGAAATTGAGAAAATATCTGCTTTAATAAAAAGTATAAATCAGCTACAATCTTAATCAATTATTATATTTGTTAGTTCTATAAACTACTACTGATCATTGATAAAATTGATAGAGTTTGAAAAAGAATTAAATATTTATTATCAGGATTTTCGATGAAAAGCAATTATTGTCCTTTTTATTCATAATTTAATGTCTTTAATTATAGAATTTATTGCAAATTCTAAATAATAACATTTGAGTATGTATTTTCACTTTTCAGACAGAAGCAATGTTTGTAAATTACAATTACACAATACTAAAATGTCATCAAATAGATTGATTAACAATCCTCACTCAGAAACCAGAACAAAACACTAGGCTTCATACAGAACAAGCCAATGGCATGCATAACAATGTATTAGCAAGCATGACATGATATTATGTTAACATGGTTAGGAGAAATACACTCACATACATCCAGACTACCTATACATGTATTTAGTATATATAAATATATATGGTAATATCTCTAATTGATATAAGGATATATATTGTATTTATATATATATATATATATGTTTTAGTACTAGCAATAGCATTCAACTAGTTCAACTAGTCCTACAGAAATAAGTCCTACATTAAAACATTACTTTATTTAATCTCTGATAAGCCCATATTCAATAATAAGCCCACCCCCTTGTTAACTCATTCACCCCTGAAGACACATTTGAACTCTTCCAATGCATAGGTTGGAATAGTTCATAATGAAATTTTAGGGGTGAATGAGTTAAATAGATTTTGCAGATGAGGATCATATCTGGATAGAAACTCTTTCTACATTCGTCATATATAACAAATTCCAGTGGTTGTATATATGATCTATTGCCTTTAACCCACCATCACGATTAGTAAGAACAAACATGTTAGTGTGAAACTCTAGTGTCCAATTTCAATATGTGTACACAAATTCTAGCAACAATAGGCCCAAGTAACAGCTACAACGATTTAGATTAAAATAATTCATCTGAGTCAGAAAATGCTGACTTGCATATGCTGGCAAAGATTAAATGTATACTTAATTACAGTTGTTTTCAATGCTAAAAGTATTGAACTACAGTCTAGCACATCAGCAGGTACACTACATGTACGGGTATATACGAACTCTAGCAGACAAGAACATAAACAATAAGTCATGTTTCAGCTGCATGCTACCAGCCTCCTTCTGAATAAGTGTGTGACATGACAAAGAAATATCATATATGACGTGTTGATTTTGTAACATCCTTATATTGTTGGAAAATAATTATATACAAAAACATAATGTTATATAACTTTGTACAGTAAAACCTCAATATAGTGCCCTCATTTAATCTGACACATTTTTTACCAACAATTTCAATGGAAAGCTATTCTTCCTTACATCACCAAACCCCTCTATAATGCCAACATTTCACCAGATCAAGAGGTGGCAGTATAACAAGGTTTTACTGAATAAGTCATGCATGAAGTTTACAATATCATGCACATATATCCCATAGCTCTCGGATAAACCATATATATCCCATTTATAACATTATCATTTTTGTCCATGTTACATGCTGTAGGACATTACTTACCTATATTTATTTCCTATTCTGATACTATTTGTAATAGATTTATTAGTAGTATATCTCCATGGTAACACGTTAACATTTAAATGGAATTTAACCATAGTTATTTCCATGGTAACAGCTTTACCATTAGAAATATTTCCACTGTAACTTTTTTTACAAGTAGATATTTCCATGGTAACAAATTGACCAGTAGTTATTTTAGGTCTTCACACATGTGTTTTTTAAAAACTAACCAATTATTTTACCTACTAACATGAAAAATCTCATTATTAAAAGGAAAAGTAAAATTTCTTATCTTTAAAACTAGAATTGTGAATTTTTCAAATGAATTGAAATACAAAGTGAAAACTATATACTAATCAAAGCTCTGTATCTCGTTTCCTTTTTAGACTGTGATCATGCCCTCTTACTATCAAGCAAGCTGAGACTTAAATAATGTTCTTTTCTGATATTACAACAGCTTTTCTAAGATCACAACTACAATCTAAGTTATAAATTACTCTGTTAGTACAATATCTAGTTAACTGATAAATGGGGCTACCAAAGAAGAAACTCAAACCTACAGAACTCGTTCTCCTGAACACAGGACCACTATTTTACATAACTATCTGTTGTACCTTTCTCATGGATTGAGCACTCTAGTTCTATTTATCATCAAAGTCCTATCTGACTTACTGAAGAACAACAGTTAATTATTGCTTCTATCTAGTCTTTCAAAACAAAATATCTCGAAGGGGTATTCTTCATTTTGTACGAGATTTTACTTTCTGAAATTTTACTGTATCTTACAAATAGTCTACCTTAAACCATAGCTAATCTTTTGTTCAAGGATGCAAAAAAAGATGGGATGAGGGGGGAAAAGTCCTGTTTACAGTACAAAAATAGTCCACTTGGCATATATAACATATTCAAATATTAATTTGTATATGTGGTTGTGTTGCTTTCTTTCCACCATTAGGGTTAGTAGGGATACACGTGTTACTCTTTACAGGATGTGACAATTCATTCTAAAACAATTCACAAAATAATTGGGTGTTAAGAAATATCCTTCATTTATCTGTATAAATGCTTTTTGATCAATCTGTTTCTTTAAAATCCCCTTTTTTTAAACACCTTTTTTATAGTTTGACTTTTCCATTTAGATTTTTCAATTTTGGGAACTTTTTTTTCAACTACAAAAGTATCAAACTAGCAGTAATCATAATGATTTCAAAAACGTTAGGCTATTCTAAGGCAATAAACCATTGTTTCTGGTGAAAGGTTTGGTTTGTTATAGTAAAAGAATTATTTTGATAGCTTGTGACCTTGACACAATCCTGACCTCTATCAAAGTGATTGGCCAATAAAATGGTGTTATTTAATATATTTCACCCAGAGACACAGGATTTTGGACAATACACTGTATTTAGTTCAATACACTGGATGCAATTTCTACCATTTTTGTTATAATAATTCATAGAATTGAAGACCAGGGGAAAAATTGTTGAATATCATTTGTTTAGGTTATTCAGATCTGTCAACTATCACATTTGGTTACCTCAAATAAAAAAACATCACAGCAATGTGAATCAAATACTAAAAAAATACACAAAGTAGCTAAAAATCAAAACTAGCTATTGATTGGCAGAGCTACTAAATACAAGCTTTCAGAATTGTCACATAACATATATTGGTACAAAGTGAGCCGTGAATTGTGTATATTAGTGAACTACATTAGCCACCACAAGAACATACCTCAGTAGTCAGGCAAGCGAGCCAGAAGCATGCATTAGAGACAGTAAGGGATTACACGAGAGTATTGGAGTGATACAGTGTTGGAACATCCTCAAGGAGCAACAGAGAAAGCTTACATCATTAGAAACAGTTTCCAAGGACAGAGCTGATTCCTTGACCATGTCTTCTACGACTTCTGGCATGACTTCCTCTTGACGTGAAGGTGCTGACCTCAAAGGCTGTGTGGTTTCCATCTGCATTTGACCTTCAACAGATGTTTGACCTCCATTCCTAGTGTTGTACTCTACCAGTAGACGTTGATATTCCTGCCCCAGCTCCAGCAGTTCCTTGCTTTGATTTCGGCCGTGTTCCTCTGACTTGTGCAAATCTGCTTCAACAGATTTCAGTTGATTTTGTAGTTGTGTTATGCTGTAGTTTAAATTTTGCAATTTTTCATATTGATCAGCACATATTTGAAGTTGTGCCTGTAGAGCAGCATCTTTTTCCATTTGGGATTCCTGATAACCGCCAGATGTTTCCTGTGAAGACTGCAGTTGCTGTGTCACAGATTTCAGTTTGTTTTCCATTTCCAGAATACTGGCTGCTTGACTTCGTACTAGTCCCTCAGATTTGATCAAATTTCCCTGGAGGTCAGCAATCACACCATCACACTCACTCAAACACTTCTTTTTTGTTTCCACGGATTCCTCAAGTTGAACCAACGCATGTTTTACTCCCGATAACTCTGTATCTTTGCCTTCCAACATATCCCTCAAAGATTGGTTTGATGTTTCCAACTCAACCTGAGATGCTTGCGCCTTATTCAACAATTGCATGGTTTCCAAAACAGCAGTCTCCTTTTCCTGTAGCCTTTTAGAGCTGGCATCATTGAACTCCTCTATGTCCCGTATCATCTGATTTTGTTTTTCCATTTGGTCATTGTACTGGTGCTGAAGGTCGCGTGTGGAAGCAATCTGTTTCTCGAGTTGATTCTCCATATGTACCATCTTCATTTCATGACCTCTGATCATTGTGTCCTTTTCCTCAGCATCAACGTGAAGCTTTGTATTAGTCTCCTGCAGGGTTTGAACGATGTTCTGGAGCTCACTAATCAGGGATTCTTTCTCTTCCACTTTGTGCAGTGCCTCTTGAGTAGCTTGTTGCTGTTGCCTGACATCCCCTTCTAAATCTGCGATAGTGGTCAACTTTTCCTGGAGGCGCTGACCATACAGTTGACCAGCCTCCTCCAAAGACTCCAAAGTTTCTTCCAGTTTTTCACACTGACTGGAGTACAGCTCCTGTAAATTCTGCATCTCACCACCTTGGTGAGACAGGTTGTCCCTCAGTCGTTGAATCTGATTGTGTAGATCTTGCACTTCTAAATCCTTGTCATGTAAAGACTGTTCACTACTCTGCCCCGTTGATTGAATTACGTGGATACCCTCCTCCAGAGAGGAAATCTTGGAATCCTTCATCTCAACATCAAACAGAATTTCCCTGTAGGATTGCTCCAAATTGTGAAGACTATGCTCCAAATTCCTAGATCTTTCTGAATAATTTTGGTTCTCACTATTGAGAATGGACAGACACTCGTCTTTCTCCCGACACTTTTCTGTCAGTTCCTCAACTGCCGTTTTCAAATAAGAAACTAACTTCCTTGTGAGAGGTAAACATTTTTCAACAGCATCCATCTCAGCTTCCCCAACACCTTCCATCTTTGGAGATGATGATCCTTGGTTTCTATCGAAATCTTCCACCATCTGTAATAATGTTGTACTGATGTGCTCAAGTTTGGATTGATTTCCCAGCTGATTGTCCTGAGATAGTTGCAGGGCACATTGCAGATTTGATAATTCAGTGTCTTTTTCCTGTAGTTGGATATGTAACCCCTTTACTACGTCAGTTTGTGTCGCCCGCAAGTTTTCCATGTCCTCTCTGATGGACATGATCTCCTGGTCTTTGTATGCGAGGTCATCGACGCGTGATTTGTCAAGATTCTGAAGCTCCATGTGCTGCACTTCCAGCTGGCGATACATTTCATCATTCCCTGAACTCTTGTCTAATTCACTCTTCATGTCCTCGATTTCACTTTCCAGCAAAGTCACCTTGTGCACACTTTCTTGTTTGGTTGCTTCCATGTTCTCAATAGTTTCCTTAGCACTGGCCAGTTCAGCCTGCACTTGTTCGCATTGGGCTTCAAACTGCATGAGGTAGGCAATCTGGCTTTGTGTATTGTCTCCATATTGTTGCCACTGTGCCAACAAAGTTTCCTTTTCCTCACAAGTTTTCTGCAGGTTTGCTACCGAATCCTGCAATCCAGACACTGCATTCTGATGCCAATCACCATAGCCTTGAAGCTGTTCCTTCAACTGGAGAATTTCTACATCCCTAGCATCAGCATTGGCTTGGGTAGTGTTCAAGCTCTGTTGTAAAGATTCCAGCCTGTCTTGGTCCTCTCTATACGACTTTTCTAGAGATTCTACTTCACAACATTTTACTGACAATTCCTCCTTGCTCTTCTCTAACTCGTACGTCAGACTGGACACTTCTGCCTCTAGTGCAGAAACGTTAGCTGAATCAGCCCCTTTTCCTTTACCTTTCCCTCCCTTGGTCAGTTTGGATATCTTTGCATCCTTTGCTTTGCAAAGGGTTTTGAGTTTGTTCAATGAGGTTTCTAGTTCATGTTTCTCTTGTTCAGCCTGGTGTTTTAATTTTTGCAGATCTTGTTCATACCGTTGTTCCATTTGCTCCTCCTCCATGTTTCCTTCTGGTCGCTTCGGTGTGCTAGTCATCAACGATTGCATAGACTGAGCAGCAAACACTGGTTCGATTACCTCCGACTCTACTCGCTGAACGGCTGTGGTAAAAGTATCATTCATCGTAACACCATCTGACTTGTACAAGGTCTGATTTTCCTCTATTAGTTTGTGAAGTTCCTGGTTTTTCCTGTCCACTTCAGTAAACCTGTTTTCCCAGTATCCAGACTTTTCAGCCTCTGCTTCCAGCTCGTCTACAATTTGAGATTCGTGATGAAGACTCTCTGAGAGTTCCTTGACACGTTCTTTGAGCATCAATACATCTGTGTCCTTCTCAGCTAGTATCTGGTCCTGTTTGGTCACAATCTCCTCAAACTTTTGCACCTTTGCAGCTTTTCCTTTCACAACTTTCTTGAGGCGATCAATTTCATTTGTCAGTTGTTCCTTTTCCTTTTTCAAAGGATCGTTCCCTCCTCCTTTCAGTTCATCAATTTCATTCACCAGTTGCTCTTTTTCGGCTTTAGCAGAGTCTAACTGCAGAATGATTTCTGACATTGTCTGCTCCCTACTCTGTACATGTTCCCTTGTATCCTGAATTTCTTTCACCAGCATTTCTTTTTCATTGTTCAAAATGGCAATGTCTTCACGTAACAGTATGATTTCACTTTCCTTTTGTGATACGGTGCTGTTTAGTCGGGTCACATATGATTCATAATCCATACTCTTATCCTCCCAGCTTTTTATGGCCTGTTGACTGTCGTTCAAACGGTAATGGGCTTCCTCGTTGTCTTCCTCAAACTCCTCCAGTTTTAGTGTAAGATCTTTCACTCTCTCCTGTAGTATGAGGACATCAGTGTCTTTGTTTGCTAGTACCCTTTCCTGTGCCTCTACAACCTCCTCAAACTTCTGGGCCTTCTTTTGCCTACCTTTTCCAACTTTTTGCAGTTTTTCATTCTCACTTGCCAGTTTTTCTCGTTCATCTATGGTCTCTTCATACTTTTCTTTCATCTCCTCACAGATAACTTGTAGGTGTTTAACCGCGTCCTCTTTCACCTTCAGCAGGTTCTCTTTTTCCGAAACAACTAGATCCATTTTCCGCAGCTTTGCTTCTTTTCCTTTCACGATCATCTGCATCTTCTTCAGTTCAACTGTTATTCTCTCTTTCTCTTGCAAAGCAGATGCCAAGTTCTCTTGCAAATCATTGACGGTTGATGATTTCTCTGCCAGGGATAGATCCAAAGCTTGCTTCTCTGCGATCAATCTAGCGTTCACATCATCCGAATCGACCTGGCTCTGTTCCAAATTAGACATTGTGCTGGACACTTGCACTTTCTCAATCTCTGACTCACGTTTCATCACATCAATCTGGTTTTGTAGACTTTTACACTTGACTTTGAACTCTTCCTGAACTTTGCTTTCATGCTCCAGATGGCTTCGGAGTGCATCCTCTTCGTACTGAGCATCTTCAACTTTTTCTGTGAGTTCTTTAATTCTTTCCTGCATGATAAAGAGCTCTGTGTCTTTTGAGGCAATAATCTTCTCCTGTTCAGCAACAACTTCCTCAAACTTCTTTGTTTTTACACTTCTACTCTTTGCAAGCTTTTGGAGTTTCAGCAGTTCTGCTTCCAAGCCCTCTTTCTCTTCCAACACTGTATTGTACTTCTCTCCATCTGCTTTTTGACCAACCATCTTTTCCTCAAAGTCTCTTGTGACAGAAGCCAACTTTTCTTCCTGTTCTTTCATAATTTTGCTGATCTTTGCATCTTTGCCTTTACATAATTTCTTCAATTTCTTTAACTCCGTTACAAGATTGTCCTTCTCATCTGATGTTTCAGCTCTTGCACTTGTCTCAAGCTGCTGTGTTTGAAGAGCCTCTTTCTCGATCCTCTCAGCTTGTAAAACTCCTTCCAGCTCGAAGAATTTTTGTTCGGTTTCCTGCAACCTCAGTGAGATGTTGCAAAGTTCTTCGTCTTTAGAAGAAAGGACCCTGTCCTTTTCCTCCACATCCTGTATCCCGCTAGTCTCTGTCTCATTGCTGGTCTGGTGCAGTTGTTCTATTTCTATCGTCAGTTGTTCCTGCTGTAATTTGGCAATACAATCCTATTGATAAATACGTTTTTTTGGTGTTTTTTTTGTCATGACCTATCAATAACATCTTATACTTTTGTAACTATAAAATAACCTATCCTAACTGTACCATGGAATCCTGCTAAACTGGTCTGATATTAACTAAAACACATAATGTTTAGATACAGTAAATCACTCTCTTTTTGTGAACATTAATCTCAACATAAAGTCTTGAGGAGATTTCCAAATTTAAATTTTTCTTGAATTTTAAAAACACAGATATAGATACTACCAATAATGAAATAGCGTCCGCTTGATCCCGAACTAAAGTGTTTTGCAAAATAAACTACAGGCGTAGTTCATAAAACTAAGTACAAATGAAAATGAAATAGTTTAGAATATTCATTAACATATAATAGAATTAAAAGAAAATGATAAAATCTACTTTATTATTGAACCATAATTTTTCTCAATGACCAAACTGTCCAGATTAACAAGACTCCAGTGCACATTTTTATACATTGAAGAAAAAGCCCACACCATTATAATTTGGTGCATTTCTTATTACATCCCCTATCTGAGTGGGAAAACAATTTACATGATTAATCTTGGTCTTATACTATGATTACATCTTTTTAAACAAAATAATTATTATAATTAAAATTTCCATTTTCATTTAGTAAATTACATTATTAAACTATTAACTGTTTACAGTAGAAGTGTTTATATAATGTTAGTCAACATTTGACAGATAGAGCTCTATAGTTCAGAAAATTTCATATTAACTACCATATTCAAACTATCTTCCAATCATCATTAAAATTCCTAAAAGATTATCAATTTTTGAGAAATAGAAAAGGGAGCTTAATAATATGCTTTATACGTATACTGAACACTTCTCACTGCCCTGACACAAGATTAACACTGTCATACAATTTTTCTGTGAATGATAACTATAATTTAAAGGGATTTAGTTATCGAGTAACTTTTTTTCCACATCTGTTTGAATATAAACTGTTACCACCACTAAATTACATGTTATGTAGCAGCTTATTCCTAGATTGGGGAATGATAAATTTTGAAAAGCCCACAGTGTACTTTGAGATCAGACTTCTTGTATACACTACTGAAAAACATACTAAACATGTTCATTATTAAACAATACAATCCTTGAAACAATGTCCTTTTACACTGCAAAAGTATCATTCTATTAAAAATAAATAAAAAAATGTTTTCGTCTAATGCCATGAAATTGTTTTAATCAACCAGGATGTCACAAGGGAGCCAAATCAATTTGACCAATTAATGTGTGTCTATTTTTACGTCATATTTTACATCTATATATCCGGGTAAATGTGAATAATTATTAAACCTATCGCTCATGTTGAGGCTTTATACATGTGTAAGTTTTCTAACATTTCAACCAAGTCATTCTCAGTTAGAATTAACACAAATTCATGCTTGATTTACAAACATGCATGCTTGAACATTTACAACATGAACTTTCACAAGACCTCAGTCTGATAATCTTAAACCTAATCTTGTGACCTTTGACCTTTTAACTACCTTGTGACCTTCATCTGATCTCTTGACCTTTGTCATTTTAAGCTACATTTTCAACTGACATAGACCTGTAATATTTACAAAAAGAAGTGTTTTTCATTAAACTGTAGTGGTTTTTTTTTTGATAGATCAAAATTAAACTTATGACCTTTTAATGATATCCATGGATATCAATCTGCACAAATACATAACAAAATTTAAAGTAAAGACGGTATATCTGAAGACCTGGGAACTGTTCGTCATCTGTGTTTGACATAGCAAATTTGAGTCTCAAGGATTCAAACGTCATTTATTCCCCTTTTTTTTTGGAATCTGACATTTTTTTCCATTCCAAGCATATCAAGCATGCTTCTTTTTATCTATTCCATTAATTAAATACAAAATTTGATGTTCAGCATTGACAATTATACGATCAGAAAAATGAACTAATTCTCTTTCTCCACTATACACATGTATTTAAAATAAGTTTAACAACATGAGTGCTACTTATAGTAAACAAGGTGCGACAAATTTTGGTCACAGCAGACTCTTTGAGATTTCCTTGATAAACTTATTTTTTATGTTCATTTCACTATTAAAAGTCCATACTTTGTTTTCTATCAGGATACATGGATATAATTGTAAACTATTTATTGAAACGACCAAAATAAATCTTGTTTCACAAGAATATCTCTTTAGGCAAGGCTAAACTACTGTACCTTGGTATTCTGATTATTTTTATTTCAATTTTGATTCTTTAATAAAAAATCCTATCCTAGCCCACTTTCAACCTTAAGTGTCTTCCCTTGGTGTGGTATCGTGGTAGTAACATTTGTTTCAAATTATAGGGAGTGTATTTTCAAAACTTTCAACAAACAATTTGAAATATTATTAACAACTTTAAAACATGCTGTGAACAATGTATGGAACAAAACACATAACTGTAAAATCGTAACACCCTTACTCAAAGTCATCACTTAGTCAAACAGGATTTTATCTTAACTGGATATCTCAAATAACACCTTTTATCGCAAAAGACTTCTCTAATCATTCCAAAAAAATCTATCCTTAGCATGGCTATGTAATTTTAAAACTAGGAATTGAACTATGGGAAACTTTGAGTCAAGTATTTATCAATGAATTGAGCACTGAAGGAGCATGTGAAGTCATCTACATAACCATATTTCTATGTAATTTGAGAGAAACATTTAAAATTTTGATTTCAAGAAATGAAAACATTTCAAATTATACATATTTTTTCTTAATAAAGTTGTCTCTCAAGCCACATAGAATATGTATAGTTACCTGTTTTGTCAGCTGTTCATTATCAACCATATATTGTTCTAGTTGTCCTTCCAGAATGTTCTTGTTGTCAAGGACGACCTTGATTTCGTCACCTGCAGATCTCACCTTGTGATCCAATTCTACCACATTGTCGGTCAAGCTCCGGTTTTCTTCCTCCAAAATCTGGACCCTTGTCAATGTTTCTTGCAGCTGTTTGTTAATCATTGCTTTCTCCGATTCCATCTCTTTCAATTCTAGGTTTTTGTTGTCTCTCATGGAGTCAATCTCACTCTTTAAATGTTTCTTATCTTCCAAATGACTGTCTGTTTGCTTAGCAGTATCCTCTAGTTTGAGTAGAAGATCTTCAACTTGTGCCTGGGAATCATTGCAAGCAGTCCTAAGTGAAATAACTTCCTCCTCTTTTCCATTAAGAAGAATTTGGAGTTCTTCCATTCTCTTGCTATTCTCTGAATGTGTTGTTTGCAGTAATTTCATAACCTCCTCAGCTTCCTGATGTAGCTTGCGTAGATTGTCTCGTTCTTCTAGAACAAGAGCGTGTTCAGAATTCTTCTGTTCTAAATCCTTCATGAGCCTGTCACATTTCTCAGACATTGCCTCAATGTCATATTGGATATTTTTCTTATCCTCATCAAAAGTATTCTTCAAACGCTCTACCTCTGACAGTTGGTCTTGCAGCAGTGTGTTCTGTTCATTGCTCGTTGCCAGTTCCATGACCACAATGTCCCTCTCTTTAGCACAGTACGTCTTTTCTTGAATCAATTTCCTTATCATGATTGCAGATGAGATTTCAAATGAATATCTAGCATTTTGCAATTCCATTGTCTCTTGAACAAGAATACTGTTTTGAGCCTCTTTCTCCATCAGTTTCTGTTGACTTTTTTCAAGCTTTGTTGTTAGAAGATTATTTTTCATATTTAAATCATGTACATCAATGAGTGTACTCTCTTTCTCTCTCAAGCTATCCATAAGGGAAGTCATTTCCTTTTCTTTGCTCAAAATTTCATCCTCTAGATTGGCCAATCTTTCTTTCAAGATAACTGATTCTTTAAATTGTGTACGACGTGTTTCTTCTTCTGCAGTTCTTTCATCTTTTACCTGGGTTTCATAATCCCTCCACTGCTCTCTTGTGCTAGCAAATTCGTCTTGAAGTTTGACATTTTCTAGTTCCAATACTTTTAAATTCTCTGTAAATTCCTCTTGCAGCTGCTCCGTCCTTTCTTGCAATTCCTCCTTTTCTTTTTGCAGGGCGTCAAACTTATGTTGAAAATCAACTTTCGCTTCAACCAGATACGTATCCATGTCCTGCATCTGTTGAGATTTCTCTGCGAGGAGACATTTGGCCTGATCCAAATCTTTTGCCGTTGTTTTGTTATTTGAAACAATGTTTTTGCACACACTCTGGAGTTCATCATGACGCTCCTGTAGGGAACATGTTTCAGCTTGAAGAACACTAAACTGAGAATTGGACTCGCTTTCCATTTGAACCAACATCATTTCAGCTTGTTTCTTTTCCTTGATGACTTTCTCCAGTTCCATTGAAAGCTTACTTATTTGTGATTCCTTGTCTGATTGAACAGTTTCCAGCTGCTGAGACATTTGAATCTTTTCCTCCTGAGCAGATTTTTGTGAATAGTCGTAATCTTTAACCAAGTCATCAGCAATCTTCTTTTCTGTCTCCAGTGATGTAAGTTTTACCTGAAGAGCTGCTAGCTGCCGACAAAACTCCTCTTTTTCCTCCACCACAGAGTTCAGTTGACAAGTATAATTACTGACTACAGTTTCCATGTTCCTTTTTTCTGTTTCTAGTGAAATGACTTGCATGCGAACATCTGTTAATTGTTCAGTCAATTCAACTTTTTCCTTCTGAACAAATGCCATTTGACTGCAGTTTTCCTCAAGCAATGATTCCAACTTCCTCTTTTCAGTCTCGACTGTAATGAAAACGTCTCCCTTTTCAAGTAGCTGTTGTTCACTTTCATCTGATTTTGTCTTCAGTAAATTGTATGAAGCTCTCGCCTCAGTCATCTGTTTTTCTTTTTCCATCAACTGATTCTTCAATGCTTTCCTTACCTCATACATACAGGAATCCAACTCCCCACACTGGGATGCTAGAATACTGATCTGCCCTAGATGGTCGGCCTGAATTTCTTTTAGTTTGTTGATTTGAACATTCAAGTCATCATTTTCAGTCGTGGCTACCGCCAAGTAAGATTGTTCCTGATGAAGGGTTTCTGACAACTGCTTTATTTCTTCCTCAAGAGTTGTTATTTGAGTCTGGGATGCTGCTAGTTGTTCAGACATGTCCTCCTTTTCTGACCCTATTGTTGTTATTTGAGTTTTGGATCCTGTAAGTTGCTCCGACAATTGAAGCACTTCTTCATGAAGTGTCTTGATTTGACAAGAGGAATCTGATTGCAGTTTTGAAAATTGAACTTGTATCAAAGCTAACTGTTGAGAAAGCTCTTCTTTTTCCTCCTCAATGGAACTCTTCTGATGAATAGAGTCTTCCAGCAAACTTGAAGAGGTCTTCTGTTCTGCTTCCAGTGCTACAACCTGAGTTTTAACTGATACTACTTGTTGAGACATTTCATCTCTTTCCCTTTCAACACAATTCAGTTGATGACAATTCTCCTCAAGAGACGATTCCAACTTCCTTTTTTCTTCCTCAATTGTACTGAGAGCCTTTTCAGAATTAAGTAGCTGTTGTTTGGTTTCATCTGATTTTGTCTTCAGAACATTGTATGAAGCTCTCACCTCGGCCATATGTCTTTCTTTTTCCATCAACTGATTTTTGAATACTTTCCTTTCCCCATACATAATTGAATTTAAGTCCTCACACTGTGATCCTAGAATACTGATCTGTGCTAGATGATCAGCCTGAAGTTCCTTCAGTTTGTTGATTTGAACATTCTGTTCCTCATTTTCTTTCCTAGCTACCACCAAGTTAGATTGTTCCTGATGAAAATTTTCCTGAAGGCAATTAAGTTGTGCTGAAAGATCCTGTTTCACAGACTCAGAGTCTTTCCTTTGTTCTTCAAGTGTTGTTATTTGAGTTTTAGATGCTGCCAGTTGTTCAGACATTTCCTCCTTTTCTGACCCTAAAGTTGTTATTTGAGTTTTGGATCCTGTAAGTTGCTCAGACAATTGAAGTACTTCTTCATGAAGTGTCTTGATTTGACAAGAGGCATCTGATTGTAGTTTTGAAAATTCAACTTGCATCAAATTTATTTGTTGAGAGAGCTCTTCTTTTTCCTCCTTAATAGAACTCTTTTGATGAAAAGAGTCTTCTAGCAAACTTGAAGAGGTCTTCTGTTCTGCTTCCAATGCTGCAACATGAGTTTGAACTGATACTATTTGTTCAGACATTTCATCTCTTTCCCTTTCAACACAATTCAGTTGATGACAATTTTCCTCAAGCAATAATTCCAGCTTTCTTTTTTCTTCCTCCACTGTAGTAAGAGCCTTTCCCTTTTCAAGTAGCTGTTGTTCACTTACATCTGATTTTGTCTTCAGTAAATTGAACGAAGCTGTCGCCTCAGCCAACTGTTTGTCTTTTTCCATCAACTGATTCTTCAAAGCTGTCCTTTCCTCATACATAGAAGAATCTAAGTCATCACACTGTGATGTTAAAATACTGATCTGCACTAGTTGATCGGCCTGAATTTCCTTCAGTTTGTTGATTAGAACATTATGTTCCTCATTTTCTTTCCTTGCTTCCACCATATCAGATTGTTCTCGATGAAGATTATCCTGAAGACAATTGAGTTGTTTGGAAAGATCCCGTTTCACAGACTCAGAGCTTTTCTTTTCTTCTTCAAGTGTTGTAATTTGAGTTTTAGACGCTACAAGTTGCTCAAACAATTTCTCCTTTTCTGCCTCTTCTGTTGTTATTTGAGTTTTGAATGTATCCAGTTGCTCAAACAAATGTTTCTTTTCTGCCTCCAGTGTTGTAATTTGGGAATGGGATTCTGCTAGTTGCTCAGACAATTGAAGCATTTCTTCATGAAGTGATGAGGAATCTGATTGCAATTTTGTGAATTCAACTTGTATCGAAGCTAGTTGTTGACAGAACTGTTCTTTTTCCTCCTCAATAGAACTCTTTTGCTGACAAGTGTCTTCTAGCAAACTTGAAGAGGTCTTCTTTTCTGCTTCGAGTGCTGTGACTTCAGTTTTAACAGCTTCTAAATGCGTACACATTTCATCTCTTTCCCTTTCAACACAGTTCAGATGATGACTTTTCTCCTCAAGCAATAACTCCAGCTTCCTTTTGTCTGCCTCCACTGTAGTAAGAGCCTTTTCCAAACTAAGTCTCTGTTTTTCAGTTTCTTCTGCTTTGGTCTTTACAACATTGTATGATGCTCTCGCCTCAGCCATCTGTCTTTCTTTTTCCATGAACTGATTCTTCAAAGCTGTCCTTTCCTCATACATAGAAGAATCTAAGTCATCACACTGTGATGTTAGAATACTGATCTGCGCTAGATGATCGGCCTGAATTACCTTCAGTTTGTTGATTTGAAATTTAAAGTCATCATTTTCTGCCCTGGCCTCCATCAAGTTAGATTGTTCCTGATTGAGTTGTAGGGAAATATCCTCTTTCAAAGACTCAAGGTGCTTCTTTTCTGCCTTCATTGTTGAAATTTGAGTTTGGGTTGCATCCAGTTGTTCAAACAATTTAAGTTTTTCCTCCTGAAGTGACTTGATTTGACAAGTGGAATCTGATTGCAGTTTTGTTAATTCAACTTCTAGTGCAGCTAGTTGTTGAGTGAGCCCTTCCTTTTCCTTCTCAATAAAACTATTCTGCTGAAATGAGTCTTCAATCATAGTTGTAGAATCCCTCTGTTTTGCCTCTAGTGCTGTGACTCGAGTTTGAATTGCTTCACATTGCTGAGTGAGCTGTTCTTTTTCCATCTGGACACAAGAGAGTTTAGTGTCTGTGTCATGTTTGGAATCCTTTATGTTTTCTATTTCTGTCAAAAGCGTTGATATTTTGGCTGAACAATCATCCAGTTGTTGATTCAAATGTTGTTCCTTTGACTTGTGTGTGGTTAGAAGATTCTGATTTTCCTCACGGTGAATTTTTGCCTGATGTTTTGTTTCCTTAACAACTTTCCTGGCGTTAATCCTTTCTGAATGGATTTCCATTTCATTCTGTTTAATTTGTTCTGTAAGCATATTCACTTGATCGTTAAGCTGCGATAAATGGTCAGATTGCTTCCTTTCATTTTCCTTCATCATTGCAAGTTCATTCTGTTTCTCAGATGCCAAACTTTCCAGCTTGATAATATGGTCAAGTTTCTGTTGTACTGTCTCCTGTGCCTGTCGTAGCACTTCAGTTACTTCATCATGGTTTTCTACCGACTCTCTTAGACTTTCTTCTACTTTTTCTTTGTCTAGTTTCATCTGGCATAACTGTGCGGTCACATTTGCTAACTCATTGTCCAACTTACCATTAGCCGTTTTCAGTGTTAAATGTTCGGATTCCATTTCACAAATATTTTCTTGAAGTTGATCACATTTTTCAGAAGTTTCCTGTACCATATTAGCACTTTGGCGGTAGTCCTTTATCAGACATTCCTTTTCCTCTTGTAAACTAGATACAGTAGTTTCCAGTGTTGTTAATTGCTGGGAAATAGCTGAAACATCCTGCTCAAACTTTGCACAATTTTCTTGCTCAGTCTGCAATGAGGCCATCAACGTCTGCTTCTCATCAGTTGCTACTTCCAACTTCAATGTCAATCCATCCTTTTCTTGAAGCCCTTCCCTAAGCTCCAGGTCCATTTGATTAAGTTTGTCAGTCAGAGATGAAATATCTTCCTGCAAACTAGCTACCTGGGTAATTAATTCCTCTTTGTTGGACTCTAACGCATTAACTACCTTCTTGTTTTCCTCCAAATCTTTTAATAAGTTTGTTTTTGATTCTTTTAATTGTTCATGCACAATGCAGAGGCCATCTAGTTGCTCTTGCTTCTCCATACAAGTTTTCTTTAATTGATCTGTGTTGGTGTTTGCTTCAATTAATTGTTGATGCAGAAGTATTTTTTCTTCTGCGGCCTTTTGCGAATCTTTTTTGAAGTTTTCTAGGAGACCATCCTTCTGTTGCACCAAACGTTCCAGCTCTTCAAGCTGAGTGCTTGCTTGTTCAAATGAGTGACTTGTTCTTTTCAGTTCCTGTTTTACTTTAGCCACGTCTTCTGTAAGTGTTGCTCTTTCCCTCTTCATGTATTCGGACACATTGCTTTGTTCTTCCAACATTTTGACACTTTCTTCCTTTTCTGTTTTGGCACTGCTCAATTCACTTATCAGTTCGTCTTTTTCTTGGTTTGCTGCGTCAAGAAGTATCTCTGCCTTTGCAAGTTTTTCTGATATACCTACAAGTTCATTATTTAGACTTTTTAATGTTCCTGCAATGGCTTGTTTCTCTTCAGTAATTCTAGTAAGATCCTTTTGAACAGCCTCTAGTTTTTTAGTCAGACTGTTCTTATCCTTTTCAGCAGATTCCAGATTAATCTTGAGGTCCTCTTTTTCTTTGGTAAGAGAAGCTGTAACCTTCTCAAATTTTTCCCTCTTTTTATGAAGTCTTGTCCCCATTTTCTCTAAAGCTTCAGCAAGCTCCTCCTTGTCGTCATTCACTGCCTTCAAATCATCAGCCTTCTTCTGTAACCTTCGTGATAAGTCCTCTTTTTCTGTTTTCACTAATTCTAGAGAGGCGACCATACTGGCCATATCTTTCTGCAATACAGACATTTTAGACTCTTTATCTTCAAGTTCAATGTTTAAAGACTTCAAATCTTCTGCAGTGGTCTCATAGTTAGCTCTGACCTTCTCAAGTTGATTTTGAAGGTCATTGTTTTTATCTTTAGCCTGTCTGTGTTCTTCAGAGATCATCTGCAATTCTCTCAGTGTAGCTTCATTCCTCTGAAATGTCTCCTCCTTTTCCTGGCTGGCATGAAGACAGGCTGTCTCAGCTTGCATGTATTGTTCTGTGACTTGTTGGAACTCTGTGTTCAATGTGTTATGGGAAGTAGTGAGTTTGTTCATCTCCACCTCCAAAGAGTCAAGAGATTTTTCCAGCTCACTTGCTTTCTCGTCAGAGGTAACTAGTTTCTGTTGTAATGTTGTGTTTTCTTGTTTCATTGTCGACACTGTATGATCTTTTTCTTGTTGAAGATTTTCCAATCTGGTTTCCAAATCCTCAATAAGTGACTGGAGTGAAGTGTTATCACCCGTTAAAGACTCAATGTTTTCTGTATCTTTCATCAACTTAGTTTGCAATTCTTCCATTTTCTGAGACAAATTCACGTTGTCCTTGGTCAATGCTGCATAGTCTTGAGACAGACCCTCCTTTTCATGGCACATGTCATTCATCAATTCAGTTGTCTTTTGCAACTTATGAGAAACCTCATCTCTTTCCTTTTTGATTTCAGTCAAGTTAGCAGACAGGTTTTCCACATTTGCAGACAGAGAATTCCTATCTTCAGTATCTGCTTTTGCAGTTTTTAACAATTCATCAACTTGATGAAGAAGTACATCTCTTTCCTTGGTTACTTCAGAACACGTTTTCCTCAAGGTTTCCTCAACTTCCTCAAACTGGCATTTGGTCTTGTCCAAATCAGATTTCGAAGTCTCAACAGTGTGAATCAACTCCTCACATTCCTTTTGGGACTGTGACAAGGTGGAAGCTGCTGATAAAAGTTCTGCATCTGTTAACTCCTGCTTGCAAAGAGCTTTTCTCAAATGGTCTTTAAGATCCTCCTCTGCACTTCTTGATGTGGTTAACTCAGACTCTACTTCACATAGTTTGCACCGATACGATTCAACCTCTCTTTCCAGTTTGAGCTCAGTTTCTTTCAATAGTGTTATTATTGTCTCATCTGCAGTATGCATGTCTTCAAGTGCTGACTTTTGTTTTCCTAATGACTGCAATTCTTCTGTTAGAGCACTGATTTTAGATGTTATTTCGTCACACTTTGCATGTTCTGCTTGAACCTTTTCCTCCAATTCCGTAGTTTTCATCATCTCCAATGATAAACTCTCAGTCACTTCGATTCCTCTTTCAATTTCTAATGCCAGTGACGATTTCAGTTCATTGATCTCTTTCTCTTTTTCATTTGAAAATGTCTCCAGCTGATGAGATGTTGACTGAACCAGTTCCTGCTTCTCTTGTTCCAACATTTCAATGTTTCCTTGCAGTTGTTGAATGATAGACTGATTATCCTCAATTTCATTTTGCATTGAAGTTGTTGTTTTCCCCATGTTTGATTTAATATCATCAATCTCACGAAGAAGTTGTTTTGAGTTGTCCTTTTCATTTTCTGACACTTCCATCTGCCGAGTTAACTGCAAAACAAGATCCTCTTTCTCTTTCTTCAGTAAGCAAATTGTATTGTGAAGGTTACTTGATATGTCCTCCTTTTCTGTAGAAACCTCTTTCAGTTTGCTCTCTAAGTATTCAGAGAGTTCTTCCTTTTCACGTTCTAATTGTTCAGTCTTATCTCTCAAATCCTTCTGAAGTTGATCTCTTTCATTTCTGAGCGTTTCCAAATCTGTACATAATTTCTTTTGAATATTGTCTCTTTCCTCCTTCAGTACTTGCATGTTCCTCTCCATTTCCAGAGAAATCTTCTCTTTGTCTTCCTCAAGTGTGACTAAACTCTCTCCAAGTGTTCTCGCTGTTTCATCTCTCTCTTTTATAGTTGCTGATGATTCCAATATTATCTTCTCTTTCTCAGCCCGGAGAAACTTGAGTTTCTCTTCAAGAGACATGATTGCCTTTTCCTTTCCAGTCTGCAGAGATTCATATTCTAAGCACATCTGCTCAACAGTCTTTTTATTCTCAAGAGACTGCTGTTCTTTTTCCTTTTCCATAATATTTATATTTCCTTGGAGTTTTTCAACAACGGTGTCTAGCTCTTTCTGTTTTTCTTCCATCTCTAAGGTAAATTGCTGAATGCATTCCCTCTTCTCGGATTCGTATAACTGTATTTTATCAGATATCTGAACTGAAAGGTTGTTTTTCTCTACCTCAAGTCCTGCTATTTTCTCCTGTAGGTTATTGAAAATGTCTTCCTTTTCAATCCTGAAGTCTTCAAACTCTGCAAGATGTCTCTTTGTACTTTTCTCCTGATTTGACATGGCATCTTTGAGAAGGATCTGGAGTTGCACCTTCTCTTCCTCCAATGAACTAGCATGCTGTTGAACAGAAGAAACCATTTCGTCTTTTTCAGCTCTGATTTTTTCAAAATCCTCATATGCTGTTTTAGTGTGTTGATCTTTATCCAACATATCTGTTTGAAGCTTCTGTAGCTTCTCCTTCAGCTCTTGTACAATTTGATTCGTGCGCTGAATCTCATCATTCAGACGTAACTTTGTTGACTCGTTTTCCTCTGTAAGGCACTTTATTTCATTGGTTTGTTGGCTTGATTTTTCCTCATTCACTCTTTCATTAGTTGAAAGTTTCTCTTCAAGCAATTCTTTTTCCTTCAATACAAGATGTATTTCATTGTTGAGTTTTTCAATGTCTTCCTCTTTGTCTTGTGCAAAAGCTTTCGAATGCTTTGAAGTTTCTTCCATCGCAGTTGTCAACTCTTGGACTTGACCCTTTAGAGCTTGTATAGTTTGTTCCTGTGAAGCATAAGAGGACTCCAGCTCCTTGCTGAACTGTGTTAGTGTCTCTTTCTCCTTTGAAAGATTTTCAATCTGATCTGAGAATTGCTGTGTGACACACTTTTTTTCCTCCTCTATCTGCAGAGTGGTTTCTTTCAGCTGCCTAATAGTCTGTTCACTCTCCTGTTTCATTTCCATCAATTCTCGTTCAAGACGAGTACTGCATTCCTCTTTTTCTTGTTCCAAAGTTTGAATCTGGGCATTATAATCTAGTTTCATTTTCTGAAGTTCTTTTTCCAGAAGTTTTATTCTTTCCTCTGATGACCTGATTGTGTTTGCTTTTTCTAATTTCAGTGATTCCATTTCCCCAGATAACTGATGTTTGTGCTCCTTGTTCATACTTACAATCTCATCTTTCTCTTGTTTCAATTTGTTCATGTCTGATTCCAAAATTTCTTTCTCTTTTGTTTTTTTCTCCAGATCACTAGCATATTCATCCTTTTCAGTGGTCAAGTCTTGGATTCTGTCCGAAAGCTGAACTGTGATCTCATTCTTTCCTTCCTCCAAAGCAGATATCTTTTTCGAAAAAGATTCAAGCATCTCCTCTTTCTGCACTGTTAAAGTCTGCACGTTTTCATTCATTTCCTTGGCAAGGTTTTCTTTCTCCATCTGAAGATCATTAATTTGCCCTGACAAGTGTTGTTCCAATGCTAGCTTCCCATCATTCACGACTTTGATCTGGTTACCTAATTCCTGGGCCTTTAGGTCTCCAGCCAAACGCTGTTCTTCCATTGCCTTCTCAGTCCTATGAATGGTTTCTGTTAGCCTATCAACACTCTCTCTCAATTCCTTGATAGTCTTTTCCTTTTCAACTGTATCCTTTTGGAGAGCTGCAAATTTGGATTCAACAGAATGAACATTGTGGACCGACTGTTCAACTTGACTAGCTAATATCACTATTTGATTGTCTTTTTCAATGCCGCTTGATGTCAATTCATTTTCAGATGACCTTAATTGACTAATTTGATCACTAAATGAGGTAAAAGTGTCCATGATAAATTCTTTCTGTTTCTCTAAATTTGAATCCTGTGGTGGCACATTAAATGTTTCTACACAAAGGTGTTGATTTTTCTCTTGAACACAAGCCAAAATCTCTTCTACAGCCCTTGACCGTTCCTTGAGGAGGGAACTCAAGTCTTCTATCATCTTGGTGCTTTCACACTGTTTTTTCTTTGAAACACTGATATCCTTTTCTAGCTGATCTCTTGTCTCTTGTAGAGAACTGATTTCTTTTTCATTGGCAGTTTTCAGTTCCTCCATATTTGTGACACTAGTTTCAAGTGCTGTGACTCTCTCATCCTTCTCCACAATAATTTTGTTCTTTTCTAATGCTGACTGGTTTAAAGCACTCGTACTCCTACTCAAAGAGTCATAATCTGTCGCTACTTTTTCAAGTTTTAACTGCAGTTCACTGATTTCCGAGGAAGCTTCAGAAAACTTCTGACTGATGTTAAAATTTTCATTATCCTTCTCTAAACAAGATTTCGTTGATTCATGTAACTGCCTTTCTAACTCAGAAACAGTTTCTTCAGACTTTTTCAACTTTTCAGACAATTCTGTAAGTTCACTTGATGTCTTTTGGGCAAGATCTTCTAGCATTTCATTTGATAACTTATTCTTCTCCGATTGCTGATTGACAACTTCCATATTTTCTTCATGCAGTTTCACAGAAGATTCATGCAACAGGAGTGAGTCGTTTAATTCAGATTTGGCATGCTCAAGCTGACATTCAAGTCTAGAACACTGGGACGAGGCTGATTCTACATCAGCTTCAAGGGACTTCACATGCTCATTCCATGCTGCCATGTCACTGGCTTTCTGAATTTGAAGGGATTCTAAACGAGCGTTTAAGTTTGTAACAGAACTGGATATAGTGCACACTTCTTTCTGTCTCTCATCACAATCATGCTTTAATTCACTAACCTGGCTCGTCAGATCGTCCTTCTCCTGTTGAAAGCACTGCAATTTGTCCTGTAACGTGTCTCGTTCTGCAACTGAAGTACGTAGATCTTCTTCAATCAAACAACACTTACTGGTGGATTCTTTCAACTGAACGTTTACCAGTTCTAGTTCATCATTTTGAGATTGCACTTTGGTTTGAAGAGTAGTAAATTCCTTGGAAAGTTGTTCTAATTTTTGTTTGAAAGTCACATTCTCTTCCTCTAACTTTGAGGAGCTTTCTTCAAGAAGACTCACAGTGTGTTGTAATGAAACTTTGTCTTGTGATAAGCTATCAATAGTTTGTGAAGCACTTTTTTGAGCATTTGACAATTCACTTGACACAGAAGCTAGCTTTTCATCCAATTCCTTAGTTCTTTCCTTATATTTTTCTAAATCACTTTCGTTTTCACTTAATAATGAATTCCTCATTTCTAACTCGGATTTCACGGACTGCAGTTCCAATGTCCGTTCTCTTATCTGGCTTTCAGCACAGTTCATCTCTTCTATAAGATTTTGCATCCGTTCCTCTTTCTGCTGAGTGAGACTCTGCAACTCACTTTTACTATCCTCTGCATTGGAATTTAAAAGCTGTAGTGTCTTATCCTTTTCCTGACAAAGAATTGCAGATTCTTCTAAACTACGTTCTAGAGAAGCATTTTGACTAGATAACTCAGCCACTGAAGTTGTAGCATGAACTAAATCCCCTTTAAGAATTTCTTTTTCTTTTTCCAAATTTTCACACTTTTCATTCCTTTCTGAAAGACCCCTTTTCAGTTCCTCACTCTCATTAATTAATTTGGAAAACTGCTCCTGGAGTGTTGCTTTCTCACTTTCTCCAATACGAACAGTCTCTCTGAGTGTGTTGGCTTCAGATTCACTCTGCTGACATGCAGCTTCTTGTTGACAAAGTTTGGACGAAAGACTTTCTAATTCATTCGAAAAAGATTGACTCCTCTCCACTAAAATCTTTTGGTTTTCTTCTAAATCTGATTCTAATCGAACTTTTATTTCATTCTCATGTTTCAACTGTTCAGAAAATTCTCTAGACTTTTCCTCTAAATTTTGAGACTGTTTTAACATTTGAGAATCCAATTCACTTATCTCTGAATCTTTTTCGGCAGCAGACTTTTTTAGATCCGCCACTTCACTTTCAAGCTTTTTCACACTGTCCTCCATCTGGCTTTTTATTTCATCCTTGGACTTCACCTCCAAATCCAGCTTGGAAGAAAGTTCCTGGACCACAGAGTCCATTGCTGAAGCTTGCTGCTCAAGTCTTTGCACCTGTTCTGTCTTAGTATCTAGATCAGCTGTCAGCGAGGCCACTGTGAGTTTCAAGGTCCCAGTGTCGCCCATAGACTGCTGTAGACTTTCCTGGACAACTTGCTGTTGTTGGTGAACATTGAGAGCCTCCTGTTGCATGTTCTGTATCAGTGTTTCTGCTTCCTCCTGTAAAATTAGAAAGTAGTCATTAAGCCAAAACATTCAATCACAGACAAAACATTTCTTTGAGAACATAAAAACAAAACAAAGCAAATGTTTTTAACTAAATCACAATGTTACCTTCCTTTGGACTGAAACATTACATATGAATCATATATATGGTGGTGGGGGTGGGGGGGGAAGGAGGAAACAGAAAAAAGCATGTTCCTGCTGTTTCTTTTTAACCTGATGACAGTGCACTGCACACCTGTTGATAATGCAAGTATACTTCAAAATATTGTCAACTGGGTGTCATTAAAAGTTTTGTATTGTCAGTACAACCAATATTCCTGTAAAAGCCTAGCATCACCTGAATGTTTGCTACCTACAATGACTCACACTATGTGAGGTTGGAGTCAAAGCATCAAAATGACATTTATCAAACTCGGTTCATAGCACTATGAATGTTATTTTATCCGATAGTATTTATATAGGCACTATGTGATCATGGTAAAAAACAAGAGATCCCAGAGGGATCTTGGCGCCCACCATTGTACCATCTTCATTAGTTCTTTGTCAGTTTGATCTTTTCTCTTCTTTTGTCTTATCTGTTTGATCAAGTCATGTGAACAGTAAATGCAACTTTTGATCTAAACTTAATACTGCTGTGTATAAAAGACAACCATCGAAGATAATTTGTCATTTCACATAACTACTAGTACAGTACTTAATGTGAAAGAAATAGAACCGATCATTGCAATATGGGAAAGATCTGTTTAGTTCTTCCTTCGGCCATTTTGCTTTTATGGTCACTCTCAAAATATAACATGCACAACTAGGGATCAAGGGGAACCTACACATCAAATTTGAGAAAGAACCCTCTAGTACTTCCTTGGAAAAAGCACTAACAAACTTTAACTGTCAAAATCAAAGATTTGTTCATCCGATCAGTCTTATAAGAAAACATGCTTAACTACAGACCAAGGGGAACCTACATGTCAAATTTGAGAAAGATCTCTCCAGTCCTTATTGAGAAACAGCGATTACAAACCTTCACTGTCAAAATTCAAGATGGCTGCCTGTCGGCCATTTTGTTTATCTGTTCAATCTCAAAATAAATCTGCACAACAAGGGGCAAAGGGGAACTTGCCTATATAATTTGAGAAAGATCCCTCAATTTATTCCTGAGAAATAGCATTAACAAAACTTCAATGTCAACGATGTCGTTTATCTGATCAGTCTCAAAGGTAAACATGAACAATAAAGGACTAGGGGGAACCTACATATAAAATTTGAGAAAGAACCCTCCAGTACTTCCTGGGAAATAGGGATAACAAACCTTCACAGTCAAAATCAAAGTTAGCTGCCGGTCGGCCATTTTCTTTATCCCCTCAGGCTCAAAATTGAATATGCACAACTACAGACCAAGGGGAACCTACATATAAAATTTGTAAAAGATCCCTTTCCCACTTCCTGAGGAAAAGTGATAACACACCTTCACTTTCAAAATGGCTGCCTGTACTGTAGGCCATTTTGTTTATCTGATCAGTCTCAAAAGTGAATATGCACAGCAACAGACCAAGGGGAACCTCCATATAAAATTTGAGAAAGATCCCTCTCGTACTTCCTGAGAAATAGTGATAACAAACCTTTACTATCAAAATCCAAGATGGCTATGTAAATACTTGTTTTTTTATAGTGTAAAATAGCAAAAAAGAGTTGTGTTGATGTACCTTCTTCTGTATTTCTGATTTCAGACATTCCTGATTTCTTTTTAGTTGCTCCTCCAGTTCTGCTATTTTTGACGTCCAGTCCTGTTCCTTCTCATTTCCAGCCTGCTGAGTGGCCTGTAGTTCTGCAGTCAAGCTCTGGGTCATCTGCTCTAGCTGGCCAGCTTTGCTCTCTGCTTCTGAACATTGTGCTCGAAGGCTGTTTAGCTCCTCCTTCAGCTGTTTGCTTGTCCCTCTTTCAGCTTCCAGAGTTTCTTCCAATTCCGAAATCTGTACCAAAAACCAAATGCAGTGTTATTGTTTTCTGTACATTCACTTTGATGTGACATATTGGTTCTATTAATCAACTACATTCCAATAAGGATGATTGATGCAAGCAAAAGGCTTCCATACAACTACTTCTCTAATTACACAGCTGAGAAGCCAAGAACAACTAGTAACAAGAGTACCACGGGGCGGAACAATATACGCCTGTTGAATGCCATATAGTGTTATTGTTACTGAAATGAATAAAGGGCAATCACTTTTGCAAATATCGTTGAATCAAAATTCTTTTAAGGGGGACACAATTTCATATTGTGATTATAATGTATGCCAAGTTTCAAAGAGATCTGTTGAAAAATGTAGGAGGCAATAACTTTTGCAAAAATTGTTGAATCAAAATTCTTATCAAGGAAACACAACAACATACCATGATTATTTAGCTTACTAAGTTTCAAAGAAATCTATCAAAAAATGTAGGAGGAGATCTCCGGACAAAAAATCAAATACTGAAATAAACAAAGGGCAATCACTTTTGGAAAAATTGTTGAATCAAAATTCTTATAAGGGAGACATAACTTATATCATGATTATAATGTATACCAAGTTTCAAAGAGATCGGTCGAAAAATGTAGGAGGAGATTGCCGCACAAACAAAAGTTTACGTCGGCCGGACAACCCCATACCACAATACAAAATTTGACAGGCGTATAAAAACCGAACGAAGTCTTTTAGCAATCCATATCTATCCAACTACAATTTAAAAAATTAACAAAGGGCAATAACTCTGTATAAAGTAGGGAGGACAACCTGATTTTGTCACACAAAACTAAACAATCCCCAAAGAAAAGCTGTATAACAATTTCAGAATGAAACACTCTCCCATCCAAGACATACTAACATACAAAATTTGGCTACTGCAGGTGAAGAGTATGCAAGATATGCCCCAGTCAAAGTGACTACCAGTTAGCAAAGGGCCTTGCTCTGTATAAAATGAGGTTGTGTCATAACTTAAGTATGCAACACTCTGCCATCCCTAGACATACTAACATACAAAAATTGGCTATTGCAGGTCAAGAGTATGTGAGGTATGCCCCAGACGAAGTGATACTTAGTTAACATCTGACTCTATTTAAAACAAGGCTTTATCACAATTTCAGTTTGCAACACTCTGCTATCTTAAGACATACTGAAATACAAAATTTGGTAATTGTAGCCAATAGAATATTTGAGAAATTCTCAAGATGCACTGACAGACTGACTAACAGTACAGACTTGTTTTCCCGTTTCTAAGTACATACTGCTAAAAACATGATGTGCAAGTCAAATTCAAGACCTGTCTTTGAATCTGAATTGTCTATCAGCAGTAGAACTGTTTATCTGATCCTGGGCCTAGCTTGTCCGATCTCTCAACAAGTGGACAAAATTCAATTTATGTAAAACATTTTCAAATATAGTAAGAACACCAAAACTGCATGTCTAGAATCACCATCAGAAGATCAATATTCTAGAAAGACCACCAATTTGAAAA